ACATTTCGAAAGCGTTTCGTGAAACTGATAGATTGTGGGTGGGTGAAGATTAGGCCGGTAATGCGATTTTCGTTGTCCACCCTCTTCCGGAAAGGCAGGCCTTCTTCTTCGAGTTTGTCTAACAAGGCAACAATGGGTGTACGCCGGGCAAGATTCTTGACGCGAAGGTCGCGCTTGGCGTTGTAGATGTTGCGGCGCAAAAAGTCTGGGTTGCCCTCCGGGTCCTCGCGTAGGGCCACGGCAATAGTCCTAGGCAGCGCACCTGCCTTCGTCATCCTCTCAGTGTCTTTGATCTGGGTGGCTGTGAGTTTCCTGTGCTGGGGGAGTGCCGTGGGATCGATTACGGGCTCATGGTTGTGCTCCCCGTTCTTTGTCGATAACTCCCAATCTCCTGTTATCCCAGAGAGCTTGCCAACAAGCTTGAAAGGGCAGCCCTGGGCCTTGTGGTTTGATTTGCGCTGACGGGAAGTGCGGTCAAGATTATGGCGATTTCTATACTCGCCGCCACGGGTACATTTTAGCCATACTTTGCCGGGTTTGGATCGCTCAGTTGCAATGGCATAGCCACGGGGCTTGGCCCAGGCCTGGGCATAATTCTTGAGCTCTTCCAGGGTAGGGAAAGAGGCATCAGGTGGAGGATCCATTTCTGTCTCCTACAGCTGAATTTAATGCTGTTTTGTGTGGTTGTTATGCTCTGATCTTCTCAATTTTCGGCGCGCGGGGGTGTGGTTTGAAGATTTAGGGGTGTGGAATGATCAAGACCCTTTTCAGCAGGCGGTTCGGTTAGCTCCCGCTCACGTGAATATCCATGGTGGTGAGATTGCCTTGAGGCAGGTTGAGCAACGTGTCTACGCAGATCATGCGCAGACCCTGAGTGATACCTGCAGAAATTTCCTAATTGGGCGCATCCGCCCGCACGTAGGCGATTATTTTTCGAGCAATTATTTTTACGACCCTGCTCGAGCATCTCGAAAAGATAATCGATGTTTATACATAATTGCCATGGCAACCGTGCAATTGGAAATTAAACGATTGTCTTTTGTAGAGGTTTCACTACCAGAAAAGTCAGACGCGACCAGCGTAGAATTTTAACTTGCCAAAATTGAAGGAGATAGATCAAGAGGAACTCAAGGGGATATAAAAGACAATGTTTTAAACTACTCTACATACTCTCAGCCTGTTCTGACTTGTTCTGACCACTTGGTGATGTCATATCTGGGAATATGGTTATCTGCAGAGCACCGTGTTCTCAACCCCCACACCCAACGAAGACATCCCATACAGCGAGGTTTCGCATGAAGAGAGACCATACCGTCGTGCTCAGATCATGGCCCTCACAAAAGCCGAAATCCCAAAGGAGAATATTGAGCAGCAGTGTCTTGTCAAGAGAAGGACATTGCAAGATATCACTAACCATTAGTGGAAGACAGCCTCCTACCGCGACAGCCCTCGTTCTGGACGCCCTCAGACCCTTTCCAAACACGATAAGGAACGAGCTCACCCGCAGCGTCCGCACAGGGAAGTACAACAACATTGTGGAAGCTGCTGCTGCCTTCAATCATGGTCACCAAAGGGATGTCTCAGCAGAGACAGTACGCTTGTTACTGCTCAAACGCGGAGCAAAGTGTGTTACACAGAAGAGGAAACCGTTTCTGTCGACTGCGGCTCGGGAAAGGCGTTACCAATGGGCAAAGGAGCACTTGCACTGGAGGAACGAGGACTGGATGCGGATCATCTACACTGACGAATTGAAATTCCAGCGTTCTGGGCCAGGATATGTTGCAAAGGTCTATGTGTGGCATGGGGATCCTCCTAGGGAGAATAAATTCATTCCTCGGATGCATTCTGGTGGTGGGAGTATCTTCGTGTTTGGTAGAATGTGCTGGTGGGGGGCCACAAAACTCGCTCGTTCAGAGGTCCCAACGGTCCACAAGTTCGTGATGATGCGTGATTTCGTTGAAGACTTTCTGCTTGCCAAGCTTCAGGAGTTCAGAGAAGCCGACATCAATCTCACAATGCAACATGACAACGACGCCAAGTTTCACACGCCCGACTGCAAAGAATCCTACGAAAGGGAGGGATACAGAGTCCTACCCTGGCCGGCATACTCACCTGAATATGAACTCCATTGAGGAGTTGTGGTACCTGATCTCCAAACGCCTGGAAAAGCGAGCTGGGTTTGCAAAAGACCTGGATGAACTATGGGAATGGATGTTGGAGGACTGGGAAAAGATTCTGCTCGAATACCTCCGGAAGCTCATTGAATCGATGCCCCAGAGGGTGAAGGACCTTTACGATGTAAAAGGGGGTCATACAAGGCATTCAGGTTTACTTGCGAGGGTAAGGAGGGGGTGTTCGAGGAGCCCGTGGAGCACTCAGGAAGGACCCCCGCGACTACTATAGTTAGGGAGTTGTCCTCTTACAGATGCGTTTATTTTGTTTTAAATAAGACGTTTTTCAAATCGTTTCAGCGAATTTCCAACTTCTAACTTGACCGGCTTCCTCGCCGGCCCTCGCGGCCGACTTTTTTGGGCCACGGTATCCCCATTGCATCTCCACAGTCCGTTGGATGCCCTACACGTAGATCACAACGACGTAGACGGCGAGGCCTAGGGATATCCCAAGTGCCAATAACTATGCTATAGTTAGAGTAATAACGATGACGCTGCATAAGGAGTATAAACGCCAGAAGATGAGAAAAACCTGACCTTGACTTGCTTGACGACGACACCGACGACTTGTGCCGACGAATTGTTTGCTTCTCGATGTGCGACGTAACGGTGACGATGGACGAGGGGAGGACATAGCCTGCTTGTCCCTCCCACTTTCACCTCGCCCCGGATGACCTTCCATTCAATATTCGACAACCTCCACCCACACCCGATGGGCAACTCACATCTCCATCTCCATATCACCATCCCTATCTTCCGCTCCCATGTTCACCCCACCACCCTCCTCCTGAGCATCCCTAAACGGCGCCTCCCCAGCCCTCCCCACCTCCTCCAAGTCCCTCTCCCCCGTCTCCTCCTCACTCTCCCACCTCCCCACTCTCCTCCTCCGACTGGTCCGAAACAACTCTGTATCCGTATACTCATGTCCCGCAATCATCCTCCTCGCCTCCCACAACGGCTCATATTCTCGTAACTGGAATTTGATCGCGTCATCGAGGACCACGCTGAATCGTCTTTGTTGCACGAGTTGCGCAGCGGCAGCGAAGGGGAGGGAAAGTGTTTCCATTACGTACGCGCAGACGAAGGCTGCGGCGCGGGTGTTCCCGTCGGTATCGTATACGAGGACTTTTCCGCCTCTTCGTAATTCTGCGTCGATCATGTCTTTACAGACTGGGAACCATTTGATACATCCGTGTCCGTCTTCGACACTTCCGAGGTCGATGTACGAACATCGGAAGAGTTGGTGTTGTTGTGGACGTGGTATTAGGTGTGCGGCGGTTTGTGAGGTGCGGATTGCGAGGAGGGAGGTTATGGAGTGAGATTGGAGGAGGGGGAGGTCGCGGGTTGAGGAGAGGGGGCCGAGGAAAACCCCTGGCAGGATTTCTTGGAAGGTACGGCGGTTTTCGTATCTATCCATAGATCGGCGTTTAGTCATGAACGAGAGGGATGATGATGGAGACCCACTTCCAAGAAAATACTTCGCCCACGTTATTGTAATCATACGGCCTCGTATGTATCTTCGGATACTGCGGCCCATAACTCCGCTCAATATTTGCTTCCGCTGTCTTCCCTGTACCTTGATTGATCTGCTGAGGAGAAGCGGTCATCGGGGATTGGTGATCCATGGTGAATACGATGTTGTTTGTTGTGTTGCTGTATGCGAGGTTCATCGTTATCGCGGTCAAGGGTCTTCTGGAGTTGGTGGAGAGGAGAGTCGCGTGTCTGTGAGCCGCCCAATTAAGGGTGGGAGAGTGGACTGATTATCCAGTTGTTTCGTTGATAAAACCTTTCATCTCCAGGCGAAGTGGCCGAGCGGTCTAAGGCGCCGTGTTAAGGTTACTACCAGTAATCCCGCGGTCCGAAAGGGCGCGAGTTCGAATCTCGTCTTCGTCACCATATCTTTTTTTTGTTTTAATGTCTTTCGGTGATTTTTGTGTTCTTTCCCGTTGCAGGTCAGAGACGTTGCTGCTTCGCGATCGAGGATAGAACTTGGAGCGTGCTCGTGTGCTCGGGACTATCGGCTGTCTCGGCTATCGTGTTGCAAGGATTGCGAGGCCCCAGATTGCGGGCCGTTGCAATGAAGGGTTCGATGAAGCCATGACTATCATTCAACACACCTCTACGTCTCGACTGACAAACCTCCACTACTCTACAAGCTCCAGAAATGCCTGCCGAAACCGCCAAACCTTTCCAGATTGGCACGGAGGAAAACCACTGGACCTACAGCTCCTCCTCAAACACCTATGATTTAACCCGTGGGTATCCCTCCTGCCATCCTTCGATCACCCTCCGCACAACCTCTCAAAACCTCAGGATTGCACCTACGCGCACTGCGCTGGTCGTCATCGACATGCAAAACTTCTTCATCTCCGAGAAACTCGAGCGTGGGCGTGGTGGGCTAGATCTTATTGATCCAATCAAGGCCAGTTGTTCCGCCCTTCGTGAAGCTGGCGGAACGGTCGTGTGGGTCAACTGGGGTATCCCGGAAAACTTGGACGGAGTCCCCCCAAGTACCCTCCGCATCTTCTCAACCGGTGCCCATCTTCCCGATGCACCCAAAGCTGCTGCATTCCTCGGTTTCGGCCAAGAGCTCCCGAACGACCTCGGCCCTCTCCTCGTCAAAGACTCTTGGTCCGCCGCACTCCACCCAGACCTCGCCGCCAGTGCTCACCCCTCCGACATCCACATTGACAAATTCCGTATCTCCGCATTCCCCGGCACGCGGTTCGAAGATACTCTTCGCGCGCGTGGGATAACGACCTTGTTATTTGCAGGGGTGAATACGGATCAGTGCGTTATGAGTAGTTTTATGGATGCGTTGAATGCAGGTTTCGATCCAGTTTTAATTGATGATTGTTGTGCGACGACGAGTCCGGAGGGGGCGCATTCGGCGTGTATGGTTAATGCGGAGACGGTGCTTGGGTTTGTTACGAGGAGTGAGTGGATTGTGGAAGCTGCGAAAGCGAAGGCTTAATCGTATGTAAGATACACAGCTATATGTCTTAATCATATCAGGTTGAGACTACCGGACTGTCTGTCTGGCATTTTGCCTCAGCAAGCTCAAGGAAACGCATCCGTGGGAAACGCATGCATGATTCGCGAGCAGTTTGGGAGGCAAAGGACAAGAATGAATAGAAACCATTGATATACCAAGCACAAAAAAACCAACTAACAAGACCGTTCAATGAGAAAACAAACGCTTTGCTTTTCTAAAAGATATTACTAGTTTACAAACTCTCGGATCCCCTCCTCTACTGTCCAGGAGCGATCAGGGTGTCCTTCTGCACCATCATCTTCTCCGAGTTTGGGAGGTGTCCACCAGCAAACGCCTCACCACCATTCAACCTCGCGAAATCCTCAACCCTCTTCTCCAACTCCGGCCTGAAGTGACGAATCAAACCCTGCACAGGCCATGCGGCGGCATCACCCAAAGCACAGATAGTGTGACCCTCGATCTCCTTAGTCAACTCCCACATCATGTCAATCTCTCTTGATCGTGCGTTACCGTTCTCGAAACGGGCCATCATCTTCTGCAGCCAAGTGGTACCCTCACGACAAGGCGTGCACTGACCACAGGACTCGTGCTTGTAGAAAGAGGCGAATCGGGAAATTGCCCTGACGATATCGGTAGACTTGTCCATGACGATAACAGCAGCCGTACCCAAACCAGACTGAACATCCCTCAACGCATCGAAATCCATCAAAACATCGTCACACATGTGCCTGGGCAACACAGGGACGGAGGATCCTCCGGGAATGATACCGAGAAGGTTGTCCCATCCACCACGAACACCACCACAGTGCTTCTCAATAAGCTCCTTGAGAGGAATAGACATCTCCTCCTCGACCGTGCAAGGCTTGTTGACGTGACCGGAGATGGCGAAAAGCTTGGTACCGGAGTTACGCTCACGACCGAAAGCGTTGAACCAGGCACCACCACGCCTCAAGATGGTCGGAACGACAGCGACTGTCTCGACGTTGGTGACGGTGGTAGGGCATCCGAAAACACCGACATCGGCCGGGAACGGAGGCTTAAGTCTGGGCTTACCCTGCTTACCCTCAATAGACTCAATCAAACTCGTCTCCTCACCACAGATGTAGGCACCAGCACCACGGTGGATAAACATCTCCATATCGTATCCAGATCCACAAGCGTTCTTACCCATCATACCAGCCTTGTACGCCTCGTTGATAGCGGTCTGAAGAGCTGACGCCTCGTTGTAGAACTCACCACGAATGTAGATAATACAGTGGGTAGCGTTCATCGCACGTCCAGCTAACAGACATCCCTCAACGAGCTTGTGGGGGTCCTTCCTCAAAATCTCTCTGTCCTTACAAGTTCCAGGCTCACCCTCATCAGCGTTGATAACGAGGTATCGAGGACGACCATCCTTCTCCCATCCAGGCTTGTTCATGAAACTGTACTTCAAACCGGTAGGGAAACCGGCACCACCACGACCACGGAGACCAGACGCCTTCAACTCCGAAATGATCCAGTCGTGTCCCTTCAACAACATCTCCTTCGTCTTGTGCCAGTCACCGAGCCTCATGGCGGACTTGAGGTCGGATCCATGCTGGCCGTAGAGGTTCTGGAAGATACGGTCCTGGTCCTTCAAACCGAAGCCGGAGGTCTTCTTTGCGGGCGCATCGGCGACGGTGGCAAGAGCGCGCACCCGGGAAACGGGAGCAACGACCTTGACAGCCGCAAGACGCCTAGCAGCAGTTGACCGCAACATCTTGCTGGTATATATCGGTGGATAGAGTTTTGTTGGTTGATCTCGAGGCGTTCGTAACTCCCCGCGCCCTGAAATGTAAGCTGCTGCATCAACCAACCAGATCGCTCATTATGACCGGTCAGGCATTTGAATGATAACAACGATTACCGGAGGAGAATTATACTGACATATTCTATCAAGCAAATCTCGAAAACACCCCTGTACACTTCCACTGCAACCGTTGTTGGTGTCGATCTGCATGTCTACGTTACACGCTGCGGCACAAAAACCGACGGAAGGAGAACAGAACAATTCTCGAGTTCTACTATCCCTACGCGATTGTCGATCTTCGAGTCCCACGGACCCCTGGTTCTCTGACCGATTTGCGAGTGCTGCGACTGTTGGCAATACTTTTATAGTAACGCAGCAGTTACACACGAGTGAATGTTTGCTGTCCCTGCCACGTTCAGATCAAGTCTTGGGAAGAGGAAGAGGTCTACAATCCTTTCGGATGACCTAACTGGCGCAGCACATATCTCAGATAACGCCGTGGAGCATGAAAAAGACGTGCACAATGAACGATCTGCCTTAGCTGAACAGCCTGAATCAGAACTTGCTGATCTCCCGGATGAAGTCATTGATCCAACTGACGAAGTCGAACTGAAGGAGGACGAATCAGATCTGAGACAGCATCTCCTCCCGCCAGACCTCATACAACTACCAACTATGTCTACTACCAGATCCTTGCAAAAGCGTCACCTGACGGCTCTCACTGCCCTTATGCATGTCTCGTTGCTTCGGAGAGATTGGGAACGGGCGTACAAAGCCTTCTCCGTCCTGATTCGCATGAAAGATGTCAATTTCAAAAAGATATGGGGTATTGGCCTTGAGGTGCTCAAACACGCACGACCAGATAAGGCCCCTCTTTACCTCAAAAGGATGTGCATCAGGTATCCTGTCTTGTCTAATGCAAACAAGGACGCACTGGACGCTCGAACCTTTTTCAGAGCATTGATACTGCTGAGAATTGAGAGGGCACAACACAACCCAAAGGAGTACAGTATTGCTCAGGAAGAAATGGAAGAGTAAGTCTCCGTTTGCATCCACTGATTTTCTGAGTACTAACAGACACAAAAGGAAACTGTCTGATCCATCCTATACAGATGATCCGATGTTGCACACATATACTGGCATGGTGTGTCTCGCTCGCTCTGGTCATGAGACAGACATTAGAATCAGAGAAATGTTACGGGAGATTGCACGTAAATGCTTTGAGGCGACAGCGATAAAGGGGGGTGTCACGGGAATCTCTCATCAGATATTGAGGGAATTGCAAGCTTTGAAGAAAGATGAAAGCAAGGACGACAGTGAAGACTGACATTTCCAGTGATAGCCAGCCGTTTACCACATGAATCTTTGCATCTCGCCTGGCATGTGCCTCCATTTGAATGGTGTGTAGATAAATATCCACAGTGTGAGTGCAGACGTCAATTCATGCCGTGCGTACTCCATTATCGACGTCCTGCTTGAATTCATGAGAGGAAGGGTATACTGGTGTATTCTTTTAATCCATTCCGAAAATGTCCCTGTACATTTCCATTGTACGGATATCCTTGTACCCAACCGCATGCCCCGCAGCAGCTGGTCCCACGCAAAAAAAGAAGGAAGACTCATACTCAGTGGCGGGCTACATGTGCATCATATGCTGAAACTCCTTCACTTAATCTCTCCACGTTCGCGACATCGGGCATAGAGAACGTATTCCGTGCCGCACCTTCCACCTCCGCCTCCGCCTCATCCACGAAAACCTCTTCATCCGAGCTCTGTCCAAAATCAACTGTTAGCTTGTGATCCACGTTACGACATGATTGAGCATACGTTCTGCAACTCCTCAACCTCAGCCTCCTCAATCTGTTCCGGCTCCAACTCCCCAATATCGATACCCTCCTCGACATCAAGCGGCACAGCCGGATCACCGAACGGGTCCTCACCATCGTCATCCTCATAATAACTCTCGATCTCGAAATCTTCCGGTCGTCCGTGACCTCGAGGTTGGAGACCCTGGTGGTGATACCCCCTCGGCTCAAACTCCCCCGTCTCATTCGAGGTCCAATCGATGATGTCGTCCTCATCTTCGTCCTCATCCGAGGATCCGAATTTATCGGGGAGGTCGTTCGTGATTTGTTGGGACATATATCTCGCGAACTACATCATCCCCATTAGCACTCCCCACAACCACCACCTCAACTCAACGGATGACTTACCTCATCATTCCCAAGATCCCCATCATCATCCTCCAACCGTCCCCCAAACCTACCCAACCTACTCCCCTCTTCATCCCCCTCCACCCCTTCCTCCCCCTCCATACTCATCCCAGCCATATCCGTCGCCATCTGCTCAAACACACCATTATCCACACCCCCCTCCGTCATCCCTGGAATACTCGGCGCAGGCGGCCTAACACCACCCAACATCGTGTTTTCCCGTGCACGGGTGGGCACGATAACGGTCTCGACATACTCCAGCCATTCCTTTGACGTGACTTTTTCTGCGATAATGGGGGGGAGGGATTCAGGTGGTGACCGCTCGGTGAGCTTTACGATCTCGTCCGCGATGAGGAAGAGGTGGCCCATATACCCTAACCGGTACTTGGAATCATCACTCCTCTTCTGCCCCTCGAAAATCCTCTCGATGATTCGTCCCCGTCCGAAGACGTCGATTGCCAACTCCTTCGCATACCCACTCGCCATACTCCCCAACAACACCTGCTGCACGACATCATACACAACATTATGCAGGAAATTATTCCAAGGATACTCGAAGAACAAATCCAGGATCGTGGGCAAGACAGCGTGGTCCAGGAACTGCATCTTGAGCATATCCCCCACGACCGTATCCTGGAGTTTCAACTCCTCCCCCTCGGACTCGTCATCGCTGAAGAACTCCTGGAGTGCGGACGCGGAGGCACCGATATCGATGCTCATCCGTGGTGTACTCGAATCATCTTCCTCATCCTCTTCCTCCTCACTCTCCGAAGCCGAGCCCTCACCATTTTCTGACCCCGACGATTCGGAGCCTTTCGAGCGTACCTCGACCTCCTCAATCTGCGTCTGTTCCCCCTCCCCACTCGAACTCGCCGGACTCATCGCCTCCGGCGTCCGTGCCCGCTCCTGCTCCTCATTCTCATCCTCCACGAACTCGACTCGTAACTCATCATCTGAATCACCATCGCCGCCGCCCCACCTCCGTTTCGCGGAGACGGCTGAGCCTCGTCGCCGGCGCTCGATGTACTCTTCTCGTTCTTCGTCTCGTTTTTTGGCGATGGAGTTTGCGCGGGGGTCGTTGAGGAGGCCCATGTTTGAGCAATGCAGTAACTCGGCGTATAACTCGCAAATCCTGAACCGCTCGAAGCCGAGGGGTTTGATTTCGCCGAATGCGGTGGGGATGGCGTCGCGGACTGTCTTGGGCGTAGATAGAAGACCCTGGAATTCGGGGATCTTGGAAGCGAAGATAGCGAGCATGGTACCGAGGTAAATCGGATCCCGAGGCGTCGCAGGTCGATGGGTTTCGTACAACTGAACCAAATTGACCTGGTCGTAGTCCGAGTTGTTTTTCCGGATACACTCGATGACGATAGACACACCGTTCGTCAGACATGTCGTTGAATTGGGAGCGGTGGGGTGAAGCATGTAATCCACCAACTTGTTCACAGTTTCCTCGCTTACCAGTTCCCTTGATAGAGAGTTAGGTCCGATGACGCCTTGGTTGTCGGCATTGGCGGAGATGGCGATGATGGCTTTCAAGACGTCCGCGACGATGGTTTGGGTATCGGTTGGTTGATGAGGGTCGATTTTGGCCATGAATTTGGGGATGAGGCCGGAGTCGTGGAGCCACTGTATGCACCGTTAGTATTTCCAGATAGACAAACATGCCGAGCTACGTACATCAACAACGCCAGCGCCCGCTTCCGACTTGTCCATTGAAATGATCTTGAGAAGGAGGTCCATAATTGGCGGCGTATCGATATGCTGAAGCATCTTCTCCACAATATTCGGTATCGACTGGATGAACGGGATCATCTACCTCAACCGTCAGCATTCACCCCAACACACTCCCTCCCATATTTCCAAACTCACATCCTCCGTCTTCTTCTCCAAGAACTGCTCATTCACCCTCGTAAAATACGTCGCAAGCAACGGATTCAACGGCGCCGGCCGATCCAAAAAAGTCCAGAACGTCTCCAACAACTCGCGATTCTCGATGACCGCCTCACATATGCTCCACACCTCACAACTCAGCACCTCGCAACTCACATACGAATACTTGAATTTCTGTTTCTCGTCTCCTTCTTCGCAAACCACGTATCCCAACAACTTCCCCAACACGACTGGATCGCGCAGGAATTCGAGGAGTTTGGTGTTGTGCGTTCGAGTTTCCTGGAGCAAATCATCTTCGTCTAGGAGGTCCTCGAGGGTACAGTCGGGTTTGTCGAGGAGGGATTCGATTGTGCTGATACTCGTGCCGAAGCCGAACTTCCAGAATGCCATGGTCGGCGGGTGTATGCTGGCGTCCTAGCTGGAGGGAATTGGCTGTGTGTATCCAGAGGCGGACTGGCGACTGTGCCGGTGCGTTGGGTGTAGCGTGCGCTGGGGACTGCTGCGTGTGCGTGCGCCCTGGCCGTAGGCGCGAGGCACGAAGCCTTACCGGTATCTTGTGATTACGCGGGAGCTGAAAGTACCACACCAAACAGCATACACCCAGGACAACAGCATACACCCCACGAGAACAAGCACGATGAACAGAATATTCGGAGCCTCACGCACAAAGGCACCCAAACCCTCCATCACAGACGCAATCCAAGCAACAGACTCCCGCATCGACTCAATCGAGGTAAAAATCCGCAAACTCGACTCCGAACTCTCCGTCCTCCGCGACCGCATGTCCCGCCTCCGCGACGGCCCAGGCAAGAACTCGCTGAAACAAAAAGCCATCAAAGTCCTGCGTCAGAAAAAGCTGTATGAGAGTCAGTTGGATACCTTGCAGCAACAGACGTTTAATATGGAGCAAACGGCGTTGACGACGGAGAATTTGAGGAATATGATGGTTAGTGTTGACGCTATGCAAACTGCCAACAAAGAAATGAAACGGCAGTATAAATCGTTCAATATTGATAAGATTGAGCGGATACATGATGAGATGGCCGATTTGCTCGAACAATCGAATGAGCTACAGAGTATCATGGGACGGTCATATGATTTGCAGGAGGATATTGACGAGGATGAGTTGGATGCGGAACTGGAGGCGCTTGGGGATGAGCTCGGGGAGGAGGAGGTGGGGGTTGGTGGTATTCCAAGTTACCTCAGGGACGAATGCGTACCAGACTTCGTGGATGATGCACCGCTGGATAACGGGCCGACGAAGATTGGTGAAGCTGCGGCGTGAGAAGGTGCTCGCAATGGTGCTGGATGCTGGATTTGCGTTTTGCGGGCGTGATGAGTGGAAGGGGGAGTCTTGGAAAGCAACGTTAACATCACGTGACGCTATCTTGGCTCGGTGAAAGTGCGCACCGGCCTCCTCCCACAACCGAGGTTGCACGGCATAAGAGTGAAATGTACGATTACTTAGGATACGGTACGAGTATTGGCGTTATTGGATTCTCATTCCCTATCTTGATGCTTGTTTCGTCCACGTCGTGTCGTTCGCGGGGAACAGCCGCTGTGGTCACGGGCGCGGCCCCGGCTCTGGCCCTGGCGGTTTTGTGTTCGCTGTAAACTCTAATCTTGGCAGCCGTTTGCAACTGGAGATGTCAACCGGAAGGGATGCCGCATTTGGTGTTTGAGACCCGATGGGATGCCCTTTGCCTCCCTTTCTCATCGCCCTCTCTGCCCGCTTCGAGCTCGAGGCCCCACGCACGCTGAAACGTCCCGCTTCCATTCCTCGAATGACCATCTCAAAACGTTAATCTTCTACCCTCTTGGCGTCACATAAACTGCGGAATGTGCACGGGGTTCAGCTAACACGCATCTTATTCGCGCCTTGGTTCGGACTTGGGCCACCGAGGCATAAGGCCGCATGAGTTGCCACGTCGAAAGACCAAATACTCTAAGGACGTTGAGGTAAAAGTCGACGAACAACCACCACCATCTCAATCCTGAAGAGGACAGTCAATCGTTTGGAAATAATAGGTTCATAGCAGCAAAATGGGTCTTAAGGGTATGTGCAATTGGTGTTAGGAGGGGTCTTGGTTGCGTGTCACGTCACGGTTGGTTTTGCGCTCCGCGGAATGCAACGCGACGACGTGATGGGAGAGAGCAATTGAGCGGGATGTATGCTGTGTCATTTGCACTCATACTGACAATGTATTCACAGCACTTATCCTCGTCGGCGGTTTCGGTACCCGTCTCCGTCCACTTACCCTCACCCTTCCCAAACCCCTTGTCGAATTCGGCAACCGCCCCATGATCCTCCACCAAATCGAAGCTCTCGCTGCCGCCGGTGTAACGGACATCGTCCTCGCCGTCAACTACCGTCCCGAAATCATGGTCGCGGCACTCAAAAAGTTCGAAGAAGAATACAACGTCACCATCACTTTCTCCGTCGAGACTGAGCCATTGGGTACCGCCGGTCCCCTCGCTTTGGCAGCCGAGATTCTGGGAAAAAATGATGAGCCGTTCTTTGTGTTGAATTCGGATGTTATCTGTGATTATCCCTTCGAGGACCTCGTTGAACACCACCGCTCCCACGGTGCGGAGGGTACGATCATCGTCACCAAGGTCTCCGAGCCATCAAAGTACGGTGTTGTCGTCATGCACCCCGATACCACCCTCATCGAGCGCTTCGTCGAGAAGCCCGTCGAATTCGTCGGAAACCGCATTAACGCCGGTATCTACATCTTCAACCCCTCCGTCCTGAAGCGTATCTCCCTCCGCCCTACCTCGATCGAGAAGGAGACGTTCCCGGCTATGGTCGCCGACAAGCAGCTCCACACGTTCGATTTGCAGGGATACTGGATGGATGTTGGACAGCCCAAGGATTACTTGACCGGAACCACGCTCTATCTTGCCTCCCTCGCGAGCCGTAAATCCAACCTTCTCGCAAGCACCGAGGAGGACTACGTCTACGGCGGCAACGTCATGGTCCACCCCACCGCCAAGATCGGTGCCAACTGTCGTATCGGACCCAACGTCGTCATTGGCCCCAACTGTGTCGTCGGCGACGGTGTCCGTCTCCAGCGCTGTGTTCTCCTCGATGGAACTCGTGTCAAGGATCACGCGTGGGTTAAATCTACCATTGTTGGATGGCATTCGACGATTGGAAGGTGGGCTAGATTGGAGAATGTTAGTGTGCTTGGTGATGATGTTACGGTGTCTGACGAGGTTTACGTTAATGGAGGAAGCATCTTGCCGCACAAGACCATCTCGGCAAACGTTGAGACGCCGCAGGTTATCATGTAAGACGAGCCTTGGGAGTCGTACTGAAGTGGAAAGGTGGAAGCGAGTTATTTGAGCGCGCCGTCGAGGAGATGAGAAGAGCGCATCCATATGTTTTTTGTTGTCATTTTGTCAAAGTGTTGCGATGTTAATATCCAGGAGAAGTGCACGCGCTGGTTTGCGGGTCAAACGAATACGGTGATTCTTTCTTTGCAAATGTTGGGTAATACAGGGTGTTATTTGCTATATCTTACGTGAGTTGAGTTTTTGGCTAGTTGAACACAATATGAGTCGTGTCGCTATCAAGCTCTGTTTGCTGCTTATGGCTCAATCTTCAGGATATACGCATTGAGGCTTTCAAGGCATTGGATGGTGCCCCACCTTCCTACGTCGACCAGCTTGACTCTACATACTTCTTCTCAGTCTCCAAGCACGCCTCGATCCTCGCAAGCACGCGAGCCCGTCCAATGATTTCTACCGTCTTTGCAATATCCGCTCCCATTTTACCTCCACATACACACACCCTGAGACTCATCAACAAATGTTTCTTCGAGAAAGTCCCCTGCACCTCATCCTTGCCCTCAACCTCCTTCCAAGCTGCATCAATTGCGTTGTTGACGTTGGTCTCATCCCATATTTCAATGGCTTGGAAATGTTGAAGAAGTGTGGTAACAGGTAATCCAACCGCCCAGAACGGCTCAAGCTTGGATGACAGCTCAGGTCCAGATTTGCCTTCATGTGGATTCCGCCAGAAGTAGTCGCAGCTCTCTGGAAGATCAGTGGGTTTTCGTAGCCGCTCATGAAGGAGCGCATAAACTTTCTTCACATAACCTGCGTCAAGCAAGACGGAGGAGTCTTGCTCATAACTCTTCATCTCGGAATTCTCCCCTTTTCCAAATTTCTCCTCCAATGCCGGCTTCACGACACCGTAGATCCAATCTGCACCTTGGTCTGGCCGCTGAGAAAGGTGTTTCTTGTTGAGGAAGATGAGCTTCTCGGGTGCGACGGCTGTAGATCCTTTCGTAACTTTATCAAGTCTGAACGCCTTCGTCATCTCCTCCAACGTAAACACCTGATCCCGCATCGTCATCGGAGCTCCCCACCCCAACAACGCAACAAAATTCAATAATGCTTCAGGCAGATATCCCTCCTTGATATACATGTCCACATTTGCATCGTTCTCCCGCTTACTCAACTTCTTCCCTTCGAGGTTCGTCAGAAGTGGTAGATGGGCGAACTTGGGTGCGTCCCAGCCAAAGGCGTCGTAGATTGCTAGGTGTTTTGGTGTGGATGGTAACCATTCTTCCCCGCGCACGACGTGAGAGATTTGCATCAAGTGGTCGTCCACGACAGATGCGAGGTGGTAGGTTGGATACCCGTCTGATTTGAGAAGAACTGGATCATCATACGTCGCTTGTGCCGCAAAAACATTAGGACCCGCCGCCGCCTTTGCTTCTGGTGCCCGGTGAAACTGAACAGTGCCGAAAACCAGGTCGTTCACCTTTGGAAACTCATCCGGCGTAAGAAGGCGGATCGTGTGCCGTTCTCCCTTCGCCACACGCTCCTGGCTTTCGGCATCAGAGATATGCGTACATGCTCTGTCATAGCTCCCCACCGCTCGATTCACGCCCGCGCCCTGATTTCGCAAGCTCTCCAACCTCTCAGCAGAGCAGAAACACCTATACGCCTGCCCACGCTGGACTAGGTCCTCAGCATGTTGCCTGTATATCGGTAATCGCTCAGACTGTTTGTAGGGTCCATATGAGCCTCCAGATGTCGGTGATTCATCCGGTGTGAGCCCGGCCCACGATAGCGTTCTTTGTAGCGATTCTTCTGCGCCGGGGACTGTACGAGCTTGATCCGTATCCTCGATTCGCAGGAGAAACTGTCCCCCGGTATTTTTTGCGAGGAGGTAGTTGTACAATGCGGTCCGCAATCCACCGAGGTGGAGGAATCCTGTTGGACTTGGGGCGAAGCGCGTTCGTGCTGGCGTGGTTGGGTGGAATTTGGGCTTTTTGGCGTAGGAGCGTTTGGAGGTGATCCATGGATTGGGAGCTTTTCTTGGCAATGCGAGGCGGGTGGGGGTGGATCGGGAGAGGAGCATGATTGAGGAGGATGGCGGAACGTGGACGGCTGCGGACATTCCACTTCTGCGTACTCGGTGGGCCGATGAATAGAAGGTCCCGCTTGTCCTTGCAAAAGGGCTTTCTCGTTTTTCCGTCAAGTATTCTGGAGGTGAATGTAACGTAGACACACGGGCGCGGCGTTCCAGGGGCATCATCAGCAAGTGCTGCCGGGGAGTTCATGAAGGAGAGTCCCGGACATTTACTCGGAAGATCGTAGGAGGGTCGCTAGCTATAGACGACGAAAAGATCGGAAGAGCCGTTCTGGCAATGCGAACGTTGAACAGCAAGTGACTGTGCAATGACCTCGAAGGCCTCAAAATCTTGATTTTCCATGACCGTTGGAGCTCAGCTCCGTAAGGCCTTCACCACCCCACCTAACATACGTCTTTCCACCGGTCTGTAACAACACAATATGCCACCATAAAATGTCCATCCACATGCTATATTGAATTCCCACACACAAATATCTTACATACCACCCATAGCACCCATAGCACCACCCTGTCCACCGAGCTTCGCCATATGCCTATACGTACGTCAGCAAACACTCTTCAACGTCGAGTAGAGATGGAAGGGAACGTACTCTCCAATCTTCTGGTTCACCTCAAAGTACTTGGATACACACCGATCGATACAGACAGACTCGCCTTTGTTCAACTCGCCCTCTCCGTATTTTGGGGGAATGCATTTGGCGTGACATGAGGAGACCAATCTAAACAATGCCCACCCTTCGTCAGTACTCTGTCTTGAGTGACAGTGACTTTTTGCGAACGCACCGGTTGAAGAGATCGGTAACCATATCCAGCTCTGCCTCCGCCGCGGCGAGTTTTTGGGGGTTTACGGGTGCGTTGGCACCGGATCCGAGGCCGAAGAACGACATCCCAAATATAAGTCTTGGTGGTGAAGAGAGGGAGTGTAATGACGATAAAGTCCCAAATTTAGAAGGTGTTGGATCCGGCGGTGCGTGGCTGAATCGCTCGTCGTCCCCACAGAACACCAAAAGTATCTCGGCACGCTGTGCTGAAAGTGTGTGCTCACGGAAAGCTCAAATCCCAACGAAACACCAGCGGCAATTGCAGTCGCTCCCCCTCTTGCTTGCTCGATCGATTCACTCACAGATCAGTCGGATCATGTCAATCATCAGCTGGGTCCTCCGCTTCCCACCCCTGCAATGGGCAACCTCAACCCTCAACGACGCCCTAATTACCGCACTACGACAAGGTCCTATACCGACCCACGTCGCATTCGTGTGTGATGGGAATAGACGGTATGCGAAGACGCATGGGATGGAGACGAGTGAGGGACATTCGCAGGGGTTTGAGTCGTTGAAGAAGGTATGATCATGGTCATTCATTGCGCCAGCAATTGTCGCTGTGGGGGATGTGGGCTAACTGGGGTATACAGATCTTGGAGGTGTGTTTGCAGTTAAACGTCAAAGTCGTAACCGTCTACGCCTTCTCCATCGAGAACTTCAAGAGACCGAAGTGGGAGGTGGATGCGCTCATGGATATCGCAAAGAGCGCACTGGCACAATTGGGTGCACATGGGTATGTTTTGTATCATTCGCGGAATATTTGCGAAAGCGAAAGCGAAAGCGATGACTGACACGAAATGGTACAGTGACCTCGCAGATCGCTACGGAGTCTCGGTACGGATATTAGGCGAGACATCACTCGTTCCACCGGATGTGTTGCTGGCGATTGAGAAAGTTACCGAACAAACCAAACACAACAAAAAGTACACCACTACCAACGTCTTACTTCTCAGAAAGCAAGAAATGCTAACAGTACCTGATTTACAGAGCGATCCTGAATGTCTGTTTCCCATATACCTCCCAATCAGAAATAACCCACGCAGTCCGCTCCATCGTCTCTGCCTCCACTTCCCCCTCAACACCCATCGACCCGGAATCCATAACCGAATCAACAATTTCCTCTCACCTCTTTACCAGCGACTGTCCTCCCCTCGACCTCCTCGTACGTACCTCGGGGGTGACGAGGATGAGTGATTTTATGTTGTGGCAGACGGGGGCGGAAACGATGGTTAAGTTTATTGATTGTTTTTGGCCCGAGTTTGATTTGTGGAGGTTTTTGCCTGTGTTGGTGGAGTGGCAGATGAGGGTGAAGGGGGTGGGGTCGGGGATGAGGAAGAAACAGGCTTGAGACTTGAGAGGAAGGTGGTGTTGGGAGGGCATGAGAGGGTGAGGACGAATCTGCATATCATGGGGTGGAATAAAGGATCTGAAGGGAGGTGATGAGGGGAGGGACAGATCGGCATAGACGGGGTGGAAGTGAAATGATCGAGGATGGATGGAGACAAAAGTATACCATTGATGCATCGCGAACACCAAACCATCCATATCCCACCTAACACACCTCATATCACCACAGCCCGTCAGTCATCAATACATCTTCCCATGAATCCCGTTCTACCCCCCCTTGTCAGCATCACCCAATACCCCTACCCCCCAAAAGACAGTACATACATCAAGATATATATCCATCAGAGACGAATCCAGAGAGACCGGCTCCAACAGGCTCCAACAGGCTCCATCAGCCGTTTCAATCGCAGCTGCGCCATTTGTCTAAGCAGCACCGTTTTCCGCCGCGCCTCTGCCTAAGCGACGTAGCCCCACTACTAAGTCGCACTTGACCATCACCAGGACTTCGCCATATACGGGACCAGAGCCCGACGAATCGATCCTACCAAGCAGACAAATGCAACGTCTCAAGGCCGCTCAACACCGTCTCGCAGCAGCCAACAATCTCGCTACGACTACACGACGACCTTCCGGGCCCATGGACAACGACGACCGTGCTCCGCTTTTGGGGAGGACTGCGGGTGTTGCTGGAGGGAGTGAGTATCCGAGTGGAGCGAGAGGGTGGATGCAGCAGGCGTTGGTTACGTTGAAGGTTATTTTGTTGAGTAACTATATCAATGTGTTGTTGGTGTTTGTCCCGCTTGGGATCGTTGCGGGGATGTTGCACTGGAACTCGACGCTTGTCTTTGTTCTTAACTTCCTCGCCATCATTCCTCTTGCTGCGGTATGTTTACTTCCTTCCTCCTTTTTTCACTGTATACTAACGGATCGATGAACAGCTCCTCGGCTTCGCAACCGAAGAACTCGCACTCTCCGTCGGCCAGACCTTGGGCGGTCTCATGAATGCAACCTTTGGCAACGCAGTCGAACTAATCGTCTCCATCGTCGCCCTCCTCAAAGGCGAAATCCGTATCGTCCAAGCCTCCATGCTCGGCTCAATCCTCTCCAACATCCTCCTCGTCCTCGGAATGTGCTTCTTCGCCGGTGGACTCAGATACCAAGAACAATCCTTCAACCAGACCGTTGCGCAGACCATGTCTTCCCTCATGGCTGTCGCGACGGCGTCCTTGTTGATTCCGGCGGCGTTTAGGGCTAGTGTCCCGAGTGATGAGACGACAGAGTTGTTGGATTTGTCGAGGGGGGTGTCGATTGTGTTGTTGGTGCTCTATGTTCTTTACCTTTACTTCCAGCTCAAGACCCATGCGGATTTGTACTCGGAGCAGGAGTCTGAGGATGATGAGCAGGAGGAGAAGACGATTACGGCGTGGACTGCGGGTGGGTTGTTGGTGGTCATCACCCTCCTCGTCGCCTTCTGTGCCGAGTTCTTGGTCGACTCGATTGACGCCCTCGTCGCCGCCTCAGGAATCTCAAAGACGTTCGTGGGTCTCATCCTCATCCCCATCGTCGGTAACGCAGCCGAACACGTCACCTCCGTCACCGTCGCCTACAAGAACAAGATGGACCTCGCCGTCGGTATCGCCATCGGCTCTTCCATGCAGATTGCGCTCTTCATGACTCCCTTCTTGGTCATTCTGGGGTGGATCGTGGGACAACCTATGTCGCTCTACTTCCAGACCTTCGAGACTGCGGTGTTGTTTATCAGTGTGTTGATTGTCAACTACTTGATTCAGGATGGAAAGAGTAACTGGCTTGAGGGTGCGTTGTTGATGGGTGTCTATGCTATTATCAGTATGGCTTTCTTCCTTTACAGGCCTGAGGATGGTCTTTGAATGTGAGGGATGAGATGTCTTTGAGGAGTCAAGGAAATGATGTCAATAGGGACAGTATCGGTCGTTCTCGTTTAGTTCAGTACGATAAATTGAGGAAGTGTATTAGATGGTGATTTCCTCGTAATTCTCATAAGTTTCCTGTAGTACAATGGATTTAAATCTCTTGAACACATTAATGTATCCACGCAATCTATGACGATATTCCACTGGAATCGCCGAATCACTTAAGGAGCGGTTCCCCCTCTCCCATCGTCTTCCCATTGTCATCAGCACCCTCATCACTCTCCACGTCCTCTGCACTGTCTGCGACCAACGTATCCTCCGCATCCGAAACTTTGTCCTTTTCCTTTTCATCCTCCACCCCATCCCTCCCAACAACAACACTCCCCACAACCATCATCCCAGCCCCAACCCACCACTCCCACCTCCCTAATGCGCCGACCTCCCCGAAAACAGCAAACCCACTGACTGCCGCAACCACGAAGTTCGTGACTGTGTTGATGATTGTTGGGGCTGTGGAGGAAGTTGAGAGGGCGAGAGCGCGGGAAAAGAAGGTCCACATCTGCGTAAAGAACGTTAGAGCAGTTGGGTAGGAGAGCACGGAGGGTGGGGTTACAATTGCATTCGAGGCGAAGATAAGGAGGAAGCACAACCCCCGTACGACGGGCTCAGCGAATGCGACATGTTCCAAGTTGAGGAACCTCAAAATGGCAGGGACTGTCGCATCATTCGAGAATAACTTCGCGAATACACTCGAGAGGGCTGCGAATGCTCCTGATAGAATCGCGAAGAGAACGTAAGTGTCCATTGTCGGTGGGGAGTTCGAGGTGGAGGTCGAGATCGGTTGCCCCATTGGGAAGGAGAGAAACAAAGACGTCACCCGCAGATTTCTGATTTCTCACAGTTCCCTCCCGTTGATATATTCGGTATTACGTACAAATAGATAAAACAATAACTCCCTTCAAGCGGCAATGGTAAGCGATACGTTCACTCCGCACAGGCATAAATCCCTTCCACCGCAATACTCGTCTTCCTCTTCTTCAACTCCTCCTTCGTAGCCTCCATACTCTCGTCTCTTCCCCTCTTCTTCTGCTTAACTGTCTCCATTCTGCTCGGCGGAAGGCCAGGTACGGCGAACCCGTCGTTCATGGGGGTAGGAGCGGGGTTGTTGGTGGCGACCTGGCGGGACGCGGGAGCGGACAGATCATCATCGCTCTCGTCGTCTGTCATATCGTCTACCTCCCGGTGTGTGGCATGAGCAGAGCGGACAACATCGACTTCCTCCTCCCCATCATCCAGTCCACCGACAAGAGTAGGCGGTCGTTGAACCTTCGGCGGAACAGGAGCGGGCTCGGGTACAGCAGGCGCGTCCTCCATAACCGTGTCATTCAGGACAAGAGGTTGCTCCTCAACTTCAAACTGTTTCGCCTCGTTAGCATGGATAGAAATCCTCTTGCGGAGCGAAACATACGTGATGCGCAATATCCCTCGTCGGCTCAAAATACTTCGCCATCATCCTCTTCTGATTCGCCGCTGTCTTGACGACCGTCATGCTCGCATAACTGTGCCTAGCCAAGTCTTTGCTCTTGTTCTGCTTTCCAGATTTGGATGTGTTGGTAGCGATAAAGCGTTCAGCTTGAAGACGCTTGGTGAGCTGATTTGCGGTGGGAAGGTCGACGGAGAGACGCTGGGCGAAGTCGCGGTTTGTTTTGGAGACACCTTCGGTCCAGACGATCATAAGGGCTCGGCGGAAGAGGGCCTATAACCACGTTAGATTTCTGCATGAGTCGTTGATGGATACAGAGGCAAGCTATACCAAGTCACGCATAGTATCCAACAACCTCTCCTCTTTCTTCAACAAACAAGAGTAACAGGTATGATCATCTGGCAACTTAGGATCGTTCCCACTGGAGAAGCCGTAGCACCAGACATGACACCAGGTCTTGCAAGTAGCACATTGGACCTGTACGATATCTTTAATGAGCAAGCGAGAACCTTCCATGGGTTGTAGCACACGTACCATCTCCCCATCATCATTGTCATCTCCGCATTCACACGAAACCTTATCGTCATCAGCGTCCTGACTCCCCCTTCCACTTCTCGTCGTCCTCCCTTCATTATGGATCGCGAACGTTCTCAATTCCTCCGTCTTTTGTCTGGTCAATTTCATTTTCGAGACCGTGTTATTGTTAGTAGGCGGATGGGAAGGAACATTAACAGAAGAAAGAGCAGAAGAGAGAGCATTCATAGCTGTTGCGGGTTTGCTGAACCCTGCGGCTGGCTGAGGAACTGTCTGATTGCCGGTTTGCATGGTGATGGATCTCAGGGGTGGACGGCCAGTCGCTGGCGAGGATGCGATGAGCTGGGTAACTTGAGAGAATTCGTCGAGTTGTTGAGTAGAATCTTCGAGGACGGTAGCCTGTCGAGGATGAAGCTGTATGTTGCCCATGTCAGTAGAATGAGTCACGGTCACGGGATTACCGAACCTACCATGCGCTGAAGTGCAACCCTTTCTTGAACCACAGGCCCCCGCAAACCGTCATTCTGTGCAGTCTTTTGTCCCATAGCCTCCCCAAGCTTTACACTGGACAGCCCTTCTTCGCTACCTTGAGTATCCTCCCTCGCCCTTCTCTGACTTAGCTGGCTGTTAGACATGGGGTTCGTCACAACCACTATAGCATCTGCATCTTCCATAGCCTCTTCAACATCCCACACCTTCGTTCCATCACCAGTGGTTGAGCTCGGGGTAAGGGACACTGCACCAGACTCGGAGGCAAGGGCCTCTGCTTCAGAGCGATCTGCCATTGAGGTAACTTTCAGATGCACACTGTCACGCGATGCTTAGTGCCATCGACTCAGGGAATGAACGGAGTACATACGCGTGCCATCCAGCACACATGGTTCCCGCCTCGAACGCCATCGGCTCCTCTCCGCTCTCCCCACTTGTAAACTTCAACCCCTCCTCCTCTGTACTATCCTTGAAGCCAGGTGGCTGATATTCCTCCGGCGTTCTCTCATTGTACACCAACTTGATAGTAATCCATCTTGAATCAGGCAGCGGCCTCAAGGTCTGCGTCAACATGATCAATCTCCTCAGTAGTGCCTGTACAGACTTCCTCGCATCAAGGTTCTTAACGCCATCGATGGGTTGACCGTTGGTGTCGATGATAGTCATACAGGCCTCGCCGGTAGATTTATAGGCGAAAGAGAATGTGTATGACTCGATAATATCATGAGGCTTGGCAGGGTCAAGGTAGATGGCCAGGATGACAGATCGGAGATGTCTCTTCTCAAGAGCGTCATAAACTCCCTTTTCCTGTTGTGACCATTGTTAGTTTGCGTGTACTATACAGCCAAATAGCAAGAACATACAATATAATCGAGCAACGTATTTGCTTCTTCGGAGTAACCACGTTTGAGTTTCTTGAACCTCATTCCATTCCCACCTCCGGCGGTCGAGTCACGATGCGTCAGTCCCCTTGTTCCAGCAGCGGGGTTCTGGCTCGCCTGGAACCTTTCCTCAATGAAGTTGTCATCTGCGTAATCTTGTTAGCTACCATGCAATAGCATACAGCCGCATACAGCCTCAAAGGGTGTTATAGGGACGCATGTACTCCCTGAAAGTGCTCGAAAATTGAGACATACCTGGAAAGATACCTCGAATGTACGTGATACATCCAAAGCTCGCAGTGATAAGCGTGTGCAAAAGGGTCAAACTCTGCTGCTCAGTCGTCTGAGCTTGGTCCGTTGTCTGAGCTTGCGGGCGAAGAAGCTGTGCAGTAGACATGTCGATAAATGGGTATTGATGGGTATAAAATAGAGCAACTGCGAGGCGTATGCTATTTTTTGAAAGCTTTGAGCAAGTTCGTGCTTTCAGCGAGTGATGGTGTTGCGGTGGAGAACTCAGGAGTTTACGTGTGAGTTGTAAATGTGTGGGGCCTTAGCGTCTCCGGGGTCAGATGCTAAAAATAGGAACAGGTCAAGTTCAAAGAGGACAAGAGTTTGGAAAGGTTGAAAACTCTCCTTTGAACTGCCATTGATGCTCCATTAATGACCCTAATAATGCTAGTTTTGTAGTGCAGGTAGGTATGATATCAATTGGTAAAAAGCCCATCAATCCGTCCGTCGGGCTCCATCTTCGTGTATGCTCCCGTGAGAGTTCGGATCCCTCCATACCATTCAAAAACCACGTCTTCAACTTTCTTCCTGCTCAATAGCGTGTCAAACACACTGGCATTCTCCTCGATTGCCGTTTCCTCAGACTCCCTGCATTCTCCTCCCTCTCCCCCACTTCTTTTTGAGCGACTTGCATTCATGCCACCTCCATTCACAGCCCGTCTTTCACTTCCAGCACCTCTGTCTTCGCTCAATTGATGAACAGCAGGCTCTATACTCTGTTCATTAGATGAACCGAAACTTCCCTGAGTTCCTTTCCCAAATGTCGCCCAGACATCCGCTCGGTTCAAGTTTGCTTCCTGCATGACCCTTACGTACTCGCTTTGAAAATGTTCAATCAATTCATTGACCGTAGGTGTAGTTGGCAGAGACGGAGTTGTCGATGGCGGGTATCGAATTAACCGCTTTTCGCCGGAGGGAAATTTAACGCTCTGGCCTTCTTCTTGTTTTGCTTATATGTTTGGCTGTTACCGGAAAGCAGTGGGTTCGTGAGAAATTTCATGGAACACGACTGGACTAACTAGGAGATTTTCGAACACCAATATGAACGGGAAATTCGACAGCTACAGTTCGGTGTAAACGTATCTCATCATTGAATGCCAGTATATATTGTAGAAGCCTTTATGGCAGCTGCAAATACGGCGACGCGGGCGCCTCCAACTCTATCCCGTCCTTTTCAACAAATCCTCAAACCCGATCGGCTCAAACACTTCCCTCCTCTTCCGATCCTGCGCCCAAATAACATCCTGATCCAAATAAACAAGCACCCCACCCGTCCCGCTCGCGCTCGCCGTAACCCTCATCAACGGCTTCCCCGTAACTTCATGCGCCTTTCTCGTAGGCATCAACAACAGATTATTCTCCGCACAAAAGCCCTCGACGATATCCTTGAAAGTCGTTTCAACCGGCGGTACATACTTCTTCGGCTGTACTTTCTCCATCGGCTTTGTAGGCGGTGCGATGGGTTTCGCTGGTCCAGCAGCGGGCGGAGCAAGTTCCTTCGCAGCCCTCGCCCCAAGATCAAGACTCTGATTCATCATATCCAACCCCTTCGCAAACCCTTTCCGCACAGCCGGGATACTCCTCATATCCCTCGGAAACACCTCCTGCCAAAATTGATACCACTGACTCACCTCTGTGTAGTTCGGTTCATCCGTTAACCACAAATACAGAATATTCAACCACTTCGGGAAGAACTCTGCCTCGAAAAGCTGTCCGAACGTGCTTGGCCGGAAAAATGGTAACCAGGGAAACACGAGTCCCAGCGGCTCCAACTTCTGATCCGCCGGATCCACCTCGAAATCAACCCTAAGCACACTGGCGAGTTTGGGTAGTAGATGCTTAACCAATATCCCCTCCATCTCACCCTTCCCAAACACCTCCCTCCACTCCTCCAAACCCTCCACAACGCCATCCTCAATCCTCCACCCCGCCAACACCTTCCCAAACTTCCTCTTGACATCATCAACCACCTCAGCCATACGTTCTCCCAGTAACGGTAACCACGGGAACACCCACGTATGCGGCTCCGGCCCTTTCCGTCTCGGGTTCCACTCCTGCACTGCCGCGTGCAGCTTGGGCAGGATGAGCTGCTCGAGTATACTCTGACTTATGAACGGGGGTAACAGCTGTTCCCACGCTTCGAGCACATTTAACACAGGCCCCGGGTGGAGGGGATCCCACTCATTGTTGATCGCCGACCGGACTTTGGGCAACCAAATCTGCATCATCAGCGTCTCGTAATACGTCGTCCTCTCCCTCTCCTCCCCCAAGAACCCATTCGCCTCAAATTGGGCCTCGATATCGCTCTTACTCTTAATTCTCAACACCCCCCTCCACCGATGGAAATAATCCAATAAATAGGTGGGTTGGGAGAGGGGATCCCAGGAGGCAAGTGCTTGTTTGATAAAGGGTGTAATGGCACCCACAGCGACTTGGTCGAGTTCGAGGGCTTCGCTTTCGTCCCGGTACTGGAATTGCATCTGTTCCAGCTTAGCGGAGATCCAATCCAAAGCGACCTCACTCTCGTGGCCCGTAGACTTAGAACTCATATCCTCGATCTCCACGACTAGCGCGACCAATCCCTCAAGTCTTGTGATCTTTTCGGTCTCATCGTCAATAACCCTCGCGAGTCGTTTCTCTTCTTGCTCGACATATTTCTTTTGGTCCTGTAATGCCTTCCATTCAGACGCATACGCCTCCAACTCCCTCCGCGCCATCAACGCAATCTTCATCTCCACATCCTGTCTATTCTCCCCCTTTGGTGTACCGACACCTTCGGCAGCGGAGATAGTCTTGACCTCACGTCCAGTCATATCCACAATCTTCGCCAGCGCAGGCGGAATAACCAACCCACCAGCCTCAACCGCAATCTCCTCCGCAGTCCTAAAAACCTCTTTCTCCTTCCTCCCCCTCCCTGCCCCCATCCTCGGCGTCCCCGCACCCCCCTCCTTCTTAGCCTTTGCCTTTCGCTTCTTCTGTAACTCATCCTCATCGTCACCAAACACAACACCCCTCCTCCTCGCCTCCTCCCTCGCCTGCTCCGTCATCTCCTTCATCCCTCCCACACCCAACCGTCCACTCCGTAACTTGGTCTCGATAGGATTCACGATTCCTTGCCCATTTGAACCGAGACCTTGGCCTTCGACGTAACCCATTTTTGCGAGCATTTTGGCACCGAAGCCGGCTTTGAGACGAGATTCGCCGCGGGCTGGGGGACCTTTCTTCCTTAGAGAGGCCATTGTGGGTCGAGGTGCTGGAGTTGCTGGGGCTGAGGGGGGAGTAGGAGTAACTCTCGGAGCAGGCATGGAAGACGGGACACCTTGTGGTAGTGCGAACGACACCCCAGGAGGCCGTGACGCTGCACCTGACTCAACAATCACAGGCTGCGGCGCCGGTGCCTGATCCCATCGACTCTTCGGACCCACATTCGTCGCAACACCAGAATCCGTCTTAGGCGGTGTCTCCGTACTTGTACTCGTCTTAAACCCTATCCCACCCCTCGCCGTCATGGTTGCAGGTGTTGATGCATCGGATGACCCCGGTGTTGCGGGTACCGCTTTGCTCCCTAAGCCGGGATGCGCTGATTCAACTGTGCGGGCAGCGAAGGATGTTACGGATCGTGGAGCGAAAGCTGTTGTGCCGAGACCCAGACCGCCGAATGAAGGTCGAGGAGGTTCGTCGTCTTCGTCGTAGTCTCGTTCGATTACGTAGTCTTCTCCTTCCTGATCACCTTCCTCTTCCTCATTGTATTCCTCGACGTCTTTCATTGCCTCATCCTCAACTTCCGCCTGCTCCTGCGCCGGCTCCTGCGCCGGCTCCTTGGTCGTCTTCTCGGCTTTCTGGAAGTTCACACCCTTATACCTCATCGCCCTCGCCCCCAACCCGTTCCTCTCATCCTCACTATCCTCCTCCCCAAACACCCCCAACATCGCATCCTCCTTCCCACCGACTCTTCGCCTCTTCCTCCGTCCCGGATTCTGGAATAATTCCGCTTCGTCGCGTTCGTCTGCGTCTGCGTACTGATCATAAGTGTCCTCCTCTGCGCTGGAGTCGTCGGAAGACGACGCATAATCCGCCAATCGACTGGCCATCGTGGGGGGGGGGGGCGGGTGTATGGGAGATGGCCGAATTCGGGGTGCGGTGTAACGTAGGTTTACGCCGTCCTGGCGGGGATGCACGTGCCTGAAGGCTCGAGTCGACGTTACCGAGACCACAATCAAATCCGGGAACTGCGATCAAGGATACTTCGAATAACAGGTTTTCAAACGCAGGCATTTCAAATCGAAAGACGACATCGATGATCCGCGGTATCGGAACAGACATCCTCCGTATCGTCCGCCTGCAAGAATTATACAAGAAATACCCCTCTGCCCTACCAAAACGAATTCTCCGACCGAACGAGCGAAAACAACTGGGGCTATACAATCAAGAAGATAAAACACACAGCACCAAGGCCCTGCTTTACCTAGCCTCAATCTGGACCGCAAAAGAAGCAGTCTATAAAGCCTTCACCCCCTCCCGACACCTAACCTGGCAAGACGTCGAACTAAACTACAAACCCTCCGATCCTTCTCTCAGATGGACATCATCACAAGATATTCATACCAGCCATGACCAGGGTAGGACGCCGGTGTTGAGGGTTTTCGGGGAGGATGGGAGGGAAGATCGGTGGGAGGAGGTACATGTGAGTTTGAGTTGGGATGGGGAGTATGCTGTTGCGTATGTTGTTAGGGAGGTGGAGGTAGAGAATATGACGTGGTCGGGTCCCGTTGAGACGGCGGACGATCCGGTAGTACCATAGCCCGACATACCATGTGCGGCGCGTTTCCACAGCAGCACACCCCGTATGCTTCCCGTACGTTTAGGTATCGGACACAGATAACATCTCGGATGTTCAACGACAGCAATCCTATCGAACTCTATCGACCTCTATCGACCTCTATCGAGCACAAAATCGGGGTCTGCTACTGTAAGGTGTGGCGTGTACAGCACGTCGCGTCTTCGAGTTCAATTACAAACGCGCGCATCGTAAACCTCCAAGGAAAACACAAACGTAACCCTCGGGACTATTCGCCATGGCAGGGACGAACGACTACTACGACATCGACGCAATCCTAACAGACCACCAAGTACGTTCTACCTCTCCTCCTCTTCTCCACCGCGTGCAATAGGCTGACATGGTGGGACGCAGAAAATCCCCTCCACCTTCAACTTCGAAATCCCAGGCCTCGGCTACCTCGAATCCCCCACCGACCCCAACCAACCCCTCCTAGCCGGCACAAAACTCGACCTCCCCCTCTGGCTCTCCGAACTCCTCGCCATCCAACAATTCACCGACCTCCACCTTCCACCCCCCTTCTCCTCCCGCGTCCGCAACGCCCTCAAGGCCGATCCCAAAAGCGTAGATTTACGGGCGTGGAGTCCGCATTTCTATGGTGTTGGTGTTCGGTTGTTGGGGGTTGTTAGGGATGAGGAGTTGGTGCAGGTGCTGGAGGCGACGTGGAGGGAGAGGGTTGCGGTTGTTGCTGATCATGCGCAAAATCCGACGGGGGCTATGGAGGAGGGTGCGGTGTTTTTGAGCGGGTTGGATGAGATGGAGAGGCAGTGTGAGTACTGATGCGTCTGTTGTGTAAGAATGTGTGTGCTGACTGTGTGGGCAGTGTTCAGGATCGTACATGATAGCGCAAAAGCTATGAAACAATGGCAGGATCAGGGCAAGAAGAGCAGCTGAATATGATACGGAGATCGTACGGGCATGGAGTTTTGCGGCGTTTTGCATCTTGGACATACCCAGCGGAAGTTACGGAGCATCAAGATCGAGTAATAAATAATCGTCATATCAGATAAATCCTACACTATCCATCCGTATATATTACAACCGAAGTAGACCGGTAAGTATCAGCACGATCTTCACAATCTCGCTTCCTGCTTTCCACCACCATGGATTCAAGCAGAGAAACGCTTCTCAGCAGCCTGCCAGTTAATAACAGACCAGATGTTCTTATAGTACTCAACCTTGTTGTTCTGGTACTGGAGGTAGTAAGCGTGCTCCCAAGTATCAACACCAATCAAGGGAACCTGGTTTCCGACGACGGGGTCCTGGTTGGGAGTAGTGATGATAGCCAACTTGCCAGTCTCCTTGTCCTTGATCAACCATCCCCATCCAGATCCCTGAATACCAGCGAGAGCAGCATTGAACTTCTGGATAAAGTTGTCCACGTTACCCCACTGCTGGTTAATCGCATCCGCCAACGCACCAGTCGGGGGCTTTCCACCACCCTGGGACGCAGGAGCGAGGTTCTCCCAGAAAAGGGTGTGGTTGAGGTGACCGCCTCCGTTGAACTTGAGCGCGGCTTGGAGTGCGATTTGGGAAGCGACGTCGTTAGACTTGACAGCGGCCTCGAGCTTCTCTTCGGCGGCGTTGAGGTTGGTGACGTAGGTGTTGTGGTGCTTCGTGTGGTGAATCTTCATGATCTCCTCGGAGATGGCGGGTTCAAGGGCATTGTAGGGGTAGGCGAGTTCGGGGAGAGTGCTATCATCTCACGATCAGTCATCTTATCAAACACAATGACGAAGAGAGGACAACGTACTGCTTGAAACGAGCAGCCATAGACATCTTTGCGACGGTCTGAAGACGAGCGGTACGGAAAACCGAAGAGCGGACAGCGGAGAGCGACATATTTGGTTGCGGGTGACTAAAGTCTAGAAAGAGGCGTCAACCGTTTAGTAATCACGTCTGACGGATCGGAGGGTTTTGTAGGTATACCTTTGTGGTTGTTGGAGGGAGATTGGTGAGTCCTGGCAGGGTGCAGCCAAAATAACCGCAGGACCCGCGCTCGGAGATTCGGAGAGGAATTGCATCATAGCCAACCCGTGACGAGGGAAAACGAAAGGAATAGGATGGATTTGACAAGTATTCCGAGGAGGGACTGACCGTTCTGCTGGCAATTGGAGTGCGGTGATGCACGTGGAAAGATCTCGAATTCGAATCAAAGCGCCCGAGGTCGACGAGACATTCCTCGGAGGGTGATCTCGAGCTCGGGGTGTTTCTTGACATAGCTAAGGCTATGACGAATCGCGGGTATTTAAAGTCAAGGGATTTTGTAGGTATGTCCGCCTATCGCGATCCATGCCATAGGTATGGCAATAGCGGCTTCATTTGCCGAGCAGTACATCCGGACGTGGGTGGTGCTCGAGTTTGAAGAGCTCAAACAGCCGATCCCAACACGTAACACCGACGCTGATCTCATCTGTAAGTCGGAAGCTTCCCGCCCGACATCACCTCAGATCGCATTCCTTCCTGTTTTTCCAACTCCAACAGAAATCCGTAAAATGTTTCATCTCCTCCCCCTCCCCAAAACCTCCCCAACAGCCCTCTCAACCTCCCCCCCATTCCTCTCCAAAACATCAACAGCCTCCTCCCTCACCAACTCCGGAAAAACCCCCATCAACGTCTCAATATCCACTTCCCGGATCCTTGGCGCACGCTGCGTTTCGCGGCGTCCAGAGAGTGTATCGAGGAGTTCTGTCGAGATGGGTTGGAGGGTTGGACTGTTCGGCGGGGGGTTGAGGTCGTCGAGGGAGTCGGAGGTTTGAGGAGCGGTATCGGGGTCTGCGGTTGCGAGACTACTATAGCCCGACGGAGAAGGCATGGGGCCCCGACCCGTGAGGGATTTGGGGAGGAATGAAGACGGTACGCGCCACGCTCGTACCCGCCCTGGAACGACCTCCGCTCTCCATCCCAGGCCGACACACCATCCCACCGCAGCACTAACCGCACTCCCCCACCCCTGACTCAACGCGACCTGTGCCGCCAACCCCCACACGAAGATTTTATCCGTCACGGTAAGAGCCCGGGGAAGGGGTTCGAGGTGGAAGGAGTAAGTTGGGGGGATGAGGGATGCGTAGTGCGCGAGGAGGGAGAAGAGGAGGGGTGTGGGGCCTGGTGGGAGGTAATTTAGTCCGAAGATGGGTCGGAGGAGGAGGAGAAGGAGGGGGCCGAGGAGGGATGTGAGGAACCAGGTTGAGATGATCAGCGAGATGTATTTCCGGCTTCCCATTGCGCGCTCCACGCCTCGTAGGTTGTACACCAGTAATACTGCGAACAGAACTTCGCCTGAGTTGACGTAGGCGAGTTGCCATGTCAGGAGACGGTGAAATTGGTGGTATTGTAGGAGATGGGGAGAGAATTGGATGTGGAGGAGGGGTTGGAGGGAGAGGAGGGGGATGAGGGTTGATGTGGTGATGAGGTATGTGGAGAGGAACTTCGAGATTGGGGCGTTGCGGAAGCCTGTTGACCCGGTGTTAGCTGCGAGTACAGATCCTGGACGTTGATGGATTAACCCGATGGTGCTGAGGACAACATCTTGACCGTTTGATCAGCTGGTTGAGCGGGTGTCGATGGTGGTAGGGTGTACGGAGCGGGTTGCCAGGCGCGTACAAGCCGCGGTCGACGTCGACGTCCCGAACTACGTGTATAAAACCTTAATTCAAAACCGGACGGGTACCTCACTCTTCATCCTCATCCTACCCTCTTAAAAAGAACTCCATCCTCTTCACGAATCGAAGGACTCAGTCTCTCACGTCACACCTGCATTCGCCTCAGTCCAGTGACGCACGGACCTCCCCACCCAAAAATACTTCCCTCGAACCCCCACACTCGCCCATATAGCAATTATGGACGCAATCAAATCCGTTGTCGAGAAGGTCGTTCCCGGACTCGTGGACACCGCTTCTCCTCCCTCCGGGGCTCAAGTCGCCGACCTCCGCGCCAAATACGATGCAGCCGGCCAATCCCAGGTCTTCACCTTCTGGGACTCGCTTTCCGACAGCGAGAAAGCTGCGTTGTACACCCAGTTGTCCGATATTGACCCTGAACGCGTCAACCGTATCGCTACCGAGACCCTCAACCCCGCTCTCACTGCTGAGGGAGACGACAAGGTTGAGCCCCTTCCCGCCGCACAGACCGCCTCCACCATCGATGCTTCCGAGTCTCAACTCCAAGCCTGGAGAACGAAGGGTCTTGAGCTTATTGGCGAGAGCAAGGTTGCTGTTTTGTTGATGGCCGGAGGACAAGGTACCCGTCTCGGGTCCTCTGACCCGAAGGGATGTTTCGATATTGGTCTTCCCTCTCACAAATCTCTCTTCCAACTCCAAGCCGAGCGTATTCGTCGCGTCGAGGTCCTCGCCGCCAAACACGCTGGAAAGGCAGCGGGTGAGGTCGTGGTGCCGTGGTATGTCATGACCTCCGGGCCCACCCGTGGTCCCACCGAGGCCTTCTTCCAGAAGAACAACTACTTTGGTTTAAAGAAGGAGAACGTCATCGTTTTTGAGCAGGGTGTCTTGCCTTGCCTCACTAACGACGCCAAGATCATCCTGGAGTCAAAGGGCAAAGTCGCGGTAGCTCCCGACGGCAACGGTGGTCTCTACCGCGGTATGATCACCTCCCCCGTCCTCTCCGACCTCGAGAAGAGAGGCATCGAACACGTCCACGCATACTGCGTCGACAACTGTCTCGTCCGCGTCGCAGACCCTACATTCATCGGATTCTCCGTCGCCAAAAACGCGGATATCGCGACTAAAGTCGTACGGAAACGCGCGCCCGAGGAGCCGGTTGGACTCATCGTTTTGAAAGGTGGGAAGCCGGGTGTTGTGGAGTATTCCGAGATTGACGAGGCTTTGACGAAGCAGGTTGAGGAGATGGGGGAGGAGAAGGGGTTGTTGAGGTATCGGGCTGCTAATATCGTGAATCACTACTACCATATCAGGTTCTTGTCGAAGATCCCGGTGTGGTGCGATAACCTGCCACACCACATCGCACGCAAGAAGATCCCATACGTCGACCTCGAATCAGGCGAAACCGTCAAACCCTCAAAGCCAAACGGCATCAAACTCGAACAATTCGTCTTTGACGTCTTCCCCTTCATCTCGTTGGACAATTTCGCCTGTCTTGAGGTTAAACGCGAGGATGAGTTCTCGCCGCTCAAGAATGCTAGGGGCGCGGGTGAGGATGATCCCGATACCTCGAAGAAGGATATTATGGCGCAGGGGAGGAAGTGGGTTGAGGCTGCAGGTGGGGTTGTGGAGGGGGAGAGCGAGGAGGAGAGTGGGGTTGAGGTTAGTCCGTTGGTGTCGTATGATGGGGAGGGGTTGGAGGGGTATGTTAAGGGAAAGACGTTGAGGGCGCCCGTTAAGATTGAGGCGGATGAGTAAGGGTGGTAAGATGCGTGACTGTAGGGATGTAGGATATTACATTATAGTGACATTGCTTATGGATTCTATGAACTTGCTTCTTGAGTGTTGATGATTGCAAAACCTGTCCACCTAAAAAGTCACACGCCCATCATCCACCCCCTCACCTCCTCCTCTTCACATTCTGAGGCTCAACGGTCTCTTCCCTGTCATCACCACTCATTACCCTCCCCGCCGTTCTTTTCCTCCCACTGTACGTCTCTGTAAACTGACTACTGGTATGCTTCTCCTCCTCCTCCTCCTCTCCTCCAAAATCTAGCTCAGTATCTCCAGGACTATGCGCCCCCGAATTAAGAAACATCATCATGATCTGCGCTGCCGCCGAATCTTCACTCCCGGGTCTAAGCCCTGGACTCGAGCCCTGACAACCGTTCACCAGAGGTCTGCTTGAATCCAGGCCAAAGTGTAGCGCTAGAGCTTCGTGACGGGGATGCATAGGATTTGGGTTTCGTTTCCGCTCCGGACTCGCGGTAAAGAAGGGCGGAAATACCAACGGACTCTGCTGTAACTGTAGTTGTGTCTGCAAACTCGGTACGCGTCGATGACTCCGACTGGTACGTGAATGATGGTGTTTTGAGCTTGGGTTTGAGTCGAAGCGGGTACGTGTCGGCGTTGTGGGGTGGGAGGTGAGTCCATTGTAGATTGAGGAGGGGCGGGAGGAGGCGGGGTTTAGTTCTGGGTGGTCCCAGACTGTTTCGAGGTCTTTTCGTCCTTCATCCTGGTCTGGTTGTTTGGTAGTGAAAGACAAAACAGGGAGGAGCATCTTTTGCTGTACATGGCGGCTATCATCGTCGGGGTGAAATGTCGAGGCCGAGGCGTGCGACAATGTGCCCATTGGTAGCCTGTGAGTATGTACCCTCCCCCCCAAGTACCTCTCCTCCAACTCCGATATCGTACTGGTCTGGTGATTATGCGATGCTTTCCAATGTGCGTAACTCAATGTCGTACGTAACTTTTTCGTGAGCTGTATGGAACGAACATTAGCCTACCATCGTCCTTGGGAGACAGGGATCTGGTTCGCTTTCACACCTCCTGGATTCGGGCACTCGTGCTAAGCTCCATCACGAACGAAGAAGAGAGTACGAGAGGGAGGGGAGAGGAGGAGGAGGAGGAGGAGGTCAAGCGGCTCGTTTGGGGGACGGGCGAAGATCGTGTGGCGTGTAGATGAGCTCGAGGCTTGAGCGTGGGTATGGGGTATATTAGAGTTCAATTAGAAATCTCGAGCCATGAAACGATGCATTTGGTAAAGTGTGTCGAAGAGGTCTATATGTAGTTATGGGGATTTTCCCTATCCTACTCATATGGCTCCTGATTGTCGGTTCATCGAATCTCTCCCAAGATAATCTTCCGATCCGTCGACGCAGACATAACTGTAAGGCCCATCGATTAGCACGCAAATCGCAGCATGACGTCAATGCATCTTACCAATCGGCTCAATCGGCGAAAACTGCACATCATTAACACACCCCGAATGCCCGGGCAACGCATATTCCACACTCCCACTTTCCGATTCCCAGACATACACGACGCCATCACTCCCTCCCGCCCCGACTCTCTTCCCGTCAGCGCTCCAACTCGCTCTCTGTAGATTTTTCTCGAAGCCGTGGAGAGCTTTTCCGTGGGGTGCGGTGAGGGTGCGGATGAGGCGGGTGGGGGAGGAGGTGAAGGGTGCGATATCCCATATTCGGAGGGTGGAGTCCATGGAGTAGGAGAGGAGGCGAGGTGAGGAGGACGAGGGGGAGATGGAGAGGGAAGTTATTGTGTTGGTGTGGCCTTGGAGGGTGTAGGCAATTGTTCGGGTTCGCATGTCCCAGACCTGTACCAAAACTTGTTAGCAAACTTGCAAGACTACTGCCAAAGCCAAGTACCTTGATTGTGTTGTCGAGGCCACCGGTGAAGAGTTGGTCTCCGGCTTCTGAGAACGCGACGGCGGTGACGGGGTATTTATTCTCCATCGAATCCACCGCCAACTTCTCCCTCGAATCCCACAACGAGACCCAACCATCATCACTCCCACTAACCAACATCTCATTCCCCCTCCGATACACATCAACAGTATTAACAATATCCTCATGCCCAACGTGTTTCTTCACCCTCTTTCCACTCTCTACGTCCCATGTTCCCAATGTCGTGTCGGCGCTGGCGGAGTAGATGGTCTTCGAATCACGGGACCAAGCGACGTCGAGGATTGCGGCTTTGTGTCCGGTAACGATGCCGTAGTTTGAACAATCGTTGTATGTGTTCCAGAGGAGAATTGAGCGGTCGAAGGAGGCAGAGGCGATGTGTTGCCCTGTTGGGTCGAAGCGGGATGCGAAGATTTCGCCCTGTAGGGTCCATGTCAGCCACACTCGTTTTCAAGGTGAAGCACGGTTCATACCGAATGACCAGTTAGGTGCATGTTGGGAGCCTGAAGTCCCGATGTTCGGGATACACTTTGGATCAAGGCACCTCCATTGCCGGAGCCGACGAGGGAGACTTGTTGGTTGTTTTGCGCGTTTGTGCGGGGTTTTTTGGAGACGACGAGATGGCCTCCTGAAGGTGGAGGGGATTTTCTTTTGTCCATTGCGATTGAAGGGGATGGTGTAGGTGTTGGAGGATGTGCGTGGAGGTGCAGGACGCGTGCAGCCGAGCAACGCGGTAACGACGACACGAGTAGGGATTACGAGAAGTGAAGTAAGTGAAGGTGGGTGTTTTGAAAACCTTTAAGAGGGGTCCTTGAGACTGACAATCTCCCAGATAAAGAAGGTCTTCAAGGACGTGACGCACAAAGACACAACCGACTGGTCTACACGAACGTCATACAGCACCAACAACATGTCAAGACACGCCCGAGTAGGGGAGGAAGTTTGGAAGGGGCGAGAGAAGATTGTGCGTGGCCGAAAATTGGTCGTATAACCGTCCTAGACGGCTAACTTTCTCACTCACAGAACGCCGAACTCTTCACCCTGACATATGGCTCCATCGTGGCACAATTATGCAAAGACTGTGATGATTATGCGGAGGTGAATAAGCAGTTAGACAAGATGTATGCTTGCGGCCCTGATTTGTGGGGATTTATGCTGATTGCTTGGTGTAGGGGATACAATATCGGTGTACGCCTGATAGAGGACTTCTTGGCAAGATCAGGGACAGGACGGTGTCACGACTTCAAAGAGACCGCAGAAGTCATCTCAAAGGTGAAACTGACCCTCTGGTTCTTTTTAACCGGAAACGCGGCATGTGCTGACGGGCATCTTCACAGGTCGGCTTCAAGATGTTCCTCAACATCGCACCCACAGTCACCAACATCTCCACAGACGGCAAGACCTTCTCACTGATCTTTGACGAAAACCCATTAGCGGAGTTCGTTGAGATACCGGATGACGGCAAGGCACAGACGGAGTTATGGTATTCGAATGTGTTGTGTGGCGTATTACGGGGTTCTCTGGAAATGGTATTTTTCCCTGATATGCCCAGCTGAGTTTGCGGGGCTAACATGGAGGATACAGGTACAAATGGCTGTGGAGGTTAGTTTTGTGAGTGATGTGCTGAGAGGGGATGAGCAGACGGAGATGAGGTTGACGCTGGTACGGATGTTGGAGGAGGAGATGCCTCCAGGAGAGGATTAGACGACTACAAGCAAGGCAGGGCGAAGGGATAAAGATACGATATACCCTCCGGACAAACACATCACAACATGGGGCTTCGCACGGAAACATATCGATGACGTACGTAGCCAGTAGGCGAACGACGGTGACACGCTCAACGGCAAGCCAACCGCAGTAAAGAGTAATAGGTGAAAAGAAAAGAAGAACAGCTTCGAATAAGCTTCCCTTGGTTTCCTCGCCTCCCAACGGGGGTGTTGGTCTTGTGAGGTACTAGCTTGCCAGGCAACCCCAGACGACAGCGTCGCGGTGTGCCCAAGTCCGCCCTGAAGCTGGAGCTGCCGACCGAGTCGCACCGAGCGCAACAGACCCGCACACAAGTGATCCTTGATCCCTACCTGAATTGACTTCGACAGATCTTCTGTTTTTCCCTCTCGGATCCACCGCGTCTTTCCACACGGGTTACGGGTTGACACAGCATGAACGGTGCCGCCGGATCCACGGCGCAATCACCTCGTGCTGCTCCGCCGTTGACGAGTAGCTCCTCCAATGCTTCGAACTCGAATCAGAATCAACAGCAGATGCAGTCGAATGAGATGTTACAGGTTTATATCTATGATTATCTCCTCAAGCAGGGACTTCCTGACTCGGCGCGGGCGTTCTTGAACGAGGTAGATTATCCGGTGACGGGGAGTGGGATGCAGGGTTCCCCGTCACAGGGATCTGGATCGCGGGATGGACATGGAGGACAGAGAGAGGATCAGACGTTGGAGTCTTCCATCCCGTCTGATATGGAGCAGAATCCTCGTAAGCGGCCGGCGCCTAATGATGATGCTGATACGGGTGCCGATCAGGAACGGCGTAAGATCGGTAAACATGAGGACTTGTTGCCGGCTGCTGTGCCTATTGACGCGCCAGATGGGTTTCTTTTGGAGTGGTGGACGATCTTTTGGGATATATTTACGGCGAGGAGCGGGAAGGGCGGATCGGTGTCTGCGAGCGCGTACATCGCGCATCAACAGGTTCGGATTTTTTATCTGGTATCCTAAGTGATCGTTACTAACGTTGGTATTCGAACAGAGAATGAGGCAAGAAGCGCAACAACGTGGCATGAACGCGATGGGTCAGCAACACCCCGGATACGCCGGCGTCCCCGGCCAGCCCATGAACGGCCAGCAGTTCGGCCAGCAGTTCGGTCCTAATATGCGCGTAGTGAACGGCATGCCAACAGTCGTCGGTGGCCTCGAGCCTAACATGACACCTCAGCAACAGCAGCGTGAAATGCTCATGCGCCAGGCTATGCTCAACAATCAGCGCAAGGGGAATACGATCTTCCCGCAGAACGCGCAGACCCAACAGCAGCTTCATATGTTACGTCAAGCTCAGATTCAACAGGTTCAGCAGCAGCAACAGCAGCAGCAACAACAGGCGCAACAGGTGCAGGCTCAGCAGCAGCAACAGCAGGGACAGTTCTCTGAGGAGGCCCAAGAGGGTCGCATGGGATCGCCCGCTGGTGCTCAAGCTACGTCGCCTACAAAGCGCCAGCGCCTTTCGCCCGAGGGTCAGCAGGGTCAGCTCCCAACTCAGCCTGGACAGCCTCAGCAGCCCATGCAGGGTATGCCTCAGAACCCCCAACAGGTTGCCCAAGCGCGTCAACAAGCCATGCAGCAACAACAGATGATGTTGAACATTGGAATGAACTCTGCCGCACTGACTCCTCAGCAGTTAATGGCTTTCCAGCAACAGACCAATAACCCCCTCTTGCAGAAGCAGAACCCGCAGATGAATATCGCTAGCTATACGCAGAGCCTCATGTCGCAACAACAGCGTGCGTTGAATGCGGCAAAGGGAGCGCCGATGCCCGGGCAGATGAACCAGATGGGTGGAAATGGTATGCCTGGTCAAGATCCCTCTGGTCAGTTGAACCTTGAGGGTATGCAGCCGCATGTGCAGCAACAGTTCATGAGGCAGTTGGCGCATCAGCAGAACCAGGCCGGTGCGAATGGTAACATGGCTTTGGCGGAGTACCAGTCTCAGTTGATGGTTTTGGAGAAACAGAACAAGGAGCGCCTCTTGGCTGCGCGTCAAGAGCAGGACAGGGGCGGATCGAGCGAGGCGCCTGGTCAGAACTTCCAGGATATGTCGCCTCAAACGACGCGTACTGGCCAGGTTCAGCCGTCTCCTCAGCCCGGATCGTTGGCGCTGGAGAAGCGTGGTACCCCCAAGATGGGACACATCGCTAATCCCAACTCCCCAGTCCCTGACTCGCAGGGTCCGCCGCGTGGTCCGTCCCCTGCGACCTTCAATGGCCAGGAGATGGATCCTCGCCAAATGATGATGTACCAGCAAATCAAGCAGCAGCAGAGTATGAATGATAACCTCCCTCAGGGCATGATGATGGGTCCGAACGGACAGATCACGCGTACCCCGTCCATGGCTGGTGCGGGTGGTCAGCCTGGATACATGCCTAATGGGGCTATGCAGCAGATGGGTATGATGAATGGAGGCAACCAGCAGGAACAGATGATGCGTCTGCGTCAACAAAACCCGGCGTTGTGGCACCAGCAGCAGCAACAACTCGCACAACAGATGCAGCTTCAGCAAATGAGGGCGCAGCAAATGGCTGCCCAACAGCAGCAGGGTCAAGGACAGGTGGGCCCTCAGGGACCACAGGGACCGCAGCAGCAGCCGATGAACCCCTCTCAGCAGATGCCGCCTCCTCAGGCGCCGCCGCAGCAGCCTCAGCAACGTAACCCGCAGAACGAGGCTCCGTCGCCGAGTTTGTCGAATGCGCAGCCGCCTACGCCTACACAAAGCCACAAGCCCGCTCCGAAGGGTAAGAAAGAACCGAAAGAGCCGAAGCCCAAGAAGGGCGGCGGCAAGAAGAACGCACCCGCTGCCCCCACACCGGCTACACCTCAGGCTACTTCGGAGCCTCCTACGCCTACTACGCCCATCACTCCTCAGCACCCTCAGAGCTTCAGCTTGAACCCCATGATGGGCGGTAACCCCATGCAAGCACCTACGTCGAACCCCTCCAACCCTCCTCAGCTCCAGCAGCAGACTTCACAGCCTGATCCGGCGCCATTCACGGCTATCGACACGGGTGCTGACTCGAGTACCTTATTTGGCGAGTTTGGAATGGGCGATACGGACCCCAACATGGACGCGTTCGACTTCGATGCGTTTTTGACCACTACGGCTGATGATGGCGCGGGTGGTGGGTTCGACACGAGCTTTGGCTTTACCTTTGGTGATGGCGTCGAAGCTGGTGCTGATGCGTGAATTTGAATGAGAATGAAAATTGGAGAAGGTGGGTGTGGTGGTGCTAGGCCTGGTGGTAACTTTGGATTATAATGGCGTTTTTTTGGGATGGTATGTGTTTCGGATGGATTTTATGAGAGCGAAAGTTTAAAAGGAGGGGTGTCTTTGTCATATGTGCTAATTTCTCTTGGATAATTTGCGAGTTGTTCTGTCCATTTGGTCGTTATCTTTCTTCAATTTTGATGCTTTGGCGCGAGAGCAAGTTAGTTTCTCATGATCATGTACCGGAGCTTATTTTACAAAACTTTAATACAACGTAACGAATGATGAATGCATGATACGTCCCTCTTTCATGTCTTGTATTAATACATGGTCTGTGATTGGGTACGTGTTCTTGGGCCTAACCTGTTGACATCGACCGACCTCGTTCAAGTACCGCCTAAACTAGCGCTTTGGTTCCGAACGTGAGAAACGGCTTGTTTCCCTGGAGGAAGAAATCCCATAAAGAGGGTATAGCCATAGTTAACTGCTCGATTTTGAGTTATTCTTTTTTGAGGTCACTCAAGAGGTTTAAATTTGAAGGACGGGGCGGCTCGGGTCATATTCCTCGTTCGGGCTTAAGCTTCGAATTCATGATCGCCGACGTCCGGTCCCGAGCTCGAGGTTAATTGCGGCACCGCAAGATTGGAAGCAAAGGGCTCCTTCACGATATTTTTCATATGAAATAAATCGTTGGAGTATATAAACTCTGTTATCACCCTTTCGTCAAGTACTCGCAATGCTTACTGCGTCTACAGATGTTCGGCTTGACTGTTGTCGTCGTATTCCTCATTCTGTACCTCCTCTATCCTGACCGGGCTATCGGTACCAGGGCAAGACCTGACCTCCCCGGTCCGCGTGGCTTGCCTTTCCTTGGGAACCTTTTGCAAGTTCTTCCAGCTGTCCGTGCTCATCGCATTCTCGAGCTTGACCTTGCATGGTTCGGGAAGTACGGGAAGTTCTTCAGCCTCACAATGCCTGGTGTGGGTCGTACGATCTTCCTCTGTTCTCCAGACTCCGTCGAACATATACTGAAAACGAACTTTGAGAACTACGAGAAAGGTTGTGTCTTCAACTCCAATTTGAAGGCCCTTTTAGGCGATGGTATTTTCAATGTCGACGGACACGCGTGGAAGACGCAGAGGAAGGTTGCCAGTTATATTTTCACAGCAAGGGCGTTCAAGACTGTTATTGCACAAGTCTTTGAATCAGAGACGAACCGAGTCATTGATATCCTTCGACAGCACGCGCATACCAACCCTGACGTTCCTTTAGACTTGCAAGCACTATTCTATCGCTTCACATTGAACTCCTTCAGCTTAATTGCATTTTCGAAGGACCTCCATCTCCTCGATGATCTGGAGAAACCAGTGGAATTCTCTGAAGCTTTTGATTATGCTCAGGAGACTTGCGGTGGTCATTTTACGAAACCTTACTGGAAGTACTGGGAACGCTTTACTTCTCGCGGTCGCAAGTTCGAGAAGATGTGCAAGGTGATTGACGAAATGACGTATTCCATCATCAATGAGAAGAAGAACCAACCGAAGTACGATACACCGCCGAAAGCGGGCACTAAGGACCTCATGGACCTCTTCATGGAATATCGCGATGAAGAGGGCAACGCCTTGAACGAGAAAGAGCTCCGCGATATCATGCTGAACTTCATTCTCGCCGGCAGGGACACCACCGCCAACGTCCTCACTTGGAGTGTCCACTTGCTCCTGCTCAACAAGGAGACTGCTTCCCTTCCCTCCCCTGTCACGTACGACACAATCCGCCAACACACCTACGCTTACGCAACCCTTTATGAAACCCTCCGCTTGCGGCCCAGTGTGCCCAGGAACAGGAAACTCGCACTCAAAGATGACATCGTCCCATGCGGCGTCCAGAACGTCCTCGTCAAAGCCGGTGATAGTGTCATGTGGATTCCGTGGGCTATGGGTCGCCAAACGGATATCTGGGGCGACGACGCTCTCGAGTTCAAACCTACACGCTGGCTCGAACCGGAGACGAGCAAGTTAAAGGCCATTTCCCCGTACCAGTCTATTGCATTTCATGCGGGACCTCGTCAGTGCCTTGGGAAGGTGTTTGCAGAGCAGGAGGCTTTGAGGATGTTGTTGCCGATGACGAGCGGGTTTGAATTCGAAAGGGTTGGAAGTGCTGACGTGGGCTACGAAAAGAGTCTAACTCATCCCATGAGGGGTGGGTTATGGGTCAAGGTCAAGGAGAGAACATGATTTGTGATGTTTCTCTGCTCGTCCGAAAATGAGGCTCGCATGCATCTGTTCTTCCCGCGCCGCATGTGTTATACGAAGTATGGATACCTACCTTGTACCCAGACTCGAGCACACAGGATGAAATATTAGCACAGAAGTTACCGCGGCTATCAAGATTACCATTACTAAGTTTACCGTCTAAAACAACATACGCTCTTCCCGAGACTCCTACACTGTCGGATATACAAGGAATAACAAATGCGTAAAACCCAAACTTGAAAACCCAAAGACACCCCTCTCACTCCTCACTCCTGTTTTACATCCCACGGTTGGTGTTCAGCTCTGCCCTCTTCATCTGCTCGATCCTCTGCTTGAGCTGTGCAGTGACCTCAGCGGCCCTCTTCCAGCTCTCGATAGGTTTGCTTGCGGGGCCTGTACCTGTAGCAGGAGTGGTCGTTGGGGGAGCAGAAGAGGTACCTGAGCTCATCGAAGAGGTCGCGGGTTTGGTTGGTGATCTTAGCCCAGACGAAGCGGCATAACGACTGGTGTACGAACCCGCGGCTGAGCTTGCTCCAGATCCCAAACGAGTGATCGATGGTGGTGGCAGCTCAGACTTAGAGTCTCTCTCACATCCGTTTTCCTTGTCTTCGGACGAAGCAAGGCTTGAGGAACTTTGGGTACGACCATAGCCGAGGCCATTACTGTGATGAATGGGAGTGAATGAAGAGCTTGACGGCGTTGGGCTTCCGGGGATACCGGTGCGCAAATAACTCGTTCTCTTGACCGAGCTCGGCGGTGCCATAGTGGGCTCGGCAGACCTGGTCGGTTCCATCCTCGAGCTGGCGGGCTCTCTTGGTGCAGGAATCTCCCTCCTCGCACCAAATCCACCACCAGTTCCCAAGGCAACTCGTCTCCGTTCCCGAAGCGCCATGTTCGCATCCTGCAATTGCCTCAACAAGCTCTCATTTTGCCTCTCGAGCTCCTTCCACCTCATTTCCATTCGCTCCAATCTCGTCGCGTCTTCATCACCGACATTCTCCCTCAGCATTCTGTTCTCGTCCTCCAGATCGGCGATGCGAGCTTTGCGGTTCTCATCCATGACATCGTATTCGCTGATCAACCTCTCTGCACGTTCTGCGCGATCCTTCCACCCATCATAGCCATCCTCCGTATCGGTACCGGCGGGCATGGCGGTCCGTGGCGGGTTCTTCCTCAAAGTCTCCATCTCACGCTGGGAACGGGCCAACTCCTCCCTGGCACCTTCGAGATCAGCACGAGCACGGGTCAGCTGAGTGGTAACCGTCTTCACATTCAGCTTCTCCCTAATTTCGGCATCAGCCAGCTCGGCGTTCTTGTCACGCAAGATATCCATCTCACGCTTCATGACGCGCAGTTCATCCTCCAACGCGGCCTTCTCGGCGGGGTCAATGCCACCAGCACCACCATAGGAAGGAGCGGCAGAAGGCGCAGGTTCACGAACAAGGGAGCGTGAGGTCAAACCACGACCAACACCCAACCGTGGCTTCTCCGCAGGGGGAGCGGAGTATTCTTCTTCCCTCTCCTCGAACGCGGATGCAGGGCGACTCCTCTCTGGGCTTGACGGTGGACGCGCAACACTGCTTGGCCTCGCCAGTCCAGGCTTCGTCAGTCTGCTTGCGCCAGTGGCACCAGTAGCACCAGGAGGTCTTCTCGCAGTTGGCTTCGCCGCCAATGGCTTCTTCTCCTCCTCCGGCTCAGGCTCCGGACTAGGCGCACGCTTAACCATGGGCTTCTTGACCAAGCCGGGCTTTGCCGGGGGTCCCTTGGATAAAGGCCTCTTCGTTGCACCTGCAGGTGCCTTCGCGACAGGCTTCGGCTTCTCGGGCTTCGCCTTAACCTCCGCCTTCTCGAAGAACTCCTGAATCTTAGCTTTACGGGCCTTGTCGTCCACCCCCTCAAGGTAAGGGTTCATCGCGCGTTCACCAATGATCTTCATCAACGTACCCAATGCCTCGGCAGCGGAGGTACGAACAGGTTCGAAAGAGTCACCGAGCAACTTCACGGACTCTTCCGCGATGGACTTCTGCTCACCCTTGGAAGGAACGACCGGGGTGGTTCGCAAGCACCGTACGAGAAACTTGAGTGACTCGGACTTGACTTGCGGGTTCTTGTGCTTCAGACCAGTCTCCGTGATGTTCTCCAGAACGTCCGCAAGTCCACAGGCCTCGAAGACGGCATCCATCGCTCCAGATAACGCCTCAACCACGGACGCCTTACGTTCCTTCAACCTCTCCATCACGCAGGAGACAACCTCACTCCTCCACCTTACAAACGCACTTCGCAAACCCTTAGCTAATGCAGTCAGACACTGCGCAGCGAGCGTAACGACAGCAACGTTTGCGTCCTTCTGACAAATCCTGGCAAGCTGCGCAACAATATCGTTCAGATCGTTGTCATCCTGAATACGTGGTACCGACACCGCGATCAAGAAATCATCCAAAGCTTCCTTCCTATCCTTCCACTTAGAACTTCCCAATGCCTCCATCAGCGGTGCCTGAGGGCACTTCTTCAGCACGTCTGCGGGCTCGGAAAGGTCGAATGCGTCCATTTCTTCACCTGCCTCTTCCTCGGCGCCGTCATGGTTTTCATCACCACCCGCGTCTCCTCCACCTAGCAGTTCAGGATCCTGACACTTCAGGTATCTTTCTGGCTTCGCTTTGCCTGCTTCATCCGCGTTGAACAATGCATCAAGTTCCTTCAATTGTACCGGCTTCAGGTCGGAAAGCGCGGGTCTCAGTGCCTCGCCCAAGTATTTCCACAACTCCACTGTCAATGCTTGCGCCTCTGCTCTGACATTCTTATCAGTGTGACCGAACAACTTCGGCAGGACTGCCAACACAGGCTTTGGTGGTACGACCTTGACACCGTATGCATGTACAAGTTCTCTGAGTGCCGCTGTTGCTGCTGCGACAAGTTTTGGGAGTTTGTGAGAGAGGAAGGGGATAAAGTCATCGAGAATTGGCTGAGCCGATGGAGGGTTGTCGAGGTACGAGGCGTAAAGAAGCAGAAGGTCTTTAGCGAGCGCTTTCGTGCCGGGACGCGTCGATGGAAGGGCCTTCTCGATTAAGGTTGGGAGGACAACGGGACGTGTTCTGCGTACATGTCAGCGACCGTGCGATGCGATTGCGGGTAGACAACGAGCATACATAGCCGAAGCCACATGCCGTGTGCCAACCCGGCGATAAAAGCATACCTATTCGCGCATTGCGCACCGCCAAACTCCACGTATGCCTTCGTACACGCGATACCCTTCTCCATTGCGACGACATTACTATCTCCCACTACCTTCTTCCACATCCCGTCATCTCTGAATTCCCTGAAAATGGGGTCCGTTTCATCTGCAGTCTTCGAAAATGCGTTCGTAGCCTCTTCGTAAGCCTCTGAGCGGACCTTCCAGGACGTATGCGTGAGACGCTGGGGGAGCGGAATGGAGGAGAAGTCCTCTTGAGGAGGCGCACCGCCGTCCGGAAACTCGTTCATGGCTATTATGACTGATCAGAAGTAATTGTCGAAGTTGCTGAGCTCCTGATGCCCTTACGGTGCTGATGGTGATCTGATGTTTGGGTGATCGTACTTTGTTTTGAATCGAGCGCTGGCCCAGCAACCATCAGGCACATGAGTGTACGAAGGACAACACGTTTCCTCGGAGCAATAGAATCGAAGACACATCAACCTGTTTTTTAAGGCATGTTTAAGATAGTAAACGAATTTCCTTGCTTCATTCATGGCCTTTACCTGCCTCCTCCTGCGCTGTACGTAGGCACTGCATGCCGGTGGTCGGTCGTATACTCCCAGCCGCTCCGTCCAACAACTTCTCCAATTCTCGATCGTCAATCTCAATTGCGTTCTCTCGGTCTCTTAGAATCCTCCTATAGCCAGCGGAACCGTTCTTCATGGCGACAAACGGCTCAGCAGCCGCATACAACCCACCACCATCCGTCCTCGGCCCAAAGCAACGGACAGATCTCCACCTGTCACTGCTGGCGTACCTCCAATCGCATGGATTTGAGCGAGCATATACTGCACTACGAGACGACCTACAAGAAAAGGGTGGTCTGGACGCTGGGGCAGAGGACGACAAGAAGTATGTGGGGCTATTGGAGAGGAAATGGAGCAGCGTCGTGCGATTACAGAAGAAGGTCACTTGTTTCGTAACCTTGATGCCTGATATATGCTAATGTATACATACAGAACATGGAGCTGGAAGGGAAGCTTAACTCGCTCTCACTCGACCTGAAATCCACCACATCATCACCAGGCCCGAACGACACGACGACAGCTACCACCAATTCCCTGCCTCGAACTTCAACACTGCGGCATACATTAACATCGCACCGCGATCAAATAAACTCGTGCGCATTCCATCCGAAATACACTCTTCTGCTTACCGCCTCAGACGACACCACTGTCAAACTCTGGGACCACGATGCTGGATCTCTGGAGCAAACCTTGCGTGGACATACAAAATCCGTCCTAGCAGTTGACTGGTCAGAAGACGGAAAGAGAGCTATCAGTGCTGGTGCAGATACGCTTGTGAAGGTCTGGGAAGACGAAGGGAAGGGTAATGGATGGGCGTGTGTACGGACACTGGTCGGGCACGAGCACTCAGTACATGCTGTCAAGTTCCTACCGGGTAACGACGGACGAGCAATAAGCGGAGGCAGAGACACGACAGTCAGGGTATGGGATACCGCCACAGGTTTTTGTCTCAAGACTATCATCATCGGCGGCGGAAACGAGTGGATCCGGTCTATCTCGCCTTCAACACCACCCACCACCGCCGGCGCAGCGTGGAGCAACCTCGTTGCTGTAGCAGGGAACGATCAAATGGCCCGCATCATCGATATCGGATCCACTGACAGCACCCCCAAATCTGAACTCGTGGGTCGGCATTCCCACGTTATCGAAGCTGTGGCATACGCGCCAGCTACGGCGTCCTCGTATCTGCACACACTCGCCAAGATCCCGAAATCGACGCCTACAACATTCCTTGCTTCTGCATCTCGAGACCGCTCCATCACCATCACTACTTCCACTAACATCCCCGTCCTCACCCTGAATGGGCACGACAATTGGGTACGAGCGGTTTCGTGGCATCCGTCTGGTCGGTATTTGCTGAGTGCCAGTGATGATCGGAGCGTGAGAGTCTGGGATCTGGAGCAGGAGGGACGGTGTGTCAGGGTACTTGACGACGCGCAAATTGGGTTCGTCAACTGCTTAGCTGGTGACAAGGAAGGGAAGGTATGGGCTACTGGCGGTGCGGAGGGTGAGGCCAGGGTTTGGGGCACCGCGTAATGCTGCGAGAATGGCTGAGTGAAGCTGCGATAGATCGAAATCGGCATCGATAACGGGGGTTGTTTCTGCATATCTATTTCTTCGGGGCGTACATGTGTACGGAGTTCTTGTTTGTCATATCAAGGGTCTTAGGGTCGGTATACTGCAATACACATAATGTAATGGGGATCTAGAAGTCAACAGCACATCACAGCACATCATTCGAAGGACGAGAACATGGCCCACACATTCAAGTAATGCAAAATTCCAATCCAATCCATTTTATCAATACCACCCGCACCGATATTAGTATAGCACCCCTATCTTTCCTAAGCGAACTTTAACCCCACATTTAGAGGTCAGCATCATCCTCATCAGGCAAAGGCATAGCCGCGGCCTGAGCCATCTCCTGCTCGTACTGCGCAACGAGCGCAGCATCGACCTGAACCTCCGGAGGCGCAAGCGCAGGGGAGGCAACGAACTCCAAAGACTGGTTTCCGACCAACTTACGCGCCAACCACAAGAAAGGCTTCTCGAAGTTGTAGTTAGACTTGGCGGAGATATCGTAGTACTGAAGGTTCTTCTTGCGGTGGAAGGTAATGGTCTTGGCCTTGACCTTGCGCTCCTTGACGTCGACCTTGTTACCGCAGAGAACGATGGGAATGTTCTCGCAGACACGGACGAGGTCACGGTGCCAGTTTGGTACGTTCTTGTAGGTGATACGGGAGGTGACGTCGAACATGATGATGGCGCACTGTCCCTGGATGTAGTAACCGTCACGGAGACCACCGAACTTCTCCTGACCGGCGGTATCCCAGGTGTTGAAGCAGATCTGACCGAAGTTGGTGTGGAAGTGGATAGGGTGGACCTCAACACCGAGGGTGGCTATGACGAAATGTTAGGATAATCACATTGGTAAAAGAAGAGAAGAGGGAGTGTCGGACGTGAATGCGGGTGTAAACCGTCGTCCTGTCACGCTCAATGGCCCAAACGCTTCTGGACGGCGTTCCACTCGCAACAAAGCAACACACCGTCCCAAACACCCCAGTTCTCGTGGAAAAGACTTACCGATATACTTCTTCTCGAACTCACCAGTCAAGTGACGCTTGACGAAGGTAGTCTTACCCGTACCACCGTCACCGACCAAAACTGCAAAACAAACGTCAGCCGCCGCTCACGACAACATAGCAACCTCGCTCCAATTGATCAAGGAGAAAGGTCGAGGAAAGACATACCGAGCTTGAAGGTAGGAACGTTCTCGGCCATTGTTATTATGTGTGTGATGTGGGAATTGACGAAGGGAGTCTGCGTCCTCTTGCGTTTGTGTTGTTGATTTTTCGGAGCGAGCGTGACGACGAACGAAGAAACCAAACTGCAGGTGGCGACCGACGAAGACAATGGAATGAAGATTTGTGAATGGGAAAGTCATTGAGAAACTACTGTTTTACGTTCAGATTACGAATCGCCTTTTACAAGATACGCAAGACGTCTTGCGGGATCACGTGCAAGGCGGGTTGTCGATCCTGGAAATTCTAAAGATATCAATTCTCAGCGTCCACCTCATACTGGAGGTAGCGAGATCTACCGCATACTACGCTATGTGCGGCGAAATATGTAGGCTAGAAGCTCGATCATGCGACGTGTAATGCCCTCAGCCCGTAAGGCTCCTCACCGCTCGATGCTCACGGTTCACTGTTTCCGCACTCCAATGTAAACCATCTCATGTGCTCTGCCCCTTGAATCCCTGATAATCCTTCAGAATACCCGCCATATGTGTATTAGTCTCCTTTCCCCTCCTCCTCTTCGGCCTCTTCACCTTGTCATCCACAACCGCCTTCACCTTCACCGTACTAGGATCCACACTTGTAGGCTTCAATCCAAACTTCTCCAACTCGGCAGGTACATCAGCTTCAGGCGGTAGTCTGAGGGAATTCCACATGTTCTTGAATTCGTCGTCAATTCCACCCAGTTCCCCACCGGTGTTGGCCCAGGTCATGCGTAGGGTCTTCTCGGCGTTTTGGGCACGGAGGACGAGAATTTTGCCTTCATGTTCGGCTTGTTCGCAGCCTGCAACGACATCTGACCAGGATTCCTTCAGATCTTTTATGGACATGCCTTTCATCGTCGTCTCTGCCCTCTGGCGGAGGAATTGGACAAGGGAGGGAACATCGTACACAGGGTGTTCAGGGGCGTAGGAGTATGTATCTGAGGCTGGATCATAGCGGATTTTGACGGAGGTTGAGGAGGAGGCAGAGGACAGGGAGAAGAGGCGGGTTAAGGTTCTGTGGGTGCTTGAGTTGAGGGGGATGTTGAGGTAGGAGAATAAATCAAGGGATTTCATCGGAGCGCCTTTTTCCTGTACCATCCTGTCAGCCAGGCATAAACGTAATGTTGACGGACGTTATGATACCTTCAACTTATCCTCCGCATACTTGACCTGCGTCAACAAATGATTCCCGCTCCCCGTATCCGCAGGCTGCGAGTATACAATTGGCTGAGCCTTCTTGGACTTCTTCTTTGGTGTGCCAGGATCGCTTGGATATCCAGGACTTCCGACAGACACGACCTCCACATCCTCCGCTGGCCGCTTCACCATCGCTCTCTGGATCGTCGGGATCGCTCGGGGCTTCTGTGCCGCGGCCTGCTCATTGCATTAGGACCCTTTCATCCAATTCATCTCTTCACGTCAGAGCAGCATACATTCCGTAGTAGATCTGACATCTCGCCGGTGTAAATGTATGGTATTTACTTCGTCGTTCAGTTCATCGCGGTGTTTACGTACGACGTACCTCCATGCAGGTTCATGCAATATCGGGATCGTCCTCGACGTAACCTCCAAACCGAATCTTCCATTTATTCAATCACGAACAACAACGAACAATGTCGGCAAGCGTAGGACCCGATTGTACCGAACTGAAGCAGAAGTACGACTCGTGCTTCAACGACTGGTATGCGAACAAGTACGTCGTCTCTTTTCCCGGTTGTCATTTGGACAGGAATTGATCTGATGAGCACAGGTTCTTGAAGGGAGTTGCGACAGTGAATGAGTGCGAGGACACGTTCGTTGACTATAAAGCCTGTGTTATGGTAAGTGTTGCGTCAGCGTGAGAGAAGGAGGACCGAGTGCTGACAATGACGTACAGAAAGCCTTGAAGGAGAAGAAAATTGACGTTATGCTCGATGAGGCCCGGAAAGAGGCGCCGTTCGAGAAGGGTGGCAAGTTCAACTCTGGCATGTAGACGGCTCTCGATTCGAGATGTATGATATGGAGGGAGGATCTTGCATGGGCTCAGAAAATGTATCGGTAGAAGACCGTCAAGGATCGAAGCCATTGAATGAATTATAATCCGTCGCAGACGTAATTTATCAAACGAAAAATCGCGCAAAGGGCCAAGAATCGTCCCGTTCCCCATCTATCATATATCATGTCGAGTGTCCACACGAAACATCACCACAAGCTGTCATTCATCGCACATCCTCATCCCTACGATCTGCCTAGGCCTGCCTCTCATCCTTCTTCCCATTCTCATGGGGCGCATGTGCCGGTGCAGGCAAATACCCGTCCTTCTTTGGTGCGTCCGGCTTCGTATAAAGGTACGTAGCAAACAACACCACACTACACCCGATCACGAAGTTCATCGTGATGACGAAAGAGAAGAGGTAAACGGATGCGATGAACGAAATCAAAATAGAGACGGAGGTCGCGAAGTTTTTCTATCGCCTGAAGTCAGTACGAGGAAAATAACGAAGGGTGGGAAGGGTAGGGGAGGAGAGGGGAGCAAGTACCATGATGTTATCCGCATACGCAACACACAACGCAACCACAATCCCCCCAGCCGCCTGCAAGATAATCGCACCCCACACAACCGGATTATACCCCCAAAAGAACCCCAAATCCCGAATCTGTACACCATCTTTGGACACCATTCCAATGATCGCCGGGACGAGTGAGAAACACGAAAGCTGGACGTTTCGGACCCAGAGGGTTGCGGAAGTGCCTTTGAGGACTTTTTCGAAGTAGACGCCTGCGAGGCCGGAGATTAGACATGCGACTAACACGGCGAAGAGGCCCAGGGTTGGCTTCATGTCTGTTGTGGTGTGGGAGGCGGCGGGGGAGGAGGTGGTGGTGGAGGTGGGGAGTTGTACGATTGCGACACCGGCCGTGAGGAGGATGAGTGAGATCCATTTGAGGAGGGAGAGAGAGCGGTGGAGCATCGTGACGGAAAAGAGTGCTGTTGTGAGGATTTTTAGCTGGTAGGTTACTTGAAAGCTTGCTGCGTCCAAATTCGACACCGCAACATATCTGTGCTCTCCATATCAGCACTCTGTACCTCGATCAACCATGAGCATAGCAAAGGGGATAAGGAACGCACTGTAGGTTATTCTGCAACGTATACAACGCAGCCGGGATCATCAACTTCCAAGCATCCCCCCCAAAAACCTCCTTCCCAAACGCACGCAACGAAAAACTCGCACCATCCCGTCTCTTCCCGTCACGCAATGCGATAGCGGCACAGATGAAGAGTTTGATTACTTCGTTGAGGAAGACTGCGGTGGAGGTGAAGTAGCGGGGAGCGTTGGGGGTGGTGGTTGAGGTTGGCATGATGCGGGAGTAGTGCATTACGAGGATGAGGGCGGAGTTCTGGACGGTGAGCTGTGGAGGGTTGGAGGTTAGTGATTGGACATGGGAGGAGAGGGATGGGGAGGGAGGGAGGAAGGAGACGAACGGTGACGAGGGATATGTATTTGAGGGGAATGCCCCACATTGTAGCGTTTGCGTCCACCATTGTCGTCGCAGTCGCAGTCGCAGTCGCAGTAGTAGTAATAGTAATAGTAGAGACTGTTCTTCAAACTGCCTTCTCAATCGACCGTGCGTCTTGAGGTACCGGTGTACAACGTGCTGCAGAGGAGACCCTGAAGCTTATAGCGTGCCAAGAAACGGAGATTGAGAAACGACAAAGTTGACACGTCCGTATTAGATAAGGACAGCCGTTTCCCTAACCGAAACTGTCCGTGCGGGTCGGGATTTGTAGTATTGAAGCCCAGCTGTATGGGTAACCTTATTTCCCGCGTCGTCGGCAGCAAGTCACCTCAATTGCAATTACGCCAAGTCTGGCCGCGGGGGAATGCGGCAGGACGTCACCCCAAGATTTGAACAACACGACAGACATAAAGAAGAGATTGATCGGGTTTGGGGGAAAGAGAGAAGATGGATCGATCATTCTAGGTGCTACTACTGCTGCCTTCGTCATTCGGCAGACTTATCCCCATCCTCGCAAGCAAATTCCCTCCTGGTCCTGCCAGTCCACCCTGACTTTTGAAACTTTCCAACATGTTCTTCGCAAGGTTGAAGTCAATGTCAAGCTCGCGGTCATCTTCATCTTCCTCTGTGGCAAAGGTCTGACCGATGCTCGTGCCGGCAAGCTCAGCGTCCATGGCATCCATGACATCCTGCAGGGACTTCTCCTCCTTGTCATCAACCTCCTCAAACCTAGCTTTACCCTTCCCCTTATCTGCCTTTCCGTCCCCTTCCGCTTTTTGGGCGACATTGGATGCTGGTGTGAAACCGGGCAGTTTCGCAAGATCCAGTGTTTCAGTCAACATCTTCATGAAGTCTTCCTCATTGAACTCCACATCACCATCTGCTGCATCAAAATCATCCGCATCCTCATCTTCTTCATCAAAATCCTCATCGAAGAAGTCATCTTCAAACTCTGCGCCTTCAAACCCAGCATTCTCATTGTTCAAGAAATTGCCGAATTTATCCACCATCTCCCGCAATTTTCTTGCGGTTCGTGACTCTTGTTCATCATCTTCTCCTTCCTCGTCTGTATACGCTGTCGCAGCACCTCTCCGCTCATCCAAGAGTTTCTCCAAGTCATCCTGATCCACCTCCATCCACTTGTCATCATCCGCTTCTGTATCCCACTTTTCAAGATCCTCATCAGAGGGTAATGGAGTTTCCTTCAATATCCGCAACACCTGTCCAACAGGGGACGTGGCATCTTGCCGCTCAGCTGTCTTGACCTTCACAAATGCCTCCTTCGCCGTCTTCTCAACCTTCTTCCATCCCGCCGACCCCACCATCTCATCTCGGAAGAATCCTTGACCTTTCAGCTGATCAATGAACTTCGCCCACTTGGGATCACTTGCAAAGTCGTACTCCTCAACATTGATCTCATCTCCGCGTTGGTCCACGACGGCCCCAGCACACATCATCTCAAATCCGCACGCGACCTTCATTCCTGTCTCAGCCTCCTCATATCCAGGTCTTCCTGGCCTGGGCATAACACCCGCGTTCACAAATGGTCTGGGTGGATCAAATCTCTGTCCTCTGATTTGGGCATAAAGTGTCTTTGTGAATCTTGCCGTAATAATGACACTATCATCTGGTGAAAACAATGTCATGCGTGAACATGCTGCAAGTGAGACAGCGTCGCGGGTGTAGAAAGCATCGATTGCAGGTGCGATGAGTTTTGGATTTGTGTGGAGGATTTGCGCGAGGCTTCTTGGTACTGTGATTCGTGCTCGGTGGAGGTGGTCGCGGGCTTCGGCTGGGTAGTCTTTTGTGCGGCTGAGGGCCTCCTTGGTGATCTTCTTGTCCACAAGCAATGTTGCTGATGCATTCCGGAGCACACTCAGGGCTTTCACCTGGCTTAACTCTTCATCATCAATACTTTTCTGAGCCTGCTCAGGGGGGATGATGACAACGTCGCCTTGTCGCAGCCATACTCGATTGTCCGCATTGTCAGGGTTCAGCCATCGAGGAAGGACGTGAGCAGCTTCAATCAATAGAAACTCTCCATCTGTATCAGTCACCTGTATGCCGATGTCGTCAAACCTCATACTGAGCTGGTGTAGGATGTAGACAATGAGCCATTCGTCATCAATGCATTCACCGAACTTCGTGGAGCCTTTCAGGCAGGGTTCACCATGACTTGTAGTCAGCTCCAGTCCAAACTCCTCCTTTTGCCAGATGTAATCCTTCAACCAAGGCTCATCCCTCATAGCGACTGCAGCTTGCTTCGCCTCGTTGAGCTTTGCTTCGCGTACCTCCTTACTGGTCACACCATTGCCAACCATGAAGACAGTGTACTCTACAGCGTCCTCATTCCGCGCAGCATCGTACTTCCACAAGTCGTCCATTGCCTTCGACTGCTCAAGTCGTGCCCATATGCTTCCTTGACCGGTCAGTTGGTCGCCTCTTCCAACGTTCCAAGTTCGACTTTGACGGCGCGGCCGTGGCTGCACTTTCTGGGCCCCGGGCGCTCCACACGCAAGGACTCAACAACAACCAACCCCAACTTACGGCGTCGACCACGACAGCGACTAGAGAGCGAGAACAGACACGATGGCGACGCGAATCGCAACTTATGACTTCCCCGGTACTACGGCTGATGAGTTACCACTGAGAGCAGGGGAGCGCGTGAAGGTTATCAAGAATGATGAGGGTTTCGGAGATGGGTGGTGGATGGGGGTGAATGAGAGGGGTGAGACGGGGTTGTTCCCGGTTGTTTATACTGTTCCGGCAAGTGTGGCGAGCGCAAGTGGAGGGAGTGCTGGTGGGAGTAGGGAGGAGGAGACATTAGTCGATAGTCGGAGTGCGAGCTCGGCGAGTGGGAGTGCGGACAGGCCGTCGGTGGAGAGGACGAGTAGTGAGGCTGCTGTTGGCTTTACTATGACTGAAATTGACTCTGCAATCGAGGAATTGAGCGGACGGTCATCGCCTGGCGTATTCCTCCCTCACAACGACTTTGAAGACGACGTTCGCTCTTGGTCGCCGGAGAGCGTAGCGGAATGGATCGCGGCTGCCGGGTTCGAAGACGACGTCGCCGCAGCTTTTTTGGATAACGATATCTCCGGTGAGATCCTGTTGGAGCTTGATTCGGGGTCATTGAGGGATGAATTGGGGATTCGGAGTTTTGGGAAGAGATTCGAGATATTAAGGGCGATTGAGAGGTTGATGATGAGAAATGGAATGGAAGCGGAGTTGGATGTGCTCGGGATTGGTGGGGCGAGCCAGGAGAGTTTGCAGCCGCCCCTTGTGGAGATGAGGAGCGCGAGTCGGTTGAGTATGTTGGATGTGGCCGAGATGACACGGCCATCGACTTCTGGGACTGGGAGTACAGGGTCTGGAAGTGGGGATATTGTCAGGTCGCCTACGCTGCCGTTTCGGACTGAGTCTCCCGTGCCGGCATCGCCTGCTGCGACACATTTTACGAACAGTTCCCCGGTCTTGCCGCATTCGCCTTCGCTTAATTTTCGGGAGTCACCGACGATCCCGTCGTTTGCGGCGCGTTCACCTAGGTTTTCGACATTTACGGATAAGAGTCCGAGGTTCAGTACCTATGATGCCCCACCGCGACCGCAGAGTATGGCATTGTCGCCTGGTCGGAAGCCGACGTTGAGCGCTGGTGATTCTGGGTTTGGTGGATCTATCCCAAACACCCCCGAGCTCGGAAGCGTCATGCCGCCCAGTCCTACGAAAAACCCGACACTGAATGCTGTGAGGGGCTTACACAGGAAGAGTGTCTCCATGTCGCAGGTATGGCGGAAGAGTACGTTGATCGAGGAAGAAGAAGCCGAGGGGCATTTACGGACGATGAGTGGAGAGACATTGCGGACGCCAGATGGCAGGGCGCTTGCGCACTGGAGGCAGCAGAGTAGTTTGGGAACGATCAAGCCTCCGACATTGTTAGATTTGGCGGAAGCTACTCCAAGGGAGAGTGAGGAGGATAATTCTATGCCGCCTCCGCCACCACCCAAGTCTCCGCGAACGAGGTCACGTAGTCCGGCGAAGTTTGCTGGGGCTGGGCATGCGAGGTCGAAGACGATTGATGCGAGTACGAATGCGGCAGCTGCCAACGCGCTCAGAAAGGCGAAGAGTCAGAACGCGATGCGCCCAACTCAGGTCCGGAAGAATACGTTGACGGGACTCGATAAGGGCTTGATTGAGCTCAGTGCTGCGAAGGCGAGTGTGAGTAGTGATTGTTGTGGGTGGATGAAGAAACGTGGGAAACACGGAGTGTGGAAGGCGAGGTATTTCTGTTTGAAGGGGACGAGGTTGGCGTATTATTATTCTGACAAGGATACGAAGGAGAAAGGGTTGATCGATATCAAGAGTCATCGAGTACAGAGTGCGGTGGACGATATCCTCGTCGTTGGAGGCGGCAAGTTCTGTTTCAAGGTCGTGCCGCCGGCGCCTGGAGCAGCTAAAGCCGCCCTGACGTTCACACCGCCCAAAGTTCACTTCCTCGCCGTCGATAACCGCGAGGAAATGAAGAAATGGGTTGGAGCGTTGATGAAAGCGACGATTGTGAACGATACCACGGTTCCGGTTATTTCGTCTTGTACTACGCCGCTTGTGCCGTTGAAGAAGGCGCAGGAGATGAAGTTGGGGAGTCCGCAGTTGGATTATTTGCCGCAATTTGAGGGGTTGGGGGGGAGTGGGTTGGGGATTCCGAAGGAGTTGATTAGGGGAGTTAGTGAGGGGAGTGTTGCTACGTTGAGTAGTGTTGGGAGGAGGGAGAAGCATGAGTTGGCGAGGACGGGGAGTGAACCGCTCTGAGAGAAGGTATGGAGAATTTCGAGTGGATCTACAGGGTGGACTTTTTGGTTTGAGTTTTCTGGGGGAAACCGTTGGATGGAGGGAAGGGATATTGGTGTTCCTGGAGTTATGTTTTGCCTTTCTCGGCGGGTGTTTTACGTTCTTTTAGTCATGGACGGTGGAGATACTGTGAATAATGTTACGTTTTATTCTTATCTGAAATCTTCACAAGCCCTCAGGTGAGCCCGTGTAATACCCAATTCGAGAGTGGTCACGGATGTAGTTTACAATCAATCTCAGGCAAACCCCGCCGCATGTGAAATGATCGCGGACGAGCAACGCAACTTGAACCATACACTCATCTCCTGGTAGGTGGATGACAGAAATGAACCTTTTCATTGGAAGTACGGTCGTAAATATCAGAATCAGAGAGTGAAGCAGCAGTACGCAACGATGACAAAAACGCGGCGGGGAAGTTGCTTGGTTCTGACGCATAACCCTTCGTCCGCTACCTATGTGGGTCAAATGGCGCAAGCGTTACACGGTTCGGGTGCTTGATACTTCGTCAGTTCATCTGAATAAAAACGATTGCATGATTCAAAGAAAGTCATATTGCACCAGTACATCAAATGAAGGACAAAGTCGCACGCGAGATCCCGCGAACATGACCAGCATGCTCTAAACCGACGTCCCTCACATCCACAACTCTTCTAAGCCTTCTCACCGCCCTTCTCTCCTTTCATGACATCCCTTGCAAGCAACCCTTCCTCTCCGCTAGCCCATCCCCAAGCCCAAACACTCGCAGCAATAAAGTAATATATCGCCGGATTGGTTGTTTGATACATCAAGATGCAGGGCAAGACGAACAACATGTACGCAACAGCTTTCGCAATCATGGACCTGGGCCAGTAAGGCGACAAGGATGACCAAGCGGCCGAGTTTAGGTCATGACGGTTCGGGTATTCCACGGCGATGGTCGCTAGTCCGAGGATGAAGTTGATTGTTTGGAGTACTGGAATGGGCTTGACGGCCAGGTCGAAAATACTGGAGGCTTATTAGCACGGAACGGACAGCTCAGGTAGTAGATCACGTACGGCGTAAGCATGTCAAAGAAAGCCTTTGGGTAAGCGTAACCCCACAGTGCCGCCCACACTTGGTAAACCGCAGCCGTGAGAGTGATGAGACGGGCAAGGTCAGTCTTGATGAGATTCCCCATGGTCCTTAGTTGATAAAGTAGAGAAAGTCGACGAAGTTTATCAGACGACGTAACACGACGTAAGGTCGAGGATTGACGAAAAAAGACCGAGGGAAGGCCAGAGAGAGTCGTGCGAACTTCGTACCAGCGAAGTCCTGAGAAGTGAATGAAGTGCGACCAGCGCTTGGAGAGTCAAGAGTACGATGGATGTTGGACTGTTGGACTGACCAGCAGGACGACGACTGATTATATTTCGCCGCAGTGCTTGGGTTAAGCCCCGGGGTTTCACGACACGCGTTCCGTCCTCGACCTTGCGTCGGGCGCCGCGCAAGCTTGCAGGCCTCGTATACTGCTGTGTGCAAAATATCCGAGATCCATACTCGAGGAATGCAAGGCAACGTCTTAGGTGGCCATGGGTGAGCTTACATAAAGGCCTCCTCCGTCCAGTTGTCGGAGCCACCCAAACGCAAACTTCGAGGTAGTCGCTGGTCCATTACCACCCTTCTCCTACCTCCTCTTCACTTCGTCGCCGGCTCGACTTTCTTTCCTTCTACCGCTGGTCGGTTCATCATGAAGTTCACAATCCGTTCCATCTTGTTTTACTTCTTCTGGTACGGCTCCCATATCGGGCTCTTCGCATATGGCTGGTGGGCACAGGCCACGAACACCCGTCTCGCCGGTCTGAACACACTCAAGTTCTCTGTCTGGTCTTCTCGTGGAGCAGGCCTTTGTCTCGCCTACGACGGGGCTCTCATTCTGCTTCCCGTCTGCCGCACTCTCGTTCGCTGGGTCAGACCAAAAGCTAAATGGCTCCCTCTGGATGAGAACCTCTGGTTTCACCGTCAGGTTGCCTATCAGATTGTGGTCTGGGCCATCGTTCACACCACAGCTCACTACGTCAACTTTTACAATGTCGAGAAGACACAGATTCGCCCGGTCAAGGCCTGGCAGATTCACTACACGGAAGCCGGAGGCATTACCGGACACGTCATGTTGCTCTGCATGGTCTTGATGTACACAACCGCCCATCACTCCATTCGAAAGCAGTGTTTCGAGGCTTTTTGGTACACGCATCACCTGGCGTTTATCTTCCTGCTTGCACTGTATACCCATGCGACAGGCTGCTTCGTCCGCGATACAGCTCAACCTTTCTCTCCCTTCGCCGGCAAGAACTTCTGGAATCACTGTCTCGGATATGAGGGCTGGCGGTTTACACTCTGGGGATTCGGATTCTATCTTCTTGAACGTCTCGCTCGGGTTGTGCGTTCGCGTAAACCGACGAATATCTCGAAAGTCGTCATGCACCCCCAAGGCGTGATCGAGTTGCAGTTCGTCAAACCCAGCTTCAACTATACTTCTGGACAATGGCTTTTCCTTAACGTTCCGGCGGTGAGCAAGCACCAATGGCATCCCTTTACGATCACGTCTGCACCTGCGGATCCATACGTGAGCGTTCATGTTCGTCAAGTTGGTGATTGGACACGCAGTCTTGGTTCGCTGCTCGGTATCGACGAGAAAACGCTAGGAATATCCGATGGTGTCGAGATGGCCTTACAGAACGGTCGTGCATTGCCAAAAATCATGGTTGACGGTCCCTTTGGTGCACCGGCTGAAGATGTCGAGACGAAGGAGATTGCGGTCCTGGTCGGCGCAGGTATCGGCGTAACTCCCTGGGCCTCCGTCCTCAAGAACATCTGGCACAACCGCCGTCTTTACATGCAAGGCCGCCGTTCCAAAGCCTCTCCTCTTCGCCGCATCGAGTTCGTCTGGATTTGCAGAGATATCGCCTCGTTCGAATGGTTCCAGGTTCTCTTGTCTGCGCTTGAACGGGACTTGGGAGAGATTGAAGATCTTCAGCTTAATATACACATCTACCTGACACAGCGTCTTGACACGGACACGGCTGCGAACATCATGATCAATTCTGCGGGCGCGCAGACTGATCCCCTCACGCGCCTTCGCGCTCGTACGCGCTTCGGGCGTCCGAATTGGAGTTCGATTTTCTTGGGCATGAGGGAAGGCATCGAGAGGGGCACTTACCTCCCCGGGCGGGAGGGAAGCTTGAAGACAGAAGTCGGTGTTTACTTTTGCGGACCCGGGCCTCTTGGGAAGACGCTGAAGGAGGAGGCAAAGAAAGCAAGCAGCGAGGAGGTTGTTTTTCCATTTTGGAAGGAGCACTTTTAAGTCTCTCATTTCGTGCATAGGATGGCGGGATGGTGAGGAGAAAGATGGTCAACGCTGGTCGTTAGCCGTTGTTCTGCTTTATTTAGGTATATTCAGCAATGTGGGAACGCATATCTTTGTGCAAGCAGATGTGTTGTTTGCCATGAATATATTTTATTCACTGAACTATTGTTTTCGGCGTTTCATCAGCATTCGCATCTTGCGATTGTTGCTGCGCGTGAACCGAAGCCTGATCATGATCAGCTGCAACATCTTTGGACGACCCGGACAATTTCACGTCCTCGCTTTCTTTCTCAGCGAGTCTCTTTTCCCATTCAGTAATCCACTCGGGTATCTTACCCGAGTTAGGCTTCTCATACGCCTTACGAATCCGTCCAAGATACTTTCGCAGTGCGTGCTCCACGTCCTCGTTTGCTTTCTCAGCGAGTTTATTCTCCCATTCAGGGATCCATTCGGGTATCGGACCTGAAGCCTTCTTATACGCCTGACGAATCCGGCTAAGAACCCTTGGCAGTATGTGCTCGGAGTCTGCCTTTTTGAACACTGCCGTGCGAAGAGCAAGAAAGTCCTTCACGTCTACAAGGCCTTCTCGGCGTTCTTCAAGAACGGCCCAGCACTCTCCAATGGTCTTCCACGGAACTCTATCATCCCACTGAAAACTCCAGAGAAGAGCCTTGTATATTTGGGGGTGACTAGGGTCGAGACCATCATCTGCCATGTCCTTTAGTAGATCGAATCCCTTCGTATAATCTCCGCTGTCTTTTACATATCCCTGTATGAGAATGGCGTACAGGTGGTAGTTCAAGAGTTTAGTTTCTCTGAGCGTCTGAACAAGCCCCTTGATCATCCATCCAATGTGTTCCGGACTGAGATGCATCAAAGTGAAAAGGCTATGAATGACTATCGAGATATGCTGCACAGGGACCGGGTGAGAGGCAAGACGAGCGTTGGTGTCAATGATTTCCATGAACATCTTCACTTTCCGTTCGGCGGCTGCCATCTCTGTGGTATCGGATGGCGCGGGTAAATCACGAACAGCCACCAGAAGTGTGGTAATGAGTGGCGGACGCAGAGAAATATTGACCTGAGCAGCTTTCTTCCACACAACCCAGGCTGCGTCCACAGAGGAAGCTTCCCCGACACGTTCCGGCTGTAGATAGAAAGAAAGCATGTGCTCGAAAGGGATGGGTGACAGTGCACCACGGTCGCCGGCATATTCCTCGATAAGGAGGGTCAAAGTATCCATGGCTTCGACGTGTTGACCATAACGAATTTTCGCCGAAACCACGCCCGAGTAAAACAATGCAGTTGGTGGTAGTTTTCTTGTGTGGACTTCATCGATCAGTGCGTTAACTTCCTCTATAGATTTGTCGCGAAAGTGAATGAGTGCTGCTCCATAAACTTTAGAATCAACATATCCGGCTATGTCTACGCCGGGAGGTTCAGATTCGAATTCCCGCGGTGGATTGGGCAGCGCTCTTGCGTATTCCCAAATCTGCGAAGCTTGTGCTGAAAGTCCGAGTTTTGTGAAGATACTCATCAAGTGCACAAATACCATTGACCCAGACGGGACTATTTTCTCCACGATATCATTGACAAGTATCTCAAGGAGCTCAAGAGGCATTTCAGAAATCGGGATATGCTGCATTGCCCTGCACATTCGGGCGATGTCCCCAGCCCGGAGAAGACCGACATCATGAAGTTTAAGATATAATTTCTCATATTGATGAACTTCATTGCTCGTGACATAATCCCGGAAACGCTCGAGTTCGCGGGAAAACGCACCTTCCGCAACCTCGGGCAGGTTAGAAGCTGTGGACCAGTCAATGCCACCCGAAGGGCGCACCCGTGCCCGTCCTTTGAATCCTCTACCGGGCGGTCGCGGTCTTTCATGTGGCGCTGACTGATGATTAGAGCGCACAGGCCTGACGTTTGCGCAACAGCTCAAAGCAGGGATCACCGGCCTCGCTGAAGAAAGCTTAGGCTGCGCAACAAGACGGCCGACACCTCGCAATCCTGGCGTTCCTAGGACCATTGCAAGAACTCGCTTACTTGCTGACGTGAAGGCGAGGTCGCGGATAGGTATTTTCGAAAGCCCTTCATCGCACGTACACTAGATATTTCTTGCGGGGCCCAGAAATCCGGCGTATCTGCACTGAGCTGCGGGTGTCGGTAGGGGTACAAACACTACACCAAGAGGAACCCTGGGGACCGCTCAACTGAGATCACCATGGCTCCCTTCAAATTCGGTCTTGAGGACCCTGATGACAGCGCAATGACCATTGATTTCGATCTCGATGATTCTCCGGACGCGACTTTACCCCGGGCCCCCATCAAGGCAGGCAGTTTGAAGACGTGGCAGAAACGACGGACGCTGAAGGCCATTGTGCATCCGTTGCTTGCTGAGGGCGTAGCGTGGATTGATACAAATGGAAAGGAAACTACGGACGTGCGGATCACTGAGCAGGAGACGAGGGTATACGGGACTGGGCTACCTGGATTGGGGATGGATCCGGACGTTGCGAAGGTATTCAGCCAACCGCCCGCTTCTCGTGTCAATTGGACTAAACCATCGTGAAATGTAGTACATCCTACAATTCGCCCACATTTTCGCCGATATACAAAAGGAGTTCACTCAGGATTTCGCACATCTTCCGTCCTTCTCAACACCCAATACACCCGCACATACCTCCCGCGTGTCGATCCCGCGCTTCTCCAGACTTTACCGCGATACCCTTTTTGCCATGGGAAAACGCCTCGCACAAGGATCACCGGCCAGCGAACTGGCTCTTGATTGTCGCTCCATCTGGCTGCTCTTCGAAGCGGTGTACTTCCCTGAGAATGGCGGCGTGGCAGAGAGTCTGATGAACTGGCTAAACTCGTACGATCCGAAACCGGCGACCGAAGATGGACAGGATATCATGACATACCGACCACCCGCCGCGCACCCCGAGTTCTGGAATTACATCTATACGGCGACGACTAGGGGGTTGTTCTCGCAAGCAGCTGAGTGTTTGAGCTATGGTGGGTTGGCGCAACAAGATCCAAGCGGACAGAAGGCGGCGGATGCGGTATCGGAGTTGTTGCGTGACGCCCCTCGACGCACGGGGAAGGGCGCACAGGATCAGAGAGAGTTCGACGGGAAATGGAGAGCGTGGCGCGGACGTGTGATTAACACCACTACAGCCATTCAGAAACAGGTCACGAATCAAAACGTGTCTGCTGCTTTCCGTCAGTTGATGGAGTTGTTAAAGGGTGACAAAGATGCCATCTTTAGTGTCGCCGAGACCCTTCCGGAGGCGGTTTGTGCACTTGCGCTGTTGTATGATCCGGTTAAGACTGCGACGTCGGATCAAGTCAAGAGGTTTTGGGAGATGGCGAATGTTGAGGGGTTCAGTATCGATTCTACCCTAGACAGCGAAGTCATCTTTGACAAGGTATGTCAAGGCGACGTTTACGGCGCACTCGTTAAATGCCACGTCCTTGGAGCCGAGCTGGGATTGTCGGCACATCTCGGTGATTTAATGGAGAAAGCGGATTTGTTGGAGAAGTTTGAGGATGAGGTCATGCAGGGAGCAGATGTGCGACAATGGTTCTTGTTGGAATTTGGAGAGCGGGTCATGGCTGGTTCGGAGGATAATTGGGAACATGCTGTTGCGTATTGGCGTGCGGCTGGTGACACTGGCATGGAACGTATGGCTCAGGCTTTGCCACGGGTACCACTCACGTCGGAGAAGAAGGCTATGAGGGTCGTGGAGGTATGCACCGAGCTCGGTCTCGATGCGGAAGCAGTGGAAGTTAGCACGAACTGGGCCAGAATATTGGAGAGTCAAGGCAAGGTTGGAGAAGCCTTGAAAGTATTCGATAAAGTCGAGAACGTGGCGCATATCGACCGTATCGCATGGATGCTGTTTGAGAAAGCGTTGTTGCAGGGGAAGAGACCATCACCAACCCAAGACCCGATACTCGAAGATATCTTGTCGGAACCTGGGAAGAACAGTCCCCAGCTCGCGACGTTGATCGCGCCATATGCGACGCTACACGCGTACTACCAATATCTACGCGAAGGTCAAGACGGACGAATTGGAGCTGCGGCACATTTGACGAGTATCCTCCGCGCGCCAGAGACACCTCGACACTACCTCCCCCTCCTGATCGCGGAACTATTACCGTTGTTGGATACCACCCTACCCAGATGTTTCGCCTTGAGGGATTTATTCGAGGTCGCAGCGGTCGTGGAGGAGTATTTTGATGTCTCTACGCAGAATGAGACGAGGGAGGAGGGTGTGCGGTTGTTGCAGGAGGCGCTGGATAATGCGAGAGCTGCCGTAGGTAAGAGAGGATGGGAGAGTGGGGATTGGAGAGGGGGAGTTGCGGGGGGGATGAGGAAGGCGGAGGATGTTGTTGCGTTGGTTAGGATGCAGATTGTTAGGACGGTTGGGAGGGGGTGGGTTGATGGTGAGGAGGGTGTGTAGGGGAGGGTAGGGAGGGAATGGGGGTTGTCTTGCTGTGCGGGACGGAGATGATCATAGAGGCTAGCGACATTTGGGATTGGATTCTAGTATTTTCGTATTCGAATACAATAATAGAGAGGGATATCTTCATATCCTGCCTTGGTTCAGGGTTGTTGCAAATGGCAATGTCGAGGATAGTTGTAAGAGATTGGCCAAGGAATAATAAGAGTTCGTTTCTATTAGGCATATATGTTTCATGCCGCGTCTTTGTATGCTATCAACCGCTGTGTTGACCTTGTCTACTCTAGTATAAGAAACCCAATTCATAAGACACATATCCACCATGTACTTCATGCGCATCTCACGCTCTAACACCGTTCATCCATGTCGTCGATCATCAATTCCCATGCTCATGTCCAGTTCAGACAACCAACTTCCCCTTCCCCTTCTCCTCAATCTCCTCCATCCTAACCTGCTCATACTGCGCCTCACTCCCCCTCCCACCCCCACCAATAACAGCCTTCTTCGTCTTCCCCCACGCATACAACCCACTCCCACCCAAAATGGCGGCCATACCCAAGTATCTCGACCCAACGTTCGGCTCGTTGAGGACCACGATCGCGAGGAGACTTTGCGCGACACCACGGGCTGCGGTGACGATCATGTGGGTCGTTGGGGATGTCACTGAGATCTGGGTGAATGTTGCCACGGTGAGGAGGAAGGAGGAAAGACCTGTGATGAGGGAGCCGTGGAGGAATGAGCGGAGTGCGAGGGGGGAGGTGAGGGATAGCGACACCAGTGACGCATACTCGCCCGTGAAGACGAAGATTGGGAGGAGTGTGACGAACGCCATGATATTCGTCATGAAAATCATCGAAAAGACGCCTGTCTCCCCCTCCCTCTTCCCCAAAAAGATCTTGACAACAATCGTCTCCACAGCCGTCGTCAATGAACTCCCAACCCCAAGTGCGACACCAATCGTCGACGTCTGCATCTGATCTAGATCCGTGACGACCCCGAATACGAAGCCGAGCATGACGAGGCCTGCGCCGAGGAGGGAGTGAGGAGAGTATGTGGGTTTGGGGGCGAGGAAGATGGAGCCGAGGATTAGGGTGAAGGGGAGGAGGAGGCCGCGGGCGATTTGGTAGAAGGAGGCGTTTACGGCAGCGAGGCAGTAGGTCTTTGCGAGGACGCCTACGAGGCGGGCGAGTGCCAAGGGGTAGAAGGATCTCCAGACCTAGATGTCCCACAGATGTTAGCTGAGGATGTTGGCGTTGTGGGAAGAGGAATGGGACATACCCGCCATGAGGAAGAAACACCTTTCAGCCAACCCAAAGGCATCCCAACAACGGCGATACACCCCACCGCGACGAGGTACTGCATCAACAATAACGCGCTTGGCGAGTTCACGGTCGTGAGTGCATGTTTCGAGGTGAGGGTGACGAGGATTGCGGAGGATGAGTGGAAGAGGATCGTTGCAGCGACTTTCAGCTTTGAGGGTTGCTGATCTGCGGCCATATTGAAATGTTCGAAGAGGGAGGAGGGAGGAGGGATGGATGGTGTTGTGTTTTGGGTCGAGGCGGGTTGTGCACGGCCATGCAAGGGTTTCAACACCCGAGCTTTTATGAGCCGCAACGCCGCAACGTCCAACGCGTCGACCATTCGAAGGGAAGGGAAACGGTCAAGATGATCGCACTCAATATCGGTATCCTCAAGCAGAAGAAATGGCTGGCGGCCTCGGCGGCGGGCCTCTTCCTCTTCTTCCTCCTCCTGACCTTCCCGTCCGCGCCGTCTTCATACACCTCCGGCACCTCCACCTCGACCTCGGGTTCGTCACGGGCTGACAACGCAGTCGAGATCAGCACCAAGAAGATCTCCTACGACAAAACCACTCCCCCGACGGTGGGCTGCGAATCCATCGTCATCGCACAACAACAACTTCTCATCTCAGAATACACCAAAATCCTCAAAGACATCCGCTACGTAAACATCTGGGGCTACCTCGAAACTGAAAACAAAGGCGATGCAGCGATCTGGGTCGCGCAACAAATTTTGCTCAACATGCTCGGTATTACGACGATGGAGGTTTGCCGGTATGTTGATCGAGATTGCGATATTGAGAAGTTTGCGGGTGCGCTCAAGGAGCACGAGCATTCCGCCATCGTCATCGCAGGTGGTGGAAATACGAATGATTTCTACTGGGATGACGTTCCCTCCCGATTCAAAATGATGGCCAAGTTCCCCGACGTCCCGGTTCGCTCGTTCCCGCAATCAATCTACTTCACCAAACCCGACAAACTAAACCAAACCCTCACCAATTACGGTGCCCACCCCGATCTCCAGCTCTGTGCCCGCGATCGCCCATCCTTCGATTTCCTGGAAGAACACTTCAAACCACAGGGCATCGACACCCGTCTCACCCCCGACATCGCATTCATGTTCGGCGACCGACACGACATCCGTCTCAACACCCCCAAGAAATGGGATATCCTCATCCTTGCCCGGGACGACTGGGAAGTAACCAAAGGTGCCGAATCCGAGCTCAAGGAGGGTGAAGGCACGCTCACCCTACCCACGGGCCGAACCGTAACCTACAAGAAAATCGACTGGAAAAAGATTCCGACGGGGGGGATAAACGATGAGGGACACAAAGAACTCGGCAAAAACCAACGCGCTTACGCGAAAGCTATGGATGGGTTCGCGCTTCTCGCCTCGAGTAGGTTCGTCATTACGGATCGTTTGCATGGGCATATCATGACTACGGTATTGGGTGTGCCGCATGTTCTCTTGGACTCGAAGTTGAAGAAGAACTTGAATTACCATGGGACGTGGACGGAGGAGTGTGGGTGTGTTAGGGTTGTGGATGATATGGGTGAGGCGATGGGTATGGCGGGGATGTTTTTCGAGGTTGCGGAGAATAGGGCATAAAGGAATCTATAGCTATAGAAGCAAATTATTTATTTTCTGATACAGCTGTCGTGCGTGGGGTGGAGTTATTTGTCCCATTTTGCAGGTCGTCCGAATAACCACACAACCTCCCCACACTCCACCCCAAACATCCTCATCCACACCTTCGCTTCTTCGAAAAACCCTGACTCGACATACCCACACGTGTAAACCTCACTAGCCCATACCCACCCCACCAGAAACACAACTCGATACACCCATCCCGGTCTCCTTGCTCCGGAAAAGTAGAAAGTTTCGAGAGTACAACCCAGCCCGTTGAGCAGGAAGTAAAGGATGTTTATTCCGCGGACGTGCCCGGCGGACATCCAAGTTAGGTATTCGTGGGCGAGGCCGGAGAGGAGGAATGTGAAGAGAGCGGCGGTTGCGTTTTCGCAGGGTCCGCGTTTTTTGGCATCGTTCTTTCTTTCGGTCTCGTGAGTGGATACGCTTTGAGAGTCGCGACGGGAGCGTGTTTCGGGACGAAAGAGGAGTTTGCAACATGGGCAACTCACCCTCTCGAAAACCACCACATGCAAAACCTCATGAACCGGCAAATTCCACCTCCTCGCCCACAAATCCCGGAACCCCCCCGCCCGCCAAACCCGCCTGAACATCCCCCTCTGCCTTACACCCCCTACAAGCCCTGCCACCGCAAAGAAACCCCCGACGAAGCCCTCGAGCGAGATGAGGAGGATGAAGCCCAACAAAGCCATGTAGAGGCGTGCTTGGGAGAATGACATGTAGAAGAAGGAGGCGGGTGGGGGGATACAGCGGAAGAGGAGGAGGGAGAAGGCTATTTTGGGGAGGGAGGTGAGGAGGAGGTGGTGGGTGTTTTCGAGGCGGGGGGAGAGGTGTTTGGTAGGGTGGGAGTGATTGTGGGGGAGATGGGGGGAGGCGGAGGTTGTGGGGAAGGTTAGCATGTGGGACCAGAATTGGGTTGGGGTCCATTGCGATGATTTGTGCGGTTCGATGAATGACATCTTGACATTGCCAACGTATTAGAATGAGAACGAGAGGAAGGGGAGAATAGGAACATACCCAATATATCCTCAACGAACACACAAACGCCAAAACCCCCAACGAAAAATCCACAATCACAGACCCACTCTTCTGCCGCCCCCACACCATCCCTGGAAAGAGCACGACGAACGCGATCGTGCTCCATCCCGCCAGTTTGTGTCTCCGAGACGAGGGAGGAAGGCGGAGGGATGGGTAGAGGAGTAGTTGGAAGATGGAGAAGTAGAGGAGGTAGACGGAGATGATTAGGGCGGGGGGACGGTTCCAGTGGATTGCGGGGAGGGGGTGGGGGGTTACTGGGAGGCCGAGGTGTTGGAAGAGGTGGCCGATGGTGGAGATTGGCATGGCGTTGTGTGTGATTGCAAGGGAAGAGGAGGAGATGGGGAGTTCTGCTTATGCTTAAGGGTTGGATGTGAAGTCATGAGATCATTGACGTGGGTGCTAGTCTCATGTCATGGCGAAGTCGGCGACCTCGAAGCGATTTGGTAAGCGAGACTCGTAAACTGAAAGTCGAGAAGGTTACGACGGGTCCATCGGCAAGAACTCCCAGGATTCGGAGGTCAGCCGTGGTGGTGCGTTGGCGTCGGCACCCGCGGAACTCTTGGCGACGAAACACGACACCAATTGCAATTGCATTCATCCAGCCAGCATGCGATCCCTCCTCGCGATGCTGCTGAGCATATGGGCCCTGCTACTCCCCCTCACAACCGCCTTCTACATCCCCGCCATCTCGCCAAACTACTACCATACCGCCGACCCAATCCCCCTCCAAGTCAACAAACTAACCTCCTCCAAAACCCAACTCCCCTACGCCTACTACGACCTCCCCTTCTACCCAAAACCCCGCAACCCCCACAGAGTATCTCTCAATCTCGGCGAAGTACTACGGGGTGACAAAATCATGGGGAGTGACTACGAGTTGCGGATGGGCGAGGATGTTGATTGTAAGTGGTTGGGGGATGTAGAGATAAGCGCTGATCAGGCACGGAGAGCGGAGGAGATGGTTAGGGAGGAGTATGTGATTGAGTGGATTGTTGATAATTTACCGGGTGCGACGTCGTATATCACAGAAGACCGCACGAAGAAATACTACGGCGCGGGGTTTCGGATGGGGAGCTTCGTTGATGGGAGGGCGAGATTGAATAACCACGTCACCATCGTCTTGAAGTGGCGTGCGGCGGCGATGGATCCCTCCAAAAGGCTTATTGTTGCGTTCGAAGTGTATCCGAAATCAATCGCGGGCCCACCAGGGACCTGTCCCCCCGTCCTCGAAGCACCCGGTCTCCCACCCTTCGAACTCACCGGCGATCCAGCACTGATAACATACACCTACTCCGTCTATTGGCGCGAAGACAACGAGGGCCCGGGTTGGGACGATCGGTGGAGTATGTATATGCTCGGCGGCGTAGAGGGGGCAAGCGGGAGCGGGAGTGTGGTTCATTGGGTTTCGGTGGTGAATAGTTGTGGGATTGTGGTGTTGCTCACAGTCATGATCGCCATGATCCTCATCCGGACGCTGAAGCGCGATATCTCCTCCTACAACGCCGTCCCAGACTCCGAATCGCTGGAGGCGGAGACGGAGACGGAGACGGAGAGCGCGGGGTGGAAGTTGGTTCGTGGTGATGTTTTCAGACCACCGCGACACCCCGGGGCCTTTGCGGCCCTCATCGGCAGCGGCGTCCAAATTGCCGCCGCAAGCGCCGGGGTCCTCGTCCTCAGCGCACTCGGCGTCCTCAACCCCTCCTACCGCGGCGGATTCCTAGGCGTCGCACTCCTTCTCTTCGTCTCCGCCGGGTTCATGTCCGGGTACGTCTCCGCCCGAATTTATACCGCATTCAACGGACAACGTGTCCTGCGGAACGCGCTCGTTACGGCGTGTGCGGTGCCGGGGATTGGTGTTTTGGTTTTGGGGGGGTTGAATTTGGTGGTTTGGGCGGAGGGGAGTTCGGGGGCGGTGGGGGTGGTGGTGGGTACGTGGGTGTGTGTGTGTGTTCCGCTCGTTCTCGCCGGGGCGTGGGTCGGAAACAGACAACCCGCGATAATCCAACACTCACCCAAACCCAAACAAATCGCGCCGCAGCCGTGGTGGACGAGGTGGTGGGCCTGCGTGCTGCTTGGCGGCGCGATACCCTTCGCTGTGGTGTTTGTGGAGTTGATGTACATTTTGAGAACATTATGGGTAGACCAGACGGGGTACTACTACCTCTACGGCTTCCTCATCCTCATCGCCCTCATCCTCGCCCTCACCATCCTCGAGATCTCGATAATCTACACTTACCTTCTCCTATCCGCACAAAACCCCAACTGGTGGTGGCGCGCATTCGTCATCGGCGCATCACCTGCCATATGGGTTTTCGTGTATAGTGTGGTGTGGCATGGGAGGGTGCGGGGGGGGGAGTGGGTTGGTGGGTTGTTGTTTGTGGGATATATGGGGGTTGGGTGTGGGGCGTTTGGGTTGGTTGGGGGGATGGGGGGGGTGCTTGGGAGTTGGGTGTTTGTGAGGAGGATTTATGGGGCAATTAAAGCGGACTGAATCGTTGTGGTAGCTCGGATATACGTCGTTAATAGCGGACCTTTCCACGGTAACAGATATGACCCGTTCAGCATTTTATAATTCCGAGCTGCAGCTCCATCTAGCTACCTATTTGTGTATGAACCATAACATCCCAAAACGAACTCCCCCCTCATTACCATCACCTCCCCAAAAGCCTCCCCCAAACCTCTCCCCCCACCCGCCTCAACCCCTCCCTAACCCCCTCAACCCTCCCCCCCCTCCTCCCAACATCCTCCCACTCCCCCCAATACATCTTCCGCCCCATCTCACCCAGCAAATTCCGCCCCGGCTCCTTCCGACGCGCGAAATCGATTTCGTTGGGAGGAGTGGGGAGCCAGTATGGGATGGGCTTGGTGTTGAGGTAGGTGTAGGATTGGAGAAGGGGTTGCAAGGGGTCAGAGGAGGTGCTGGTGGGGGGAAGGGAGGGAATTAGTGGGATGCCCGCCGAGATTGCGAGGGGGATTGAAGGATGTGCGAGGCCGGAAGGCGAAAAGTACTCTTCGTTTCCTGGTCCCAGGATCCCGTCCGCTTTCGACAATTCCTCCATCAACGCTGCCACCGACAACCCCCGATGAATGGTGTAGTTGACCCCATTCCGCACGAAATGATCAGGGATCGCGACATCCCTCACGTTCATGCTCAGATCGTAGATATCCAGCGTTAGCTGTACCCCAACCTGCGCCAATACCTCCCATGCTGTACGGAAGTGGTGGAGCATGGGGTATTCGGTCAATAGATCCACACTGTTGGGCGGGAGGATTAGGGCGAGGGATGAGTTGTGGAGGGGCTGGGGGTGGGGTGGGTTGTGGAGGGGTGGGGCGGGGACTTTTGGGGTAGCGTCTGCGTCCCTTTTCGTCTTCGAGAGGGTAGCGTCGAGACCTTCTTGGTTGCCGTCAGACACACCCTTCATTGGTGGTGTGAAGACGGGTGCCCACCACTGAATCCCCGGCCTCGTCCACATCCCGCCCACCGCACTGCCCTTATTCTCCTTACCAGTACCAGTACCAGTACCCGTACCCGCCTCCAACGCTTTCGCATCCTCCGCCTCCCACTCATCCACAACGCTTGAGAGGAACGCGGCCGTGTGCGGAGAGAGGGTAACCATCTCCACCCTTCGCGCTCCAATGAATGGTTTCAGGGCCATGGCTAGGGGTGAGGAGGCGTGTCGCCAGAGATTGGCGTCGTGGACTACGCAGACCAGTTTGAAGTTGCGGGGGAGACGAGTGATATCATCCGTCAGCGCCGACAACACGGAAGAATAGGTGGTAAAGTCTTTCTCGCAGGTCGAGAGGACGAGCGTGTCCGGCAATGGTTCCTCATCCGCGGGTCTCCCACCCTGTGCTTTAGCTGCGGCGGAAGAGGTGTACGCAAACTCACTCGGCTGACGAATGGTGAGCGTCGCCGTTTCCGGAAGAAGTGAGTGGAGGTATGAATCTGGTCCGAAACGGGAGGCGGAGGAGAGGTGGAGGGTTATATCGGATGTGTGCTCGCCGAGGTATTGGAGGAGGGGTGCGATCACGTCTGTATTTTCGCCGCTCTACACCGGGATGTTAGAATAAGAAGGATTTGGAGAGAGGAGGGGTGTTACGGATTCGGTGATGACGACTCGTTTTGACGAGGAGCGCAGGAGGGAGGAGGCATCACTGGGGGAGGCGCCTGACCAGAGTAGGACGGTGATGAAGAAGAAAGCGGCGAGAGTCGCTATGACATATCGCGGTGGTATCATCCTCTTCTTCTTCTCTTCCACTTGTCAACACCGAGGTCTGTTGGTGGTGAACAGCAACATCGACCCGCGGGTGGTTTAGCCAGGGGGGTGCAGATCGTCAAAGTCTAAGCGCAGCTGCCCATGGAGCAACACGATGGTGCTTAAAAACCGGGAAGGGTGGACAAAGAGGGAACACCCCTCGAGATGGGACGATTGGTATCATTCATACTGCTAACAGACGTTATTGTGTACAGCGGTGGGAACACTTCCTCGAAGGCGTCTTGGACCTTAGCGTAATCAAGGAACTTGAGAGTTCCCATGATAATCAATCGGTCCAAATTGTAGTGTACTCTTTGAAAGACGCAAAGGTACTGGGAACTCATTTTTCAGTGATTTGAAGACCTCGCTCGTGCATTGCTGCTATGTGCAAAGTTCTTGACGGGCATTTCCGTACATGCACGAGAGCCCTGTAAGCGTAAGAGAAAACACCTCCAAGCAGCTCGAAAAAAGGTCTGGGAAACTCAGTAAGGGCTCAAAATGCTTGGGAAGATGTGTGCCGATGATCACCGCGACAAGGTAATCAACGAATATACTTCTGGGAAGGATGTCTACAATATTGCGACCAACATCGAGAGGTCTCCTCGCACAGTTAACCGCATTGGGAAAGAGATTCGAGGAGACAGGGCTTGCTGAGCGTAAGGGGAATTCAACCTGCGGGCGCAAACCGGCTATTGACAAGTTTCTGGGTTTGCTAAGTAGACTACTACTGCTTACGGGTACCACCAAGGACATCACTAAATGACCGCAGCAAATCAAGTACTTGTACAACAAGAACCCTACCCTCTATCAAGACAACTGTGCTGAGTTTCTCAACCATCAATTCGCTCCATCTCTATCGCGCTACCATTTCACCCGCTACCTGCAAAAGATTGGATATACCCGTAAGGTCTTAACCTTATGGGCAGCCCAGCGCAACCCCAGCTTACTCGTAAACCATGCCATTGAATTGGCTGACTATTGAGCGCACAGGTTCACGAAAATTTGGATACTCGCCGACCGGCACCCCCGCCATCCAGGAGAGGGTCTTTGGGTATTCGACACATTGAATTGTGCTGCCTGCATTGACTATTGAAGGTTTGAAGGCGCTACGCATCTTTCAGGGATCCTTTACTGCTGACCGATCCGTTGAATTCATCAAAGAGGACCTGCTACCAATCGTTGGTCCAATCCCTGGTCCAAACAGCGTCATTGTGCTTGATACTTGTCAAATTCATCATGATCCAAGGGTTGCTGAACTCTTAGTAAACCAACAATGAGTGCTGCATTGTTTCCTTACCACCATATTTGCCTGACCTCAACCCAATCGATCTCTGTTTCAGCATGTTCAAGGCCTGGATGAAGAGCAATAACAACGATCCTGACACCCTGTCTTGACCCTCCCTCTTTTATTCGCAAAGCGATTGAGTACATCAACACAGATCTCGAAAAGATCTGCAGTTTGTACACGGGCTGTGGTTATGCGCTGACCGGCATGGATTTGCGTCAATACGTTGATAACAACCATCAAATGGCCGCTCGAGCGGCTGAGCGGGTGTAGCTATCATTCGTTAGTTAGTCTCAGTGTTTTTTACCAATCGAAGGGACATTTCGTTCATTATTCAAGCACTTGCCGTTCTCACGGGTCATTTCCTTGACAAATTGGCTGGGAACTGCCCCACCTGCGTGACATGCAAGTGTAGCTTACTAGACTACTCACTTTGAGACAAGCATGTTGCACGCCCAAACCTGCATTAGCGTGCAGAATGCTTGACAACGTCATTTCGTGCTCGACGGAGTGTATGAGAGTTTAGTGAGCTTATTGCAAAAGAATCAAGCATCGTGGATTGAAAAGCAGTACAGTGCTGCTGGATACCTTTCCAAACCGGCCACCACTTGCGCATAATATTCACCATCCATCTTCACAGGCGGTAGGCCACTCGGCTCGATGTTCTTGAGATCGTCGAGCACTACTCCATTGTCGATGATCGCATCTCAAACCGTCGGACAATAGTCGATGTAGTCTGGAACCTTGGTCTTGAGACAGGCCAGAAACCCGTCCAAATCAACAGCAGCCGGCCCTTGAAGAGGGCTCGAGCCTCGGAGCATTTGCGGGTCAATGGTTGTGCTTGTTGGGGTCGGGGCCTGAGTGGACTGACTCGAGGGAGGTAGCAGCAGTAGATCGAATCGAGACGCAGTCACCGGTGTAGGTAGTTGAGGGACACCGGACAAAGAGCGCATGCTTTCAGGTGTTTCCGCTTGATCCATGGACTTGAATGGTTCGAGCAACCCAGCAAAAAGGGGATCATGGTTGGGCGGATCCTCGACAGTAACTCCAGGTTCTTTCGCCACCAAGTACTTGGACCATAGATTGAGGAGATCATTGGTAATGTATCGATGTTGGCCAAAAAAGGGATGAACATAGCAGTACTGCTGGTAATGCTTGGCGCATTCATGCTTAGGCTGCAGGGTCTGAACAGCAAGGGTCCTTTTGTAGCGTTGAGGATCATTTGCAAGTTCATTCGAAATGCCCTGGAGAGCACTGTTGGTAGCACTGTGCCTAGGTCGAGGGATGAGAGGCTTCCGAGCCTTGGACTGAGTCTGAGAGGCGTTGCACAGAGGTTTGCTGGTCGAACTCGAGTTGAGAAGCAGCCCTTGTAGGGTCGTAGTGTGTATCGATTAGGATGAAAGCTGACAATTCGCTGGTGCATCCCGGCTCCTCCCACGGCAGGCTTTCCAGTTGATGTCGGGCTTCAGGGAGTATTTGTTGACCCCTTCGATGACCATGTGATCATGACGGAGCTCCTCGAGGGCAAGATCAATCAAAAGCTGCTCTTGGTCAGCCCAAGACCTGACTGGATTGACCGTCCAGGGTGCTTAGGGGTACTTGTGGTTCTTTTCCGTAGTGACGAGAATGAAGACCTGGAAGTCGTTGAATCTGGTGATAGTATCAACAACGGTGCGTCTTCGTCTTTGAGTTCAATGACTGCCATAGGCCTTTTTTCCCTCCGGACTGTATTTGTAGGTGGTGGTGAGGCTGCTGCGCGTCGAGGATTTTGCAGGGTGACGTCCCCCGATACCAGCCAGAACAGTCAGCACAGAAACTCTCCACCAACACCCCCTACACCCGCCATGTCAGAAATCACAATCAACATCAAGTCAAGTCAAGGTATGGCAACATCGTGCACTACATGCATTGACAGCCATACTCACCACTCCCCTACAGACAAGAAATACTCCCTAACAGTCCCCCTCTCCCTCACCGTCCGCGAATTCAAAGACCGCGTCGCAGCCATCTCCGAAATCGAAGTCGAGCGACAACGTCTCATTTACAGTGGCCGCGTACTCAAAGATCCAGACACGTTGGAGAGCTATAAGATCGCGGATGGGAATACTGTGCATCTCGTCAAGGGTGCCGCTACGTCATCCACCTCCAATCAACCCGCTGCGGCCGCACAGGTTCCGCAGAGCGTCTCGGCGGGGATTAATCCAAGTAACCCTCTTAATGCCTTCACGAGTTCGCAATACGCAGGCCACCAAATCCCCCTCCCACCCCCCTCCCTCTTCGGCCCAGACGGTGGAATGACATTCCCCTCCACGGCCCCTGGGTCCTCCTCTGACCCCTCTTCCCTCCAACAAATGATGTCTGACCCAGCTACCCAAGCAGCAATGCACGCCATGCTCCAAGACCCCGCAATGCTCGATATGATCCTCGAGAGATCCGGGCTGAGAAATGTACCCGGAGCACGGGAGATGATGAGGAGTGAGGGGTTTAGGAGGGCGATGTTAGATCCGGGGGTTTTGGGGAGGGTTGGGGAGATGGGCGGGATGATGGGTGGACAGCAAGGGAGTTTTCCGGCGCCGGGGGGACAACAGCAGGGACAGCAAGGGCAGCAGCAGGGTGTGGGGGCAGGACAGCAGCCTAATCCCTTCGCGGGTATCTTTGGCCCTGGATCTATTTTTGGTGCTGGTGCCGCTGGTGCTGGTGCTCCGGGTGCTGCGGGTGCAGGAGCACAGGCGAACCCGTTGGCGGGGTTGATGTCCATGTTTGGGGGTCCCGCCGCCGGTGCCGGTACTGGTGCTGGAGCTGGAACAAACCCCTTCGCTGACCCCGCCCTCCTCGAGATGCTCATGGGCGGTATGGGCGGTGCTGGCGGCATGGGAATGAACAACCCCTCCACCGAGGCCGAGACCGACACGAGGCCCCTGGAGGAACGATATCAAACCCAGCTTGGGCAGTTGAATGATATGGGTTTCCTCGATTTCGAGAGGAATATTGCGGCGTTGAGGAGGAGTGGGGGGAATGTTCAGGGGGCTATTGAGGTTCTGTTGAGTGGGGGTGTTTGAGTTGTCGAGGTTGAGGGTATGAAGTGAGGGGTGTGGTATAGGGTTGAGGTTGGTAGAGTATTTTGGACTAGCTGGATTATTGCGCGAGTATCAATTGTTGTTGCGAGTGGTCGCACGGAGATATCGATATCAGTGAAAGTTGTATTAACGATAAGGGAATGTGGGGTATTACTGGTTATCAATACTCGAGAGAGGCCCGCTGCTCTCTTCTTTGCTCCCGTCCAAATCCAATCAAACCGGCTCCTTATTCTCCGACTCTCAATACCAAAACCTCTCTCTCTTCCTTTCCTTTCTCCTGCCAATTCCAAAAGAAAACAGCCCTCCCCCCCCTCTCCTCCACCCCACCCCTCAAAACCCCTCAAAAACACCCCCAAACTCATCTTCCCCACCCCCCCCTCCACAAACCTCCCCCCTAACTCTCCCCCACTCAACCTCTCTCTCTCCCCCCCCAACCTCCTCATACACCTCGAAATTCGACCGATCCCCCTCGCCCCTAACGACCGGCACGATCGGTGGACGGACTTGACAGTGTTCGAGGGCGTCCCAGTCGAGGGCGGAGAAGAATGCGTGGCGGCGCACGTCCAGGGAGCCATGGGAGAGGGTGCCGAGGCGGCGGGAGAGGTCTGGGGTTAGGAGGGATAGGATGAATGAGCGGGAGGGGGCCTCGATGTGTGGTGTGGAGGAGGAGGAGGAGGAGGAGGAGGAGGTGGGGAATCGGACGCGTCCTTCGATGATTTTTTCGTAGATCCCGAAAGGGTTGTCGGCGTAGAATGGAGGGTATCCGACGAGCATTTCGTACGTCAATATCCCCAGTGCCCACCAATCCACTCCCTCCCCGTGGCCGAGTGAGCGTATGATTTCTGGCGCCAAATATTCTGGGGTTCCGCAGAGTGTCCACGTCCGACCCCTCCCACCCGTGCTAGGCGACGACAAGTGTTTCGCGAACCCAAAGTCCGTTAATTTGATATGTCCCGTCTCCGCCAACAATATATTCTCGGGCTTGAGATCACGGTAGACGATGGAATGGGCATGCAAGAACTCGAGCGCCAACACGATTTCCGCGGCGTAGAATTGTGCGACGGGGGTGGGGAAGTGTCCGGCGCGGCGGAGGTGGGTGAAGAGTTCTCCGCCCGGGATGAATTCGAGGAGCATGAAGAGGGAGGTGCGGGTTTGGAAGGAGGAGTGGAGGGAGGTGAGGAAGGGGTGGCCCCCGTGGGCGTGGTGGGGGGAGTGGGAGGGGGAGATGGCGTGGAGGATTTGGGATTCGTTGAGGACGTGTTCGAGTTGTTTTAGTTTTAGGACGGTTGCTTTTGCGAGAATTTTTAGGGCGAAGAATTGGGGTTGAGCGGAGGAGCGGCGGCGGTGGGGGTCGTGTGGGATGAGGTTGGAGTGGGAGGGGTTTGGGGAGCGGGGGGGAGCTGTTGGGGACGGGTTTAGGCGGGCCAAATACACCCTGCCAAAGGTTCCCGTGCCTATGGCATCGGTGTTAACATCGTACACGGTTGTTTGATGGGACGACAGATAGATGACATACCCAACGTCTCCAATAACTCCAATCCATCAATATCAGGCTCATGTTCATCATCGATACCACTCTCGCTAGCGCTCTCCCCTTCAAACCTGCTATCCCCACCATGGCCATGGCCACCACTCGTGTCGAATTTCCAGACATCTTCCCATACGGGCTGCGTACCCGGACTCACATCCGTACCATCGTGGATTCCGGCGTCGCAGGAATGGGAGAAACTGTATGGCGGGGGCATATCGAGGGACATCCTGTGTGGAGGAGGAACTTCATTGCAACTGGGGAGGTTTGGGTGGACATGTGCTGCGTATAAGGTGCGGCTTGTGCGTGCGGTGCACTGCTTGTGCGGGGGATCCCAAATTACCGGTGCCGGCCCTCCTCCGCGACCTAAGTACTCCCTCCGCCATGTTTGTACCACCATAGGGCTGGCTACCTTGGAGTAGGTTATAAAACAATGCTGCTATCAGGCCTCCACGGACATCGCGGCCGTTTAGCCATCCTCGCATCGATCTTGCTCGCGTTTTGGTCTCTTTCTCTGTTTCTCCGGACTACCCCATCCCCCAGCACCATCAAACATCCTCAATCCGGATCTCTTCCGAGCAGTGACCCTTTCATCGAGGATGACTTGGAGTTGGAGTTAGCAAACACACCCCTCTCCGCAATCTACTCTACCCTCGACCTCCTCCTCTCCCTCCACCTCTCCCACCCACCCCTCCCCTCATCCCAAACCTACCTAGCCGAAACCGCTCGACTCGCACGAATCCTCACCTCGATCTCCGCTTGGCCCGCAGGGGTTGATGAGAATCAATTGGGGTTGGTGTTGGAGGAGCGGGTGCTGGGATATTTGGATACGGCGGGGATTGAGAGGAGGGTTGAGGGGGCGGGGGGTGCGAAGGGGGTTTTGGGGTGGGTGTGGCAGAGGATTGGAGAGGGGGGTCGGGGGAGGGGGGTTGTCGTTATTGTTGATCCGGGGAGGGGTGGGAAGGGGGTTGAGAGGGAGTTGGAGGTATTTGTGAAAGGGTTACGAGAAGGTGTGAAATGCACCCTCCCAATCGAGATCACATACGCAGGCGAGTATGCTCTGAGCGAAGCCCAGCGCGATTTCCTCCGAGAACACCTCGACATCACCCAGATCAAATTCATCGACATCTTCGAATCCCCCCTCTTCCTCAACCCCCGCTCCCCAACCGGCCTCCCACTCAAGTCTGTCACCTCAATCACACCCTACGCCATCCTCGCGTCCGAGTTCGAGGAGGTGGTTGTGTGTCGTCCCGATACCATATTCCTTCAGAACCCGCAAACGCTCTTTTCGGCGTCTGAATACAAGACGAATGGAGCGTTGTTTTTCCATCCAGCCCTCATCAAAACCGATTCGACTACGTGGCATGAACGCACTGATTGGATCATATCTCAAGTAGGGGCGGAGGGGGTATCGAGCGAGCTGTCGCACTCTAAGTTTTGGGCATCACAAGCCGACGGTATGTCAACCCCCGATTACGTATTCGTGATCAGTAAGAAGGAGAGGGAGATGGTCTACGCAGTAGGCTTCGCGGGGTGGATGGCCCTTCCGAACGTCCGCGACCATTGGCTTCATACCTGGGGCGGGAACGAGGGCGAGGTGATGTGGTTGGCGTGCGAGATGATGAGGGTTGCGTATGGCTTCTCCTCATCTTGGGCCGGAGCGATTGGCGTTTTGTCTGAGAATGGAGCGGAGGTGTGTGGGGGGAGGGAGGTGTACGTTATCAAGGATCGTCCGGTGTGGTTTGGTGGGGGGTTGATGAAGCATGAGGGAAGGGGATGGGTTGGGGCTAGGGAGATGGCGTGGACGGAGGGGGAGAAGGTGGAGTGGGGGAGTGGGAGTGGGAATGGGACGTGTGTTGGGCTTAAGGAGGGGAGGTGGAGGGATATGACGGGAGGGTGTGATCTAGTGGTGGAGAAGATGGTGGGGATTGCGGAGGAGGTATATGCCAGAACCTTAGCATAACTGTTTTCAATATAGCTGATCGATCCTTGTATGGAAATCCTGATCGATCAACACGTGCACCGCAACAACGTCATGACTCGCACCAGCCCGACTCCAGCGCAAACCGTAAGATCCCCTCCCCAACGACCAATTCACCGTCAATTGAGTCTCCAATCCCGCCTGTCGACAATGCCTCTCCCACTTCGCCGCAAACCCCCAATCACTACCCCACCCAACCTCCTCCTCCACCTCATCAAAAACCTCGGGTTTATCTCCGCGTCCCTCATCTTCCTGCCCTTCAGTTTGACGGTCTTGTTTTGGGCCACGGTTTTTAATTGGGTTTTCTCGGAGGAGAAGGGGAGGGTGAGGGCTGGTGAGAGGAGGATGACGGTCATGGTTTCGGGGGGACGGGCGACGAAGGGTTTGGTGCATATGAGGGCTTTTGCTAGGTACACGCACTTGCGGTGATCATGAATATCGATCGTAACTGATGATTGTGTGTGCATAGAGCTGGGCACCGTGTCATTGCTGTCGAGGAACCCTCGCAATCCCTCAACGCTGCCAGATTCTCGAAGTATGTGGCGGCGTACTATGCACTCACCGACCCCCTCAAGTCTCAAGATGCGTACACGAATCGGCTCGTGGAGATTGCGCGACGCGAAAAGGTGGACGTGTTCGTCCCCGCATCTGGTGTGGCTACGACATTATGTGACGGACATGCGAAGCCTGCACTCGAGAAGTTGGGTGTGAGGGTATTGCAGTTCGATGCTGACCTTGGCTACAAGTTGGATAAGAAAGATGCGTTTATGGGGTTGTGTCGGGACTTGGGTCTCGAGGTCCCGGAGACTGTGTTGGTGAGGAGCGTGGAGGATGTTATGGACTTTTCATGGGAGAAGAAGAGGGAGGAGGGTAAGAAGTTTTTGTTGAAGTGTGTTGGCGTCGACGATAAGACGAGGAATGATATGACATTGTTTCCTTGGGATGATTTGGAGGGGATGAGGGGTTATGTCAATACGTTGGGTATCACGGATGAGAATCCGTATATCATTCAGGAGTTTGTGAAGGGGACTGAATACTGCTGGTAGCACCCGCTGCTTCATCTCTATGGACATAGCTAATGTGGGTTCTACAGCCAATCCGTTGCTATTGACGGTGTCGTCCGTACGTTTTCTTGTTGCGAGAGTAGCGACCTCCTCATGAACTACGCACACATCACCCCCGCCTCCGGTCCCTCCGCCTCGAATGCCCGTCAGATCGCGAAACAATGTCTGGACTTCACAACCGAGTTCTGCAAAAAGGTACACTGCGAGCATCGTGTTTAGTTGACCCTCCCAACATGTACTGATCGCAATGTGTACAGATGAACATCACCGGCCAGATCTCGTTCGATTTCATTGAGAGGGATGGAAGGGTTTTGCCGATCGAGTGTAATCCGAGGACGCATACTGCGAATACGTTATTGGCGAATCATCCTGGGTATGCGCACGCGTATCTCGCTTCTCCTCTTGCGAATGCGACGTATGGGCCAGAGGGCCACCAAGGGCAGTTTAACGGCAACGGCAATGGCAATGGCAATGGCAATGGGCACGGCAAGGTTTCGTCTTCTCGGCATTTGTGGCCGATTCAGCCGTCGCCTGCTGAGCCGCCGACGTACTGGATTCCGCACGAGATTTTCGATGCGATTCGGTACCTTGATCCATTGACGCTCGTCTACCGTCTGATGCTGGAGAGGGAGGCACAGTGGGATTGGAGAGATCCTGTACCGGGAGTGTGGTTGTACCACGTGTACTGGCCGTCGGTGTTGTTGGAGAGTTTGCTGGGAGGAAGGAGGTGGACGAGGATTAATGCGAGTACGGGTAAGGTGTTTTGGTGTTAGATGAGAAATTAATGGAGGGAGCCGAAGGATGTGAGGTTGTGGTACATGCATGATTGAGATGGACATTGTTGATTTGGTGTGGATATGAGCCGTACTATGCATCGCTAGAATACGAACGAGAACGTTGAGGACGCAAATGAGACGTCGTACGTAGGATTGATTGCCTTTCTACACTGCTCCATCCCCTTTATGTCGAATGAATCTTCTTGACGATCGCGATGGCGAACTCGACGTTCATGATTTCCCATAGCGGGTAAATCCGCTTGCAGTATCGAGCGCACAGACCCGCGCTGCAACGGGCTGCACATCAACACAACGGCCAAGCCTCCAACACAACCCTCGACCAGCAGTCATCTCCACCCGCAATCATGGGCTTCGCAATGCTTCGACGGCCATTGGGGCTGATCATCGCCGCCTCTGTCATCCTGCTATTCACGACATGGGGCTTCCTCACAACGGACTACGCGCCCCGGAATGTCCCTTTTTCGGTGCCGTTTAGGAAGGCAGCACCGCCGACGCCGCCGCCGTCGCCGTTACACGTCGACGTGATTGAGACCGGAGGGAGTCATGATGAGGTCACAGCGGCGCTCGTGTACGCGTTCTCCCAGCTTCCGTCGACCACGATCGGGTTGTATCTATTGTTAAAGAGATACGGTATCAGCGAGATTTACGACTCTTTCTTCCCTACTGCGGAAGACGAGCGGGGTCAACGCCTCATCGACCCAAATCGTGGTCCGGATGGGTTTTCGTTGGAGAAGGTGAAGACCACGAGCCCGGATGTGGTCGTGTTGACGACGTGTGAATTGGATATTTTTCATCGGAAGGAGCCGCTTGGGTATTTGTTGCAAGAGGGAAAAACGCACTTGTTTTGTACGATTCATCATGCGGATCGGTGGAATACCTCGACCGCGGCGGGGGAGAAGTTGGTGGGTGCGTTGAAGCCTTGGGTTGAGGCGGGAAGTGTGACGTTTTTGACGCTTTCGGAACATGTTTCGAAGTATTTGCATTCGGACATCTTGCCGACGTGGCCGGAGATGACGTCTCCCCCGAATATCCAGGCATTTGCGCCGGTATTCCCGGTTGTCTTGAAGAATGAGCAACCAGATTTCGCGATCACGCAGAAAGAAACTGCATTCACCCTCCAAGGCGATTTCGACGCCAAAAGACGCAACTACACCAAAATCCTCTCCCAGCTCCGCGAGATGCTGAAAAGTGGAAGCGAGACGGCGAGTACCCTGACCATGCACCTCCTCGGCCATGGTCCAGTTCCGACGATTCCGGAGGAGGTGGCGGGACATGTCAAGATCGATAAGAATCTGGATTATGTACCCTTTTACTCCACACTATCGAAGAGTTTCGCGTTGATCACTGCATTCGCCTCTGAAACGTACTTTACCGAAAAAGCCTCCTCATCCGTGCCCGCATCTCTCATCTCCGGGTGTCCACTCGTCGCGGACCGCAAACTGCTCGACACGTACACCTATTTGAACGAGGATGTGGTGTGGTTGAAGGAGGAGGGGGAGGATGATATGGATGCGGTGAAGAGGGTTGTGATGGAGATGGGGGAGAAGGAGTTTAGGGAGAAGAGTGAGAGGGTTAGGGAGAGGAACCGGGGCTTGTATGTGGGGAATGTGGAGAGGTTTGGGGGGTGGGTTGAGGGGTTTAGGAGGGACAGGGAGGTGGAGCGGGAGATGGATTAGATTGATTACAAGAAGATTTGTGGATCGGAAGATATTAATGTTGACGGTGGTTCACGTAGCATACATGACATCGCTGGGATTGGAAATTGGAAGACTTGGGTCTCAGATAACGTTATAACATTAAATTGGAATGTTCGGCTATGGCTATATGACTTTGACTTTTGCATTGGTGAACTAGCTATAGAAACGCTACACACAGCTGGGCGATTCTTCGTTGATTCTGTAACCGTAGAAATGTGGCAAGCAATTTATTCATGGAGCAGCAGTCAGGCCTTGGGCTTGATACGGGGGAAGGTCCGCCCGGTATCGGCATCACCGCTATCATCTCCGCATCCTCACAAGCTAAGAGACAGCATAAACATGTCCCAGAAGAAAAGGAAGCAGAAAGCGGCTCAGGGTCTCAGGGCCGGTCATGGCCTTAAATATCCCGATACAGTCATCCTGATCTTGAGCCTAGCGCTCGCGAACGGGCACGTAGACGACACGGCATACTGGACTTGATCAACGTCGAAGAAGCTAGGCATTGGAGAATGAATTAGCAAACTAATTGCAGCTTATTGAAACTGGTAAACTGTTCAGGTGCGACCGGGTTCCAAGGTAATCCAATAATGGCGTGGGCGTTCACATTGCTCCTTCGTCCGAGCGATAGCCGTAGGGAGACGGCGATAACAACGAACTAGAGTAGGTGCGGAGCTCAACACCTGGGTACATCGGGATGCCAAATTCGTCATCAGCAACCAATGCTCGAGTCTTCGTCTTCGGGTTGAGCAATCCCTGTTGATCAGACTCCGCTGATTCGAGGTTCCATTCCGAGTTCTCACCGCTGACATGGAAATTCGTTTTCACATCATCGAAACGCTTCAAAGCTTCGTTAGCTGAGATGCGACTGCTCACTCCGGGCGAAGGCCGAAGGGCTCTGGTAAACCCTGGTAAGGTTGTGCTGTCGTCCATGATAGCACGTTGAATCGTCGTACGCCCTTTGTTGCTGCACGCTTCCCACAGAGCAATTGGAATCATCCAGCCAAGAAGAGCAAGAGGCCAAAGAGTGAGTCGTTGCCTGATTGCTGAGGTGTCGTCGTACACTTGAACCGGTAAAAGGGCACCGGCAGTAAGGTTGTCGTCTTCCCAGTTCCAGAGGTCATTGTTTGCCTCAAGCAACCAAGAAGACAGCCAGGCCGTGGTTAAGTGAGACATAAGTAACTCTGTCGCGTTCTTATCAAATGCAGAAGGATCGTTAAGCTTCAAACCTGTCAATGCTGCGAAGAGGAGAGCTGATGAGTTGAACTCCTGCTGTGCAAGATCGTAATTCGAGAAAGCGGAAGAGCCATCAACAGGTGCGACATCCAATGCTCTCTTGCGGTTGGGTTCCGCTACGAAAGTCCGATTACCGGGACAGAATACTGCTTCTTCATCGCGCCAGAAAGATATTGAACATGAACCGATTCAGAAGGAGTTGTCTGTAGAAGAGCCCGTCAGAGCATAGCGGTTCACTGTAAACCATGGGCCCGTACTTGCGTTGTTTTCGGCTACGAGAACATCGATACCCAGTTTACCCATATCGTCACGAGCGATCGGCGAGGAGACGCTGAATGGTATGAGGATACCCACAGAAACCTCCCACGCTGTACAGAAGATGCTCCCATCGAAGCCTTCCTCCAACAGGGCCGAAACATTGCCTTGGCATGTCACATTCACAGGTGCGTCTTCCTGAAAAAGGTACACGCCAGGCGTTTCCCAGCTGAAATTTGTGTGTGGGAATGGCGTGTCTACGGTGCCGTCTCCACACCAGCCCACACCCACGACAAAGTCGTGGGATGAGACGCAGATAGGGCCCTCGTAAGGCGAACAGGAGAAGTAACGCCTTCGCAGATGCCTTGGGCAATTGCCGTTTGAGGAGATACAGGCGCCCAACAGGTTGCGGCTGGAAGGGCGATGCCATTCGACTGAGGGATCGTCTCGTCCATCATAGCTAGTCGAAACATCTGCTAGTCGCATGAGCCATCATTGCCGGGTGTCACGGTATAGACTCCATTCGTCACATTGTAAGTATTGAAGAGCAAGGACTGTGCAGAGACACTGGTCCTCGTAACGTTCGTGGACAATTCCAGATACGAATCGGTAAAAGTTGACGCAAGCTCAATACCAACCATGTTGAGAATTCCAAAAGCAACCACTGCCAATGTCCTCGTCAACACCACCCTCATGCGCTTGTTCATTGATAGGTTGTACAGCAGAGTGACAGATGAACCAGTACTGACCATAGAGTGAAGCTCGTGCACTCCGAGTCTTTCTCCAAGGGAAGACTCACGTAGCTGCGTGACTCCACGGCGGAGGAAGTGGTACAGGATGAAGCTTGCTATGAAGGTCGTAACGTGACGGATGATGGTATACATCAATTAAGACAAGTCCTGCGGTCATCCATGCTGGTGCCGTAACAGTGGCAACCATCAAAACTCTCGAGATCTCCTCCTTATAATGGGCAATTGTGGTATTAGTTGAGTTCGTAGCCATGGGTCAACGGACGGAATCAACAGGAAGTCGTGATCTGTAGTATGAGAGCCTGGAGCAATGCACCGGACATCCTGAGCTTTTGAGGGTGGTCTATCCTATGAGCGGCTCGCGTGCGAAATGTATGTGCTTGGGCTCAGACTGCGGACTGAACACGTTTTCTGGAATACCGTGCACGGCAGATGATGATACCACGAGCCGAAACGGAAACAGGGTAACCCTAAGTAAAATATGTACCGGCATGTATCCGTCTATCTTGCATGTTACAGCGCCTGTTTGAATGGGACCAATATCTCTTGGCCCAGTCCAAAGCAATGCAGATGCAAATGTACTCCCCGAGCTTCACATGTCCTAAAGATATCCAGTGAAATAGTCGTGCAATGCGGCGACTTCATGACTAAGGACTCAGATTTGACGCACCGAAAATGTCACGAGCGACGCCGAAAGGAAGCCGCCTGAGCTGAGTGATGAACTCTTACCGGCTGAATTACCAACCCTCACGTTGATCCATGATGTAAATGCCAGGATTTCTCACCATGGCCCAATGACATGGGTGGTGAATGGGCCGTGCGTAAGGTTACCTCGCATGCGCAGCACGCAGCAGTCGATCCACAACCGAGCGCCCAGCTGCTTCCCGACGTAACCGCCATACTGCAGCTGCCCAGGTGTATGAAGCCCCAACCAACCCCATCCTCCGAAATTCTGCATCAGCAATAACAGCTCGTTAACATCCTTCATTGACTGCTTGCTTACGTCTTGATTCGTTCGCGCTGGCGTTGACAACGAATCACCCCGCTTCCGATCCTTCCTCGAACTCATTTGAGGACTTCACGATCCATACGAAGATGCACCATCATCGCGGTTCAGAGTCACAGTCTTCTCATTCTTCGTCCGCGTCCGATTCAAGATCCATTTCTCCCGGATCACCAGAAACAGCGCGTCCTGATATCGGTCCCCTCCAAGACGCAGGTCAACTCGATAACAATCGAGCAGCGACGTCTCCAGGCCCGCAAGGAACACCGAACTTCAGCCCGAGCTCATATACGCGTGGCGAACGGTACGGATCGAAGAGTTACTTTGCGGAGAGGAAGAGACGGGGGAGTAACGATAGCATTGACTCGGACGTATTGCTCGATCACCGCAATCAGGCACAGTCGTTACCTCGCAACAGCTTCATGATGCCGAGGGCGAGCGTTGCGGGTGGTGGACATAGAGGAAGCAGACTATGGATTGCGCCAAAGGATCCGAACAATCCTCCAAGTGATGGCGAACCGGCCAGTGAAGCGTCAGATAGCGAAGGTTCGAGTGAGGAGGACAAGGACGAGAGTTCCTCGTTGCTGAGAAAGGGATCTCAGGCCGGACGTCAGCACAGACCGTCACTTGCGAAACGAACGTCGTCAAATCGGCATCGACACCGCTCTCAACGTTCACGGATGACGCCTATTTCGGAGGACCTTGTTTCGCATCGTGATGGGTATGGCACTATGCCTGGTACGGCGTCTTCGTCACCTACCGACCGAAAGAGTATCAACAATCCATCGTCCGTTCCATCATCCTATGCGTCACCGCCGCCATCGCAAAGACGTCCGACTGCTGGTCGACCCAGCGTGTCAGGAATCAACTTGTCCGGTCAGCGCATACAGCTTCCAATTGCTCAGAGAGCGCTGCCGGGCGAGGATCTCCCACCTTCTGGGGTCGATATGGGAAGTCTGCCTCATGCTCTCAGCTCCGGGACGCCCTCCGAGGCAGGCGATGGCAGGTTGTATGATGACCCTACCGACACGCACTCTGACGCTGGGGACAGACCATGGGAAGGAGAAGATAATAGGAACAGAAGTCAGAGTAAGGCGGAGGAAGATGTGTGTTTTCCCGTCGAGGACACGACCACTGGAGAAGCCATGTATTCTTGGCCGAATTACGATGTTTTGGATGATTGGACGCGAGAAGAGAAGCCTGAGTATGGATCGGGCGATGAGGAGTCGAGTTCGAGGAGTCCGTCGAGGGTGAGGGTCCGAAGGTTGAGTGAGCCCGCTGCGGTGGAAGGGAGATTGAGGTTTAGGGGACAATGGTCCGGTAACCCGAAACCGGAGGAGGAAAGGCCGTGGAGGTTTACGTTTTTCTCGGAGAGTGTTGGTGGGACGGTACATTCGCCGTCCATGTCTGATATCCTCCGTGAGGGCGAGAGGTGGGAGGACGTATTGGGCAAGGATACGGGATTATGGTGGCTCGATGTGAATCAGCCTACCGATTCCGAGATGAAGATGCTCTCCAAAGCCTTCGGTATCCATCCCTTGACCACCGAAGACATCAGTATGGAAGAGACGCGAGAGAAGGTCGAGTTGTTCCGGAATTACTACTTGGTCAGTTTCAGGAGTTTTGAGCAGGATCCTGCAAGTGAGGATTATTTGGAGCCGGTGAACATGTACATCGTGGTATTTAGGGATGCGGTTATCTCGGTGTGTAGCCATCAAGATCTGTGTTTGTAGTTGAGCGCTGACGATGATTTCATACAGTTCCATTTTACGCCTACGCCGCACCCAGCAAACGTCCGTCGACGTATTCGGCATTTGTCTGATTACATCACCGTATCTTCAGATTGGATCTCATACGCTCTTATCGACGATATCACTGACGCGTTCGCTCCGCTCATTCATCGTATCGAATACGAAGTCGACGCAATCGATGACGTTGTCCTGAAGATGCACTCTGGATCCGACGAGTCTGATTCCGAAGACGAAGGAGAAAATGGTGGAAACATGTTGAGGCGCATCGGCGAGTGCAGAAAGAAGGTTATGGGTCTTTTGAGGTTGTTGGGGAGTAAGGCGGATGTCATCAAGGGGTTCGCGAAGAGGTGCAACGAGCAGTGGGATGTTGCGCCTCGAAGCGAGATCGGGTTGTATCTCGGCGATATTCAGGATCATATCGTTACCATGGTTCGTTGCTGTTCTGATTGGGGTTCTTACATGTGCTCTGTTTGACTAACCGCAACGTACAGACCCAAAACCTGAACCACTACGAGAAGATGTTGTCGCGATCACACTCCAACTACCTCGCCCAAATCTCCATCAACATGACCCGCGTCAACAATGAAACGAACGATGTCCTCTCGCGACTCACGGTCCTTGGTACGATTCTCGTTCCGCTTAACCTCGTTACGGGATTATGGGGTATGAACGTCGAAGTGCCTGGACAGAACCATAGTGGGTTGAGTTGGTTCTTCGGGATCTTGAGTAGTTTGGCGGCGTTTGCGATTTTCTCGACGATCATGGCGAGGAGGTATGGAGTTGTATGAGAGGAAGGGAGGTGGGAGAGGGAAGAAAATGAGGGCCGCAGCTGGCTGCGCATAAAGGAGGGGAAAGGAGAGTATGAGGTTAACGATGAAAATTGAATGGGAAATGGATCGTTTCATATGAACATTAACTCTGCCTCTGATTAGATTAACTGGGAAATGATATTTCCCACGCTTCCGGAGCGTAAACGGGCCACCTTCTTGGTATTCTTACCGGATAGATCAACGTAGTAGCGGACCTCACACATGATCACGATAGTGGACGAACAGCAAGAATATTTTGGCCCGAATAATGCACAACTTGACGCAACTTTCACACACCCATGTCCGCCATCCTCACTATTTATCGTACACACCTGTCTCAAATATTGACATAGTCAATGCTGGACCCATTGAACACGGAACTCAGTCCTTCGGTCCCTCCTTTTGAACACCCTTATCCCGGCCAAACCCCTCTGGCCCACTCGTCGTCACACCCGCATTTGGCTGACTAGCATTACCACTTTCCTCCTTCTGCTTTCCCTGGGTCAATGGCTTTCCATCCATGCCGGTAGGAGTCTCCTCAGACTGGGCAGAGGCGGGCTTCCGGTGGGAATCGATCTTAGAGGTCTCAGGGTGAGATGGGGGAGGAGGGGTGTCTTGACGACCTGTGCCGGAGGTGGAAGAGGAGAGGAAGGGGGTGATTGTGAAGGTGCGAGTTGTAATACGGCCGCCGGTGCGCCGGGTAATGCGATTGGGAGTGGTAAGGACGTAACGGCGAAGAGATGTCATTGTGGTTTTTGTCGTAAAGTCTGGAGCAGCTGGTGGAGGTCCTTTTCAAGTACGATTCACAGCAGCTGAGGTAGATGCGGGGATATCGAATGTCCTACGATCATGATTCTCGATGGTGACGTAAAGATGATCGAGTCGGACGACCGGACAACTGACGACCTTGAACTCAAATATCTTTTCAGAATGAGTGCAAAATGGAAAAAGAGCAGCCTGAAGCCTGTCAAGGCTTCATAATTGCCGTGGTCACTCGGCTAATTCTGCCTGGGCGGAAGTGACATAACGCTCGCGCAATATGGCCCTCGATGCATCCACACCTTAAATTCCTCGCCCGGCCAAACCGTTCTTCCTCCCTAGCACGAGTTTCAATTGATCCATACCACCTATACTACCGCAATGTCTTCGCCCTTCCAAACAATAGCCCTCTTCGGCTCGACAGGTCATCTCGGCGCGTTCTTCCTTCAAGCTCTCCTCGATCCTCCGAACTCATCTTACAAGCCCACGATTCGCACCTTCGTGCGTCCCTCCGAGAAGGAGGAGTTCGAGAACTTGCCTAAGGACGAGAGGATTGAAGTTGTTGTGAGCGAATTGAAGGATGAGGCCGAGATGGTGGAGAAGTTGAAGGGCGTGGATGCCGTCGTCAGCGTGCTCAATGGTCCAGGAATCGAAGCGCAGTACGAGATCCTAGAGGCGGCAGTGAAAGCGGGTAAGTAACCATGCTTTACTCCTTCGACCCACGTACGGAGACTAACTTCTCGTAGGCGTCAAACGCTTCATTCCCTCCGAATTCGGCTCCCATCACACTTATCGCCCTCCATCCTCCTCTGTTCACTACAACCCCGCCTTCACCTCCCTGACGCACGCCATGTGGGACTCCAAAGCTAAGTTCAACGAGTATCTTACTCTCCATGCTGCTATCGACGAGGGCACGCTCTCATACACCATCATCGGCTGCGGCGACTTCTACAACCAAGCCTGGGAGCCATTCTGGTGCCCGTGGGCGGATGTCGGGAAGGTGAAGAGTCAGAGTGAGGTCGTTGTACCAGTCGTTGGGGACGCGGAAGCAAAGGCAGAGTTTTCGCATATCGGCGATGTAGCAAAGTACACCGCCGCCCTCCTCTCCCGTGATCCCAACATCTCGGAGAACAAGACACTGAACTTCCCTTCGCACACAGTCTCACAAGCGCATTGGGCTGAATTGATGGAGAAGTACTCGCCGACGCCGGTCAAGCGCCAAACGTTCTCGTTGGATGAAGCGCACGGGATCATCGCCGATCCTGATTCGGCGCCTGAGGAGTTGAAGAGTACGAGTCCCTTCCCGCCGGATTTTTGGTTCATTGTGAAGAGCGCGCAAGGAGAGGGGAGGTTTAGGAGGCCGAAGGGCGAGGTTCATAAGGAACTGTTCCCTGAAGTGGAGGTGTTGGGTTTGGAGGAGTATTTTGAGGAGCAGTTCGGGAGTCGCAAGGTGTAGGAATGCTACGGCGTTCACATAATTCGGCTAGTGTATGGTTTAGTCGAGACGGATCTTCGACGGAGTCCCAGAGCGTAACTTCAAGGCGGACCGTGCACACGCAAGACTCACGCAACCTTGAACCCTGCAGGATAGTGTGGATATGCAGTGCTTTGTATTACTATTTGGCCTTAGGTTTTTCATCTCCATCGTACATCTCAATTGCTGGAATCGGTTACTGTGCCTTTGCATCCGCCAGCGCCTGACCCTCCTTCCTCCCCTCGATCTTCTCATCGCGTGCGTAACCCATTCTCTGAACACCAACAGCCTTTCCGTAAACAAGCTCACCTCCCAAACCGGCAGAGAAAGCAATACCACCCATAGCGATCGCACTCAGAAGGACGTTGCCGCCAGTGGGGTGGAAGCCGGGGATCTTTCTGCGGACCCACCAGTTGTAGGTCGAGATGGAGAATGCGACGGCGTTTAGTGCACCGTGGTAGAGTCCGATACGGACGGATCTGTCGACGTATTCCTCGTGCGACTTGGGGTGTGTGAGTTCCTTGTCCTTACGGTTGATGCCGCCGGTCTTGTATAGCTCCCACAATTCTGCGCTTCCGGAGGTGATGGACGGGATGGAAGTGAGGAGACCAAGGATGTTGCTGACGTAGCCAAACTTGGAGATGTCGGCGAGGTAAGGTGTGAAGCGCGCCAAGGGACCGAGGTGCTGGATACCGTAGTGAAGGAGATCGGCAGTGTATGCAGCGGAGAGGAAGGTGAGAGGGAAGTGGACCGTCATGGGGTGTGTTGGGTGAGAGTTGCGGACGGGCCATTCGAAGTGGCCGAGCTCGACGACGGAGTAGAGGTTGTCAAGGATACCCATGATGTTTGCTTGTGATGTTTTTGGTGGTGAGTTTGGCGGAGAACAGACGGCTGACTGCAGCTGGATTTAACGTGCGGTCGCTTCGATTCTCGACGGTGACGTCATGACGTCATTCACATCTGGAATCGTCACGTAACCGATTGGCGCGCACTCGAAGTTCTTAGTTATATAAGGGTTTATATAAGGGAGTAAAGCTCCCTTATATATATTGACGCTTGAATGCCAGATTCTTACAAGATACGTTGTATAGTTGTCAAACATATCATTCCGATTGGAAAAATCGTGGCGTCAAGGACGATATGTTGGATCCAGATACTAGCTCGAAAAAAACGTAATTTCTCTTTCGCAGTAGGAAAATGATTATCACATATCTCATCGAAGCAAAACCCCAACCTAAAGTCATGAAAACGTCATCTCACCCAAGAACTGTATTCTCGTTGACAAGGTGAAAACTTGTGAGAAAAACATTGAGTAACTACATGACTGTCTCCAGGTCGAGATAACCAAGTCCACCGAGGAAAATGTCAGCCGACAGATTGTTTGCCTCGCAATTGAAAAGGTCAAGCCAAATGAGCAAAATGTTACCTAAGTAAACTAGAAATGACGGTAGTAAGGTTTAGGTAAAGAGAGTGCAGTTATGTGATACAAAAGCCCACGGAGTACTTGATCAACTTGGATTTGAAAGCGTCGTCAACTTAGGGTTAGGGTTAGGGTTAGGGTTAGGGTTAGGGTTAGGGTTAGGGTTAGGGTTAGGGTTAGGGTTAGGGTTAGGGTTAGGGTTAGGGTTAGGGTTAGGGTTAGGGTTAGGGTTAGGGTTAGGGTTAGG